TGGATGACTTGGAAGCTCCAGAGCGCATGGACCGGGTGTCCACGGAGCGATGGCTCGGGGCCAGGTTGGACGACAAAACACTGGAATCAGCGGCAGAAACGTGCGATACATGGCCTTCGGGATTGCGACTTCGGCTGGAGCGACGCCGCGATGATGTGTATGTATCGTCAGGCGGGAGCTCACTGATGCTACTCGCGCGACTCTTGGACCGCCGCTTCCGCTCCCGCTCTCCTTTCTCCTTGGGCTTGTCTGATGAGGATTTGGAGGAGCGTTCTTTGGTTCGAGTCTTTGTGGCTCGCGTATCCTCCACAATCTCCTCAGGGTGCTCGCCCGAGCCTAGATCCCCTCCAGGGCCGGAGCCATCCAAGAAGCTGTCCGTGGGAATGGCCGAGATTTCAGATCCATTTCCGGGTGGGTAAGACGACTCTTTCTCGCTCGTCGGAATCAGCGGACTGGCAGGGCGACGCCGTCGCTGCTGCGGTTGCTGACTCTGGGTAATTTCAATATCAATGGGATTGCGTGAGACGGTGGATTCTTCAGTGGCCGAAGCGTACGACGTCATGCTATGGCCGTCATCGACTCCGGGTATCTCAAGCTCACGAGAGTGAAACTCGTCCTCCAGGGGGATTCGTCGAGTCAGCGAGCCTTTGCGGGAGGTCTTTGTCTCCGTCACCTGGATATTGTGGTCCCTTCTCCCTTTTTTGGAGCTGGAGGGAGTGAGCCGCACTCGCACACTCGGCTTGCGACTAGTGGAGCTGCCCGTTCTGCTGCCTTCAAAGTATTCAATCAGCAGCGACGTCTGGGAGCGATGGCTTCTGTGGCCGCGGGTGCGGATGGTGACTGGATTGCCGTCGTCGCGCAGCGAGTAGCCCGACTTCTCATCGCCAAGCTTGGAAATGTCGGCGGTCAGCTCCGAGGGAGTGGTCGTTTCGTCGGTCTCGGTCGGCGCAGGCAATGGAAGGCTCTTCCTGCTGACGGTGCTCATCTTTGGCGCGAGGCAATCGGTATCCTTGCCCTGGGTTGTCGTTGGGTACGCGACCAGTGGCGGCAATGCAGCTGGCAAAGGTATCTCAAGGCCCAACTCCTCGCGATTGGGAGAAGGGGGAACAGAGGAGTCGAGGGCAAGCAAGAGGCTGAGCGTTTATGCAGACATCCGGAACAGGACCCAACGCTACAGCGGAAGGAAGAGGGGGGGGGGGGAAGCGCCTTGTGAACGGCGTCAGCAAATGAGAGCAAACGACGGAGAAAGACGAGAGAGAAAAGAAAAAAAGATTGTAACTGCAGCTGAAGCAGAAACAAGATCCCGCTCGAGCACTCAAGATGGGGCCCGACACAAGGGGGGATGGGACTGGACGTCAGAAACTCACAGGAACCAAAGAGGAGAAGGCGGATTCGAGGGAGGGCAGGGCAATCAGCTGTACCAAGTGGCGAAGCTCAGGCACCGAAGGGGAGAAGGGCCCAGAGCGGTAAAGAGCACAGGCTGTCGCTCACACAAACGACATGCAACAGGGAGAGAGAGCGCCGTCAGAGTCAGGGGACTTGCTGCAGGGCCTGTGGGCTGTCTGTATGTAGGTATGCTGGAAGCTGTAGGTACAGGCACAAGTATGAAAGATATGTATGATGATGTGCGGAGCGACGATGGAGGCGCCGAATATGTAGGTATGTACAGCTGAGAAGGATTGGACGCTGGCGAGCAGAGAGGCGGGTGGCAGTCGGTGAGGTCAAGCGCAAATGCGAGGCGACGATGTGGGGGAGCGAGAAGGAACCCGGCAGCGTCTGGCGGTGGTCTGTGAGGCTTCCACGCTCCAGTGAAGCGCCGCTCGTCTTCTTTCTTCCCTTTGATTGTCGTCTCCGGACGAGACGCGGGCAGCGGGACAGAGAGAGGCGAGGGGCGCAGGTGGGCGATGCGATGCGATGCGATGCACTGCGATGCAAAAGGTTGGAGTGAGGAGGAGAGCGATGAGATGGATGGATTCGATGGAGGTTCCCGTTGTTATTGTCCCGAAGCGGGCTGGGGCCTCTGCTTGATGAGTTGGCGCTGCCGATGTGCTGGAGGCTGGCCCAATGGCGCCGGCAGGGGTGGGTGGTGCCGCTGGACGGGTGTGCTAGCTGAGCACTAAGCCGCTCCCAGCAGGGCCTGGAGAGCCTAGAGGGTCCGAGGCTTCAGGGCGCGCGGAGCCTGTGGGCAGTAGGTGGTACCGGGAACCTGCGCGTACCTGGGCGGTACCTCTAGTCAGCAGCGATGGAAGGTGCGCTACTATCTCGGACGGGCAGAGATCAGGGCAGTGATGGGATCCATTGGATTGGGCCAGATTTGCACCGTCCAAACCAGCCACTTCTTTTTTTTTTTTTTCTTCTCCAGCTTCCTCTTCTTCCCTTTCTATGTATGTATTACCTATTCGAGGTTGATTCTGCATCTTCGCTGGTTTCCACCCCCTTGCGCTCAAACTTGGCTTTAGTCAGTGGCGCAGTAATAATAGTAGTAGAGCAGAGCTCGAATACCAGACTGGAGACGCAGGCAAGAGAGGGAAAAGGACGAGGCTGGTGATACAGCGCCGTTGCACGAGCTTGCGCTACCACACGATTACTCGCGTGTACTCGTACGTGTGTACCTCTGGCCAGGGAAAAGGAGAGAGGGAGAGAGAGAGAGAGAGGGCGAATCGGGAGCTGGCAGCTGCTCGTGTCCAGGCCATGACCAGCATCAGCATCAGCATCAGCATCAGCGCCTGTTCAACACAACCTGGAGGGCCGTTGACGCCCAACACCATCATACATACCTACATGTACATTACACCTATTCATGGGCTATCCTGCTGTTCGCTCCCAGCTCAGCTCCAGCTTGATATTCCCTCATCTGCATGCTCTAGCGGACGCTCGCAAAGTCCATGTCCCTTCCAGGTTCCCCCTCCGTACCGTGGACTCTCAGGCTCTCGCTCGTCCCGACAGCAGCATGGCCTCCATTCAGCCTCTCCCCAAAGCCGCGCCGCACCGCAGCCGCCAGCCATTCGGCCATAGCCTGGAGCCCTTGTGATGCCACACCCCCTGGGCTGGCACATGGGATGGAAGCATTGAGCCCAGTGCAGACAGCTCCAGACCCGCCCCGAACAGTGAACAGTGAACCAGCCAAGCGAGACCCCCGCCGCCAATGGCTGAATTCGAACCGTCGTCACGTCACGGCTGGCAGGGTAACGGACAGGCATTGCCGCAGTACTAGTATTCATGATTTTCGCGCTTTCTAGAAGTGACAGAACAGGATCAGGGACAGGAACAGGAACAGGAACAGAGGAGCCAGAAGCAGAGACGCGAGGGCTGAAAGTGGGCGTCTCTAGTAGGTGATGTGCATGGATGGGCTTCGACTGCGTCTGCTGGTAATATCACTTCCAGGTTCGTGCTCTGCCCATGTTACATGCAACGGAGAGCCGATCTGGACTCGCACCCGTGCGATTGTGCGCTTGCAATCCGCCATCCTCGTGCATCGCCAGCCGTCTTCCCTTGCCGATTGCGCGCAGCTTGCGCCTACAGCTCTTCGCCTACGTCTTCGGTTGCGTTTCAAGTTGACAGAGATAGGGCTGAGTCGAAGTCCGCCTTTTTTTTTTTTTCAGCGCATTTCTGATGCCAATGCTGGCTATGATACCCCAGCAGTCCCAAGGTGACCATTTGCGCGGATGAGCAAGCAGTCGAGTATTTCCAGAGCCAAATTCCCATTCCCAAGATGCTCCCACAGCACAGAAAATGTCGTGGTCTGTTTTACCAAACAAGGCCTCTGGTGCGAAGCGGAGCTTATTCCACAGTGACAGGAAACCGGGGAGCATGCCGTGGCTCAGAGTGCTGTCTTACAGACATGGACCCCCCTAACGTATTGAAGGTAAGTGGTCTCTATCGCTACTCCAGCCAAATGGCTTCAGTTGTTTTCGATGCAACGGCATTCGAGCAATGGGGAGGCTGTTTTGTCGGCTACTCCTCGTCAGTCGACAGCAGATCTGTTTGGCACGCGATAGCATCAGGTACTGAACTACAAGTGAAGTGAACCACCTTGGCGAGATACACATTGCAACTTCGGTGTCCATGAGACCCTCGTTTGATTCAGTCCCGTCTAGAACATGCTCCAAAAAAGGCCTCTTCGTCTCGGAGAATCACACCGCTGCTCCAAGACGCTTACACGCTATCCTCGCCCCCATATGCCTTGGTCGTAGTCCATCAAAGTGTTGCCGCGTATGCTCCTCAACGAAAACTTGCAAAAGGTACAAGTAGACCTCCCAGCATACCTACCTAACGATAGAGACACAATTTCGTGGTAGACAAGTTGGACAAGTGTAGGTATGATATTGTGCCACGCCAGCGTACAAAGTACCCCCCTTTTGTGCTTCTCGTCGACATGGGGCCTTCGGCAACGAACAGATGCTCTGTGCGAGTCTCTCGTTCCGACACGAGGACTGTGAAGCGTGAGCCGGGTCAGAGTGAGAGACGACGAGGACACTGAATTACGCATTGGACTACCCAGTAGTTGTGCGATCTCTTCCTAGATGTAACGAATGGAGTGTGGCTGCTAGGCATCAAGTTGCACGAAATCCTCTCCTCCCCCTAAAAGCTTTGCGTCGTGGTCGTAGATGAGACGAAATGGATTGGGGCGGAACATGATGGACAACTACTTACACGTCAGACATGGCCAAGATTTGCCTTTTCTCAGACAGTCTGTCTTGCAAGTCAAACATCCGGCCTGCCAGCTCCGCCATCATAGTGCTTCCTTGTGCTGGTCAAAAGGGGGGGCTCATGTCTCGGATGAGGAACATCAATCATGTTGCTAGTATCCAACACTTGACGGAAGTCCTTCCCGAGAACCCATTGACCCCGTTCATTGTCCGAGAAGAGCAGGTAACAAAATGCATATACATCAACCTCGAAGAAAAAAGTATAGAGTAGATTGGTATCGCCCGTTCGCCCACAACGCCATCCGCCTGTCGACAACCCGAAACTCAAGATCCTGATACATGTATTAGAAGAAAAAGATGGATGCTTCGCCCTCGCACAAGAGTAAACAACACCATCACCCCAAATTGACCGTGATTTCCCACAGATGAGACAAATCCCCCCCTCCCCTTCCCACCAAGCCCATCAAGCCCCCGTCCTCCTCTCATCCGCCACCACAGCCGGCGGCGGCTCAGCAACATGCTCAGCACCATACTCAGGCGGCCTCCTCCCCTCCTCCATATCTCTCAACTCCGTCGTCGCCGCCGTCGTCGTCGTCGGCGGCGCCCCCTCCTCAGCAGCTCCGCCCCCCTCCCCGGGCAACACCTTGAACTTGTACGGCGGCGGCGCCTCCCCCAGCTCGTTGAGGCCCTCCTGGGAGTGAAGCCCGCCCCAGGGACTCCGCCTGCTGTGCCGCGGGACGAAGACGAGGGTGCCGTCCCGCGTCACCCACCGGCCGCGGCCCCAGATGGAGCTGTCGGCGGCGATGAGGCGGCGCCGGCGCCGGCGGACGTGGAAGAAGAGGCCTGTCGAGCAGATGACGAAGAGGGCGAGGAGGGGGATGATGACGTATGTCAGCGGCCGGGTGGACGTTGGCTGGCCCGAGTTCATGCTGGCGATGATGGAGGTCTCGTCAAGATGTCGAAGGATGTGTTGAGGGGGGGGATATTGTTTGAGCTTCCCCGCGCAATATTGCTGAAAGTGACTGTTCTTGGTAGGCGTCGCAAATGCTGCCGCTCAATACCGTAACGGCATCCTCTCTACAGAGAGCCAAAGTAATAATAGAACGAAACGAATCCAAGACAAAGCGCTCGCACTTGCGCTGGGCATCAAAGAATCAAGCAGAGCAAGTCACGTAGAAGAAACAAGGCCGCAAATTGTAAGAGAGAGGAAAACAGGAAAACAAAGGCAAAGCGTCTCAGCACAGCCTTAGAGGCGCAAAAGGAACTCTTATCGAGACCGGCCTCGTACTCGGAAACGGACCTTCTATGCAAGACGTCATTCGCAAAACATGCCGGAGCTCCCAATCCATCCGCGGGCCGTCCATCGTAGTAGTAATCCAATTCCAATTATCAACCACCTGTAATAACTGATGTATGTACTCGTACATAGGTACATACATGTAAGGGAAATGCCGTGAGCAGATCCTCGCCGAAGAGGGGAGAGTGGCTTCATGCTCTGCGGCCCTAGTTATCCGTAGTGGTGGTGTCGGAGAGACAAGAGGAACGGGCAGGACTGGGTGGCAGAATTACGTGTCTATGTGCTCGGGTTTGAATCAAATCGTAGGGGGGATCAATACGACGAAAAAGGTACACGCGATATTACCCGTGTGAGCAGCTGCTGATGGTGGTGGTGGTGTCTACATTACATGTATGTTGCTGGTCAAGTCTCGAAATGCGGGGAGCATCAACGGCAGAGTGATGCCGAGGGGTGGCACCAGACTTGAACATAGAGACTCGACAAATATTGTTCCAATCACTTCACGATCAAGTTACATGAGACAACAGCCTACCAGACGCCTCCATCTTCAACTCATCAGAAGCATAACGTAGCTAATGAAGCTCAGTACATGTACTTCCATACCCGTCTACTTATCATCACTTCTAGAAACCGGGAGACTGCCCGGATCCCTCTCAGGTCCACCCGCCCGCCATCCGGGCGCTAAAGCGACGGACTGGAGCCCTCCCAAGCCCTCCAGCTCTCAACTGTCCCACTCCCTCAGCGCCCGCAAGCCCCCCAAGACCCGCTACGAGAGATCAAATCGAACTGGAACCTCTGGCGCGGCTTTACCATTTTGCCGACATACCGACATCATCACCTACTCTTATTATTATAGCCTTGCCTTTCCATACAGATCTTACATACTCACCACCGCATCGTCAACTTCAATATCTTCTCACCACAAAATCCAGCCCAGCTACCTACAGCAACAAGCCCAACATGCCGCGTGCCATCCGAGGTACACACACACACACTCATCCACCTGTAAAAATATCCCTTCATTAGCTAAACCTATTCTTTTGCTTCTCGGCTAGGCGTCCTGATCGAATGCGATCCCTCCATCAAGTCCATCATCGTCAACATCGACAGCGTCAACCACGACTTCATCATCGAGGACCTCGACGAGGAGCGCGTCGTCGTCAAGGAGAACATGGTGCAGCTCCTCAAGCAGAAGCTCGAGGACGTACGTTTTGACAACAAAACCTCACTACTTTTCTCTCGTGCCTTGCTTCGTCGTCATATTCACATGCTGACTTTTTTTATCGTTCTTCATAGCGCCTCAAAGAGAATCTTCCTCCCGTGGACGAGTCCGGCTCCGAGTAGAATTACACGCGATCGGATGTTCAACGCAATATGCCTTCTTCTAGCGACCCCATGAACACGAACCTGTGGCATTACCGGATACGTCCATCTACATCACAAAAAGATCCAAACCATCCCCCCAAACCCCCCCCCCCCCCCCCCCCATTCACCTCGTCTTCAAAAAACCACGTTTACAGCTTCGCAAACGTCGGCCTCTGCTTCTTCAAAACACTCAATATCGCCGCCGGGAAATCCTCCCCCTGCAGCGCCGCCGAGTTCCACAGCTGCGTATACCTCAGGTTCTCCGCCACGCCGTGGTCCCGCGCGTGGTTGAGCAGCTCCTTGGTCCCCTGCACCGCCACGGGGCTCTTGCCCGCCAGCGCCGCCGCCAGCCCGACCGCCGCCCGCACCGTCGCCTCCTTGCCCTCGTGCACCTGGCTCACGAAGCCGACGGCGAGCGCCTCCTGCGCCGAGAAGTCGCGCGCCGTCAGGCACACCTCCTTGACCCACGACGTCGACCCCACGAGCTTGGGCAGCCGCGCGAGCGTGCCAATGTCCGCCGCGAGCCCAATGTCCACCTCCTTGACGGCGAAGCGCGTGTTGGACGCGCAGATGCGGATGTCGGCGCAGCAGGCAATGTCGATGGCCAGGCCGAGGGAGATGCCATGCATGGCGCAAATGACGGCTGGTGGGAAAAGGTTAGACAAAGTTCATGTTACCTCGTCTCTTCATATAAATAGAAAACAGAACAGGAATCAAGAAATGAAAACCACCTTCTCATCTCCTTCCCTCAACCCAAAGACGGAAACAGAACAAAAGACAAAGGCATTCGCAAGTCTCGACAAGACATAACGAAAAGACAAGAAAGTTAGGAAAGAAAGAAAAAAAAAAAGACTCACGCTTCTCACACTTCTCCATCGCCCCAATACTCCCCTGAAACTCCTCAATCTGCGCCCTCAACGCCTTGGCCCTCCTCGCCGCATCCACCTTTCCGCCGTTTGCAGCACCCGTCAAGTTCCCGTCCTGAGCCGCGGCCTGGACATCCAGCCCTGCCGTAAAGGCCCTCTCTCCGGCCCCCGTCAGCACCACGGCCCGCACGTCCGCGTCCCCGCTGAGCTGCCCAAAGACGCGCCCAAACTCGAGCCACATGGCCTCGGAGAAGGCGTTGAGCTTGTCCGGCCGCTGGATCTGCACGTGCGCGACGAACGGCGCGGGGGACGTGACGCTGAAGAACTTGTAGGCGGCGTACGAGGGGAGCGGGGTTTCGGGGGAGGGAGAGGGGGGGGAGGAGGATGAGGATGAGGATGGTGGCGCCATGGTGATGGTTGTGATGCGATCTGGGCTGTAGATTCAAATGATGATGCTGCGGAATCGTGTGGGTGAAGGAGCCAGCAGACGGTCAATTGTGGTAGGATAGACAGAGCCTGGGCCGTAGATGGAGGAGGCTACAATGGCAGTGAACAAGTCAAGTCGTTCCAGGAGCAATCATGGAGATGCAGTTGTTGAAAGCATCTCGGCTCACCCTGTGTTGCCGTTGCTTACAGTAATACATGTATTCTTCAGCGAAGCCGAGGCACAGCTGCAATAGTGGGGCAGCGGCCAATCGCCCGAATCCGGGGAAGCTTCTGATTACGGAACTCGTACGAAGCAGACTCGAGCAGCTTCAATCACACCAAGAATGACCAAAAAATTCATGTTAAGAAGATAAAAAAAGGGGGGGCAGTGCACTTATAAACAATGGCCCCAAAACCTAGACTGTAAAGAATAAACCATTCTTCCCGTACCTGTCTAGTCTTTGCAGAGCCAGACTCGGCGGCCTTTACATTACGGCCAACCGCATTCCATTCATACCCGTACACCAGGGCCTGCCCGTCTATCGCAGAGTTGACATGGCCACTCCATTATCAAAGTAAAAAAGGGAACGAAAATCCTTCCAAATCCACAAGAGACTCAAGTCACTTAGAGCAGAAGAGTACCAAACATGGTGAAGAGGAGGGCCAAGCCAGACACGACAAAAGGCGTCGTGTCCAGAGGGCCGTGTGCGATGGAGCCGGCAGCGCTGTCGGACTCGGTCTCCTGGGAGCCGGATGTGCCAGTGGGAGAAGCCGTGCCTCCGGTGACGCTGGCCGTGGCAGTACCGCTGTCGGCAGCGTTCTGAGAGCCGTCACCGCCGAGGCCGGGACCGTCGCCGGCACCCTTCTTCATGTACTTGTTGGCAGCCGAGGGCATCTCGGGAACCAGGCTGGGGTCGACGTTCCAGCTGGGGTCCTTGGGCGGGCACTTGGCAGCGTGGCTGGAGCTGGCGGCACCGCCAGAGCCGGTGGGAGTCGGGCTCTTGGCCAAGGCGCTCTTGAAGAGGTTGTACTCGTTCGACTTGGAGACGGAGTCACCATCGATAGTGACAATTCCGTAGTCGTTGTCTTCCTTGGAGTACTCGTACATGATGCCGCCAGAGTAGACGCTGGTCATCTGGGAGCTCATGAGGGCAGACAGTTCCTCAAACTTGCGAGGACGGTTCTTGATGCAGCCCCACTCGGACAGGCTATAAGAAGGAGAGAAAAAAAGTATGAGCAGGCTGTCAGAAGGTAACGGATCTGGTGTCACTTACAAGATGGGAATGCCATAGTCGGTGAAGTTCTTAACCTTTTGGTCCCAGCCGGAGGTCTTGAAGTCGCTGTTGCACCAGGAGTAGTCGTTGAAGGCGAAGAAGTCGGAGCGCATGTCGTCGCTGCCGCAGTTCATGTACATGGCCGTCTGCATGCGGTTGGAGGAGACGTCGGCGGCGGAGTATCCAACGGGGACCTTGCGCAGTCCTCGCTCGTTCATGTAGTTCTTCATGTCGCGCGTGACAGCCTTGACGAAGGGAGCAGACTTATCGGTTCCAGGCTCGTCGTTGATGACCTCGTTGCCGGAGAAGAAGGCCAGCGTGTTGTCATACTTGGCAAACATCTCAACGGTGGCAAAGACGCTCTGAAGATACATGGTGTTGTACGACGGCTCGGGAGTCTTGCGGTTGATGGAGTAGCCCGGGTTGTTGACGTCCAAAACCAGGTAGATGCCGGCATCGGCGAGGGCATTCATGCACTCATCGTGATCCTTTGAGTTGTCGACGGCGTAAACACGAATAGTGTTGACTCCAAGGTCCTTGAAGTTCTTAATGTCTCGGAGGCATGTCTTGGGGTCAGCGAGGGGATCCTCGTTGGCAGCAGCACCACCAGGCTGGTAGTCTATGCCGCGCAGATAGAAGCGCTTGCCATCGGCCCAGAATGCTGCAGATTCAGACGTGTCAGTCGGATTGTCCCATCATGTTCAAGAAGATGCTGATGCCAGCCATCGTTTCGTTCCAACTGACCATTTCCAGAGGCCGAGACGGCGGGCAGCGAGGCCCTCTTGGAGGGAGGGTCGTTCTTGGAAGGCGTGGGAGTGGCCATGACGGCGCCGAGGCCGGCAACGGCTGAGAGGAGAGCGAGTCCCTTCATGGTGTCACCGATTCGCTGATGGATGGATGGAAACGCTGTGGTTGAATTGGCGCTGCGGACGAGCACAGGCAAGCGGTATGGATAGAAGGATGAATGAGCCTCTGCAAAGAGTGAAAGGGCGCTGAATCACGAGGTCGAGTTCGGGTCGAGAATATTATACCACGGATTGGCTGGCTAAGAAGAAGACAATGGAGAAGGAGAGAAAGAAGAAGAAGAAGCAGCGGCGATGCTGCGATAACGAGAGAGGGCTTGTTGGAAACGAGTGAAGAAAGACAGTTGGTCGGAAAGAAAAACAAGCCTCTGGGCGGGAACGAGATGATGGATGGGAAAGAAGAGGGAGGAGGAGAAGAAGGGCAGGAAAGGGCAGCTGGAATGGAGGGTGTTTAATAAAGAATCAATACTAGGAGGAGGAGGTACTCCATAACAAGGTCACCAGCTGAAGGTACCTAGCATACTAGAACTACCTCCTACTCGTATGTACCTACATACACACAAACACCAAGAACATGCCGCGAGATTTGGAGTGCCCTTTTCCCTTCCTCCATCCTTGCACGACCCTGTGGACGGCGTTTTAGCGGGCCCGCGACTGGCCTGTCATTGGCATTTTGATTTCGATCCCCGTTGAGCCATTGAAGCACAGCTTTGCGACGTGCGAGCGCGAAGCCGCCAGACGGGCCACGGCTGTTCCAATGGCTGGCGCGAGAGCGTCGCACACGAACCCACTGCGAAACTGGGAGACGAAGTGGCCGGTCCACTGATTGGCGCCACTACGAAACGGCCAGCTGGCGACCATTGGGTGCAGTTAGGTAGTTGGTCAAGGAGGTACAGTACATGCTGTCTCTGTCATGTAGGTAGGGAGAGGGAGGCAAAACGGACACGGAGAGAGCGAGGCTGTGAGGACGAGGGGACGAGGGGGGACGACGAGGTTGGGATGGGCAGACAGTGTGTGAGGCACTGCCCGAGCCCTTTTCTTGCGTCAATCTTCAATTGCTCTGCTCTGCTCTGCTCTGCTTTGCTCTTCTTTCCTCAGGTGATCACGGAGTTTTGGTATTGATCAGCCTCCGCCTGCAGCTCATCACAGCAAAAAGCCTGTGCAAACTCAATTGATCCTGCTGAGGCTTCCAGGTCCAGGTCCAGGTCCAGGCACCACCCAAACAGCACCTCATGCGATTCGTCGTCTTCCGCGGCGCCATGCCAAAGTCTATTCGTGATGCGCTGCCCGCTGCTGCTCGTATTACCGCATACTATGCTCCTACTAGTAGTAGATGCTACATGGACCCGAACCCGCAGCCAATGGGCGTCCCGAGCCAGACGAGCATTCGGCTAACACGAGAGAAGAGGGCTGCACCCAGTTTCGCGCGGCCAGGCACAAGATTCAACGCACGACGAGCCAAGCATCAAACGCGCTGCGAGTGGTGACATATACCGATCGTCATGGATCCACACGCCTGAGCTCTGGTGTGCCCGTCTGTTCCAGCAGTACGAGTACATGATAAGGTACCTTACCTACAGTGATACTAGTCCTCCTTTTGTCTTGCAGTCGGGTGTGTTCTCGTGAGATGCCCCCTAAAACTCGAGCCTACCAAGGTGGTATCAAACATTGAATGCAGTCAAATAAAAGTACCCTAACTCGTCGTCGTGATACAGGCTCGCACTCATCATACCTGGTACTCATCCTCGATAATAACAGCTCTTGACGGCTACCTAGGAAATCGACTCCCATCTTAGACACTGTACTGCACAGACAAGCCTCTCCAGAATAAAGCGGAACAGGCTGAAACGCGGTCGTCGTGTGTGGATGCCCCCGAACAAGGCCGTTCCAAGCAAGGTTATTTGTTCCCGCTCCATCCCTGCAAGACGCCCCTCTTTGCACGCCGCCCGAGTCCACTCTCCACCGTCTTGGCTTCGAGAAAGCCATACGGCTTGGATCTCCAAGTTCCATGCACTGTCTCTCTACGGAGTACCTACTGAAAGAATGATGAACCTATCGACGCACAAGTTCAGTTGTGAAAGCTACCTTACCTTATTACTCCTAGAGTAGCAAGTTAGGTATTATTCAGAGAGGCAACATATGGCATGGCTTTTGCAATAAACGAGAGTCGTGATACGCTGCAACACCTCGGCTTCAAGAATCATCACATAGGTACGACGAATACTGCCTACCCATGTGCATCACTCCACACGCCCTATCGGAGCATCTCCAACACCCGCCTCGGCATCCCCCTTTCGTCCAGCACTCACTCACCTCCACGCACCGAACCAAAAATAACATCAATCCCTTCTCCTGTGCACGTACCTACCCTACGCTACGCAGGCACAGTATCTCCAGTCCGTACGAGTAGTATGTAAATGCACCAACCAAACCACACAAGCAACTAATAACTCCCTTGACCGCACCGATCCAACCTCAAAAACCCACTCCAAACCTTTCGATCTTCAGGGGCCATCACCATCTTCAGTCAACCCAGAAATCCCCATCCAACCACTGTATAATCCCATTGACGTGACAACTTTGAAGCTTGTTGGTCAGAGTTAATGCCGCTAAGCTTTTCTGCCCGCTAAACCCCCCAAATAATCCCGGAACCATCCACAATCTCTCGTCCTTCCAGAACGACTACCTAGTAGGTATAATTACCCTACCTCCATGCGCATGTACTGTACTGTAATACTGCATGTACCTACATACTTGATACAGCATCTTGACACGCGGGAAATTTGCATCGTCGTGACGATCCCGCCATGCTCGTCACCATTGCCACCCCTTCCCCCCCTTCTCCTCTCCTCTCCTTGCTTCCTTTGGCTCGCCTTGCGCACAGCCAGTTCGGAATCTCCTAGGTGAAACAGGTGGAGCCCGGATTCATTCACCTTGCTGACCTTGCTTTATACATATTACAGTACATAGTAGATAAACCTTGGAACTCACCGTATGACTGACCGACTAGTAACTGACAGGAGATCAGGAGCTCCAAAGGTGAAGCATCCAAGACGGTCTCCTTTTCTTTTCTTTTCCACAGCATGTACATCTTCCCAAGATGCAGATTGCGATCTGCCACGAACCTCCAGCTGACAGTTTCTCCCCTGCCGCCACATCGACAAAACCATCATCTTCGTAATAGTAGTTGATCCCTCTATGTAGCAGCTCTCAGTAACAGTAGACGCAGTCATACACATGCAGCCGCAAGAACGTCGTAATACTTTGTATTGATGATTCATCTGGTTTCCCGATTCTAGGTTCAATTCTCAGCAAAGAGTGCAGGGCAAAACGCTTCTTCCCCCCCGTGGCTTTTTTTCCTTTCAAATGGCTTCGACCGCTCTATCGTTTGTCTCATACCCAAAGGCGCAATAACAATGCCCGGGAAAGCTCTACTCCTCGGGCACGTTGAAAATTTCCTCAACGCCAGTCCAAGTGCCGCGCGCGCGCTCTTCCCAGTAGCTGTCCTTGCCCGTCTTGATCCGCCACACCTCCTCGCCCTCCGGAGACTCCTCCGCCTTGACGAACCACCGTGGCTTGTGCTCCTCGCCCCGCTCCTCCGTGGCACGGCGACGGGCGCGCTGTGCCTCCTCCAGCCTGACCTTCCAGACCTCGGCCTCGTCCAGGTTACCCTGCTCGGCGAGTCGCTGATCTTGACGCAGCCTGCAGTCGGTCGGCGGCAGCTTGCCCTTCTCAATCTCCGTGATCTCGTTGAGCGAGGCCGCAAACGCCGTCATGCCGTACGTCTGCGTGGGGTTGTCCACCATGTTGCCGACACGCCAAATCTCCTCGCCGCCAGACTTTCCAGGGCCAGCCGTCTTAAGAGCGCCAGTCCAGGTGCCGACCAGCCCGGTGCCCAGGTTGCTGCCGTCCGGCCCAAACGTCTCCACGCTGACATCCTCGGCCCTTCCGCCAAACATGCCCTTGCTCTTGAACTCAACCGTTGCCTTGTGCCCTGTCGAATCGTTGACTACGTTCATCGTGCCGACGGGCTCCACGTACTTCTCGCCCATGACGACGTTTCGAAGGAACATCGTGGCAATGTTCCACGAGTAGAGCTCGTCGGATCCGTCCGCCAGGCGAAGCACGACCCTCACACGTCCGTCAGTCGTAATCTCGGCACTCTTGCCCCAAAACTTCTGACCTGGGGCGGCAGATTGCGAGAGCGACCAGCTGGCCGACTCGGCCTGCATGGCCAGCTTGACGGGTCGGTGCTGAACCTTTTCCACGAGCAAACGGAAGCCGCCAGGTATTTCCTTGTTCGCGCGCACCAGTTCAAACGTCTCTCCAAGCAGGGGGTTAAACGGCTTGCGGATGGCTCGCTCCTTGGCACGACCACTGCTAAACTGTGAGACGGCAAAGGCGGTTACATACAGCAGTCGCTCGGCTACCGATCCGCGCTTGACAGCCTGATCCAGGAGTTGCGCGTATTCCAGCTGTTCTGCAATTTTCTGCAAGAGCGAGATCGGCTCGTTTGCGGAAACGGGCATGCTGATGGTGCTAAGATCCTTGCCAACGTTCTTCCGGACAAACGCAATCAAACTGGGGGGCAGCACTGTTGCGGGCGGAATGCCAGTCCTGCGGTTAATAGTGACGTCGAGAGGCAGGGGGGTAAGGCTCTTCGGCTTGACTGGGAACAGAGCGTTTGCGCCGCCGCCACTCCGCACCTCATCCTCTTCGACGGATGAGATGGACGAGTTGTCGTGTGACGAAGCATCATCAGCCTCCTCCGACTCATGTGTCTCCTCCTCGTCGCTGGCATCAATCTTGACAACCCTCGTGGCATCTTCTGCGTCAAAGAACTCTTCTGCAGTCGATATTGTATCCAGACTCAAGCGGGATGCGGCCTCGGCAGATTTGGGAGCCGGCATCCGGCGGCGCTTGCTGTTGTTGATGAGAACAGTGAACTCGCTGACAACGGAATCGAGGTCGGCCAGCAAGGCCGCGCAATGATCCTGCAAAGACTTTTCTTCTTGCGTTGCGCCCTTCGACTTGCGCTTGTTCATATCGTCGTGGTGATGGTGGTGGTGGTGGTGGTGGTCCTCAACTGTCGCCGAGTCCGGACGCGCTCCGGGTGGTGTCACTACCGAAGAGCTAGACTTGCGTTTCCAAAAGGACTTTCTCTCTGCTCCATCGCCAGTGTCGTCGATGGCACTCCCCGGAGCACCTAGGTGATGCGAAGACGAGGACGTCGGCCTCGGTAACGCCGCAACCTCCTTGGTCAGACGGCGCAGCGCATCGCGAGTTCCGACGACACGGCTAACTAAAGTCTCGACCTGCTGCCATTCAACCTCTTCGTCCCGCCCTGCCTGATGACTGGCAGCGGCGTTGCTGCTGTTGTCCGGCTGTAGAGTGCGATGATCGACTTGCAGGCCGAGCTTTGGCTGCTGCGGCTGGCTTTCCAGACCTCTGGCCAGTTTGCTCGCTTTCTCAAGAGCCCGAGCCCAGTCCTGGAATTCCTTGTCATTAGGTGCCTTGAGATGCCACACTTCGGCGCCAGAGTCGATGCTGATTTCCCTTCTCCTCTCATCGGCAGCAATGGCAGCCAAGCTCAAGGGGATGGCTCCGCGGAGAGCAGAAGAGTTCCGGTTGTAGTAGTAGGACAGGGTGCAGGTGGAGTAATCGAGGGAAAAGAAGCGGCGAGCATAGCCCTGTCCCTTCTTCCGTCGTCTCTTCGAAAGCGTTCCGACGTGGTAATTGGCCGGCATGGTCGCGTCAGACACGGTACGCGCATGGCCTTTGCTCGGGTGGCTATGGAAGCTATCCACAGAGGCAGCGGGATCCGCCTCATGGGACGGGCTGCCATGCACGCCCAAGCTGGTCTGACTGGCATTCGGCATCTGCAAGTTCGGGAGATGGTTGGCGCTCTGCGGAGCGGCTCCGGTAGGATACGTCAGCACGACAAAGGTGGCCGTCTTCGATGTCTGCTTGGAGAAGGTGTTGTCAAAGACCAGGCCGTACATGCCCGTCTGCCCAGGGGGCACGTCGTAAGCTCCCATGGACACCTTGTCCGCCTCACACTTCCCGAACCATTTTATCGATATAAAACCCTTGCTAGAAAGCAGCTCTTGTGCCGTGACATCCTTCTTGGCAAACCGGCTCGCTTTGCCCTCGGCAACTTCCTGGGTCTGGGGGGTATGGGAGTGTATGTCGTCGCCGGCCGAGGAAGAGAGACCCGTGGCGCCGCTGCCTGGGTGCTTGACAATGCCAAAGTTACTAGATGATTGCACGGGTCAGTCAGGGCCACAGCGGAGCGCTTTGGCTCACATGCAATGGACGTCTACTGCTCACATGGACTTTTTGTGCGGTTGTACACTCCAGGAGAGGGTGTTGCCCTCCTCGACCTTGACCCATCGGACAATGTAGGACTACATGTTGCCAGTCAGCCGTTTGTTTCCTGCTTGTGGCGTCTGAGGAGAGGAGAAGTTCGAAAGGACGTACCCTGCTGTGGACCTCGAGCCTCTCTATGCCCGCCATTGCTCCTCAAACGTGTCCGGGAAAGCCTCGAAGCGTCGGTTGTGTAGCAGAAGGTCGCGAAACAGGTTTCGTAGTTTAGAGCTCCAAGTCCATCGTACGTTCCAGGTGTGCCGTCGGAATCGTCGGTGGAAGCACACGCGCAGGTGCAGCAAGCTAGCTGAAGCAAGGAGGTGAGATTGCGTGTGGCTGAGGAGCGGCTTTTAGGAGGTGAGGATGGAGCGAGAGGGAGCTGATGCTGGCGATGGAGATGGACAGACCACGTTAAATCAACTGTCGGGCTCGGCGTGGTTGGCCTCCTAAGCTGCCTGAGCACCCGGTACAAGCGGGAGGTACCAGCCGCACGGGGCTGTGGCTGGGGTGTCTTTTATTAGCAACGGGATGTCTTGGTAGCTCGGAGAGGTGTTAGCACTGGTGAGGATTCGGTGCAAGTGGCTGAGGCCCAGGGTCCAAATCCCGCCTCCGCCAGCTGACTGCGGCACCGCTCAGTAAGCTCTTGTGCACAACGGTGACATCCAGGTCATACAGACCATGCAGACAGACTCGTGCATCGAAGAACAGCCGATGCAGTGGTCAGCATCGCAGCCCACTGCTGAGCGTCTTCTCTCCGTTATATATATATGCCCCAAGGCCTCGCCTGCGCCGGCGCTGTCGGCGGCTGGACTCGGACGGTGACAGCACAAACTCGGACCAGGCAAACGGCGGACTGGGCGATGGCGCAAGGTACGGCCAGCGTTGCGGAGACATCCGAAGCCTCGGCCAGCTGTTGACAAATTGCCCGTGTGGAATCGTCGGGAAATTCGCCAGGCCTCTGTTGCGTCCTATTGTAATTGCTTCGAGAAGGGCAGTTGTAGTGTCCAGCAGCTGGCTTACGGTGACCTCTGCGTCAGTGGCACCACCACGGCGAAGGGAACCGAGGCCCAGACTCCAGGAGGCAAATGTGAGATGGGCTTCATCCACGGACGTTGCTTCACCTGTACTCCGTGCCGAGAAGAGAATGTCGTGGACCGGCAAGCCCGGAGCCTCGGGTTGGGGGCACGTTAGAGATGGCGGACGAGCCAGTCTGGGAGACAGTCTTCATACATAGGTAGTTTGTCTAGTACCTAATCGCGATGCTAAGCATGTCGGTGGTCGGTCTCGGTTGATCCCGGTGGGTGGCAGCGGAGGGAGTTCCGAGAGCCAGACGATGCATTCTGAGGGAGATCGGATACAAGACGAACCAGCGAGTCGTGCGGCCCGAGAGGAAACGCGGGCTTTCTGATTCTTCGATATCGAGCACGATCCCCGACTCACGAATCACTTGAAGAGATTAAAGAGTCCGGTGCCTTGAGACCACCCACGAGCCACCGGTATGCTGACATGGTCAATTAAAAGACGTGGTTGTTGTGCTCAAGGCTGTCTGCTAACATAAGGTACCTACGCATGGGCAACACAGCACTTCTGTGTTACCGCGAGACAGCCGCTGCAGCCAGAGCATTATCACTGCCTGACTGCGCCATTTGTGAGACGACCAGCCGTCTCTGCCTTGCTCCCATCAGACCGAGGGCATCGCATCGCGACGTTGTTTCGTCTTCTGGCCCTTGATTCATCTGCACATGGCTTCCACGTTCCTCGTCTCTCCAGTACTGTACCTCTGCGGTGTGGAAGCTGCAGCCTTATCGATTATTAACCCCACTGCGACTAGTGTCTCAATCTCAGCTGGAGATCCAATTCCTGCCCTCCATTGCACCCGACCCCAGCCATTTATTAGCGCTGAAATACGGGACGCAGGGAGCGCTGCCAGAATCCATCGCTGCCGCTGAAGCGCTGAGCCAGGCCCTGAGCACGGTCGTCTGCAGGGCCTGGGCCAGCTGAAGCCGCTCTGGAGGACCTCTGGAGCGCCGCTGGAACACCTCCAGCTGCCTGTAATTAGCCCCTCCCCACAATGCGCTGTGGCGCTGTCGCTGGTCGTGTGGCAGCTGCGGGCTAATGGCGAACATCGGGTAATGATTCGATACTTCTCCTTTTTCCCCAGTGGATAAAGTCACAAAACCGAATCGCAACACCCATGAATCGCTTTGTCTCGCTAGCACCACTTCCTTCGCCTGTCTCCTCGTCTCGGTTGTTTCTTTCTTTCTATTTTTCCCCTCGTGGTCTGCTTGGGTTGTTCATTGTTTGCCTTCGTTTCTTGCTGGTTCTCTCTCCGCCGTCTGCGAGCTGCGATATCCTCGGGCCCGTCCCTCTGCCGCACGGCCCCTCGCCCGTGTCCATCGCCATGACCCTGGTCTGATACCAAGACCTCATCTTACACTCAGCCCAGGCGTAGAAAATCGAACAGGCCCGGCTGGGTCTCCAATCGCTTGGTCAACTTGTGCCTCCATAGCGACGAGCACCCCGGTCGTGCCAGCGCCTGAACCTTTTTACGCGCGCATTTGCTCCTGCTCCGCTCGCCTTGGTCGACAAGCAACACATTGCCCGAGAGCCACGACAGCGTCATGTCGGGCACCCTGAGCAAGCGCCAGCAGGCGCGTAACGAGGCGATTCTGCAGGAGCTGGTACATTCGGTGCCAGGCAATGACCAGTGCGCCGACTGTCACGCGCGAAACCCAGGTATGCACCATGCACTTCCGATGCTGCTCGCACTCGTCGTGCAACCGTTTGCTAACCGCGACCCGTGTGACAGGCTGGGCATCATGGAGTGTACGATATCCTTTCCTCGACGACCCTTTGTGCCGCTGCGACCCGAGATGGTACATGCTAACCCGTGCAATTGCAGTTGGGCGTCTTCTTATGTATGCGCTGTGCCGCGATACATCGAAAGCTGGGCACGCACATATCCAAGGTCAAGTCGCTAAGTATGGATGCGTGGACGAACGAACAAGTCGACGTGAGCGAGCGCCCTCCCTCTTGATCAACACTAGAAGTGCTTGAAGCTCATCTGTTTTGCCTACCTATAGAACATGCGGAAAGTCGGCAACGCTGCGTCCAACAAGATATATAACCCCGAGAACAAGAAACCATCGATCCCCATCGACGTGGACGAGGCGGACTCGGCAATGGAGAGATTCATCAGGCAGAAATACATCAACAATGTCGCCGGCCAGGCTGGCAAGCTGAAAAGACCGCAGCTCGATGAAGGCACCCCGCCACCACTCCCGCCCAAAAACTCCAAGTTCGGATTCCGGTCGGCATCGTCGATATTCCCACTGTCGTCGCGGGCAAAGAAGGAGGCAAAGGCGGCCGCTGCGCAGGAGCTTGCCAACTCCAATTCCTCGTCGAGCTCGAGCCACGCAAACCAGGCGAACCACGCGAACAAGCAGTCCAAGGTGTTTGGGGCCACCGTGGACTACGGCCAGGACGACACAGACAAGAAGCTTGCGAGACTACGAGACATGGGCTTCCAGGACGACCAGCGAAACACTGCTATTCTCAAGGGAGTCAACGGCAACTTGGAGCGTGCTGTAGAGGCGCTTGTTCGTCTCGGCGAAGGCGACAGGTCACCAGGACCGGCGCCAACAGCCGAGCGGACGTTGCGCACCTCGAGGTCGCTGACGCCGGTGGGCTCGAACGCCGGGGGACTCAACCTAGGTTTGAGCATGCCACAGAAGGAATCGGCGTCAGGACGACCAACTACGGCATTGGCAGCGTCTACGAACCCCTTCGATATGTTCCCGCCTGCTCAGCCCCAGACGGCTCAGTCCACCGGGACGCTGCAGACCAACAACCCATTTCTGAATTCGACGAATCCCTATGGGAATCCCGCTCACCAGGCCGGCCTCGTCACGCAGGCTTTCCAGAACATGAGCCTGTCTCCGGCGGCTCAACCTCTTTTCCCCCATCATACTGGAGGAATCGTTACGTCGCCCCATCAGTTCTCGATGTACCATCAGGCTCAGGCTACTCCGCCAGTTCCTCAACAATACCAGGGGTTAAGCTTCCAGAGCAGCATGACATACCCTCAGCCCGCCACGCAGCCTCTGGCACCTCAGCACACGGGCTACAACCCGTTCCTTACGCAGGCCCCGGCGTCCTCTCCGTTCCAGCAGCAGCAGCCGCAGCAGCAGCAGAATCTGTCCCTGAACACTAACCAGCCCGCGACATATGCGAACAACCCCTTCACGCGATCGCCGACGAGGATATCGTCGCCTTCTCTCACCCAGATTCCCGAACAGTCTCAGCCCACGATGTTTCAGACTCCGACGCCGCTTCAACCTCACTTGACTGGAACAAATCCCTTTTTGAACAACGGCGTGCAGTACCCCCAGCAAATGCTCCAGCAGCAACCGCAGCAACCGCAATACTACGGGCAACAGCTGCAGCAGCCGCAGCCGCAGCAACAGCAGCAATATTACCAGCCTCAGCGTCAGGACAAGGCGTCTATTCTCGCGCTGTACGGCCAGCCGCAACCAGCACGCCCCGCGGCCTCCGACCCTAACTTGCACGCACAACCACCAACCATCCCAGAGGACAGACCAATGCCGATGCAGCCTGCAGTGACGCAGGCGCAATCGCCCATGAGCCCGTCGCAGCCAGTTGCGGGAACCAACAACCCGTTCATGAAGAGCGGGCCTGCGGCAGCGTCTCCAGATCCCTTTGCGACGGATCGTAAGATTAGCCGAGAGAGCATGAATCTGGGCATGGACATGGCCTGGACGAACGGGCGGCACAGCCCGGATGCCTTTGCAAGCCTCAGTGCGAGACATGGTTGAGCGGATGGTGGAGTTGGATGTGCTATTTCTGTCTTTCTTTTTTGGTCGATTGATTCGGTTCTTGATTCCTCTTCACTTTCCATATTGTATTTGTTTACTGTCTAGTCAGGGCGCATATGCCAGAGCAAAGGGTTTTGGCACATTTGTTTTATATATGCCTTGCGATGACTGGGCCTCGGAGGGTTGATAAAAATCTATACCTGATTGTTTGGGTAGCGAGATGGATACAGGGCCCATCTACCTCGGATGTAAGTAGCGGTTATACTAGCATACATGAAGATGTGCAGTGCAGACGGCCAAGGTGTCTGCAGCTGCTAATCATTCTCCTTTGTCGTCGTCTTTATCTTCCTCTACCTACCAACGGGTGCATTCTCGGCTGGCATCGGGAACGGAAGTGGCCATTGCGTCTCAAGTCTCACTATCAAGTTGTTGATTCACTCAGCAAACCAGTCGATAAGTAGTCATAGGCAAGAATATAAGGACACATCACTAGCAGTGCAGCCATGGCTGGCGTCTGTGAATCAGGACGAGGTGTAGAGACAGTCACGAGCTTTGCTTGCTGGGTTGTACCATCATAGGATTGACTAAATGTAAGCTGGCAGTGCACCCTGATGAAAGCATATACGGCATTGACAACGGGGTTTCATAAAAGCGCAAGGGTCAGTACGAATGAAATAGTATTGATTCATTGGCGTCCTGGGCATTGCCCCTTTTCTTGATATCTCGACTCCCTCCCTCGGTCAGACGGCTGGAGCTGGGCAAGGTCTCTACTAACCTACTCAAATCCTGGCTAGGGGTATAGAAGTACAAGCGCCGTTGTCCGTCTTGATGCTATTCACAACTAGGCCGCTCTATGAACCACCGTCATGCCCAAAAGCCTGATCATCGTAATGAGATATGCAACATTGATTGACCAACATCGCCAAGAAGAGAGTTTCGTCATCCAACGTCCCGTTTGACGACGGAAGTTCGGGGGCCACAGACAGCAAGCAAACATGTCCATGCAGCCGTACTGTGCGGCAGCACGCAGGCTGTGCACTACGAGACAGTGTGCACAGGCCCCCCACGACGTGATTCAGTGACCCAACATGTGGGCTTGGCAATCCGGCTGATTGGCACCCACAGCGGTCTTCTGGACCTTTCGACTCCGCTGCGACCGGCTACAGTGCAGTACCCGACAACCAACCCCCCGAGAGAGCCGCTGGAGCGCTGTAAGCCCGCCTGCCAACGCCCTGCCGAACAGCCTGGAAGCGTCGAGCCGTGCCAATAACGCGCTGGACACGCAGGCGCTAGCCCCCCCCCCGGTGGCGTAGTCAGCAGAGCACGCAACATTGAAGCTAAGCTGCTGCAGTGGTTAAAGTGCACACCACTTCCGCGTTTCTCCCGTGCTCCTCTTTTCCCTTTTTTCCTCCCACCCGATTTCCGCAGCAGAAAACAGCCAGCTTCACCAGCACAACGACCACAGAATCGCCGACCCGAACCCGGTCACCACTCCTCAACTCTCTTAACAATTCAAAGCCACGCAAATCCGCAACTTCGACCAGATCCGAATCTGAACGATCCGCTGCTTCGTGCGTCACCACCAAAGTCAAACCTCGCCACCTCCAGACGACCTAGCCCACGGCTCGGTAATCCTCGATAACTTCGTCCAAAAACAACACCTCTCAAGCAATCACCGTGGAATCTAGCAGCAATGTCGCCAATGAGTAACCACAATTTAAATTACAGTAGTAATTATGGCGAGGACCTGACTGCCCGTGTCAACGTCCTTGCCTCCTGCTACATTGTCGACTCGGCCGCCAACCTCAAGGGCCTCCACTACTGCACTACGGGGGTCACAGGTGAGTCCCGGAATCTCCTAATTGGCCTCTAAGAGGACAATACCTCATGGATGATGATGATTATGGTGCTAACAATCTGCCCAGGGGCGGAGTGGTATTCCTGAGGTCCCTTCCTCAGGCCTGCCTTCTCCTCCGTCAAGTCCCCCCCTCGCCGCATTGACCTCGTCCAACGAGCTCGCCCTTCTTCCTAAGCAGAAGAAGCGCGACATTCCGGGCCGCCGCCTGGAGCGACGAGGGGGGGCAGCACTCATGATCAGGGAAGAATGTGAGAGATTCTTCTGTGAGACCATGAAGACCGTGTTCCTTGGTGAGAGGGACCAGTCTGTTCATGGCTCCGGCTTGACAGGTGCTTATTTGCAATCGCCGCCACCCGACAACCACCTCGCAGATCCATTCAACCAGGGCCCGGACGCAGCTCCGGCAGGCTCGCGGATCGACGCTTGGATGGAGGTTTGGGACTATGCCGGCGGATCAAGCTTCCGCGCCTTTGTGGCAGACGACGGGAGGGAGAAGTCCCTCTTTGTCTTCTTCGACATTGAAGGCGTGCTAGGAAGAGACTTGAAAAAGGCGTAAGTTTTCTGCATTTCCTCCTGTTTGAAGTGAGTCTAACAATTTCCCTTAGTCTTATGGCGCTCATTGAGCTTGCCGACGGTCCCTTGGCCTGCAGCCAGATCGTCGCTTGCCTCGATCGCCGACTTCCTGCAGATGACGCTCATGATTTGATCAAGAGCCTTCAGTGGGTTGGCTTCGACATGGCCACACTAGATCACTGGGCCAAGGACTTGGACGTGACTAGCAAGCAGTGGGTTTTCATGGGCATGGAACTCTAAGCTTTTCTTTGCTTTTTTTTTTTTTTTCTCTGATTGCCTGTGCTTCATCTGTGCGATCTTTGCTGCGATACACCCAAAAGCAAACTAGGTTGATATCTTTGGACTGCCCATACCTTTTCTTTTGCGACAAAAACCACGGGGCGTTGGCAAACAATTCCATGGTTCTTCTCTAGGCCGGCATCACCTCCCAGGAGTTTTCCGTGGTGCTGTTTTCTTTTTTCTTTTTTTTTTTTTCTCACTCTGTTCGTGCTTTGACAATTGGCAAACTGCCTCTTTGGACCAACGGCGTCTGGACAATTCCATCTGGAGTCACGGCTCAACCGGGATAGAACTGCGACGGAGTATTCCGGACAGGTTTAAGGCCAACAGTTACCAGGTAGCTGCCAAGCGTGTATATAACTTTGAGAATGGATTGATTCTACTTGTCTTCAAACAAGTTTTTCCTCAAGTGTACTCAATCCGTGGAATGTATCAAATCATATCCTTTTTTCAAATTACTCTAAACTATCGGCATCATATCTTTTCTTCTATATTGGATCCCCACATCATGTGCTCATTCAGACTCATCACAACTCGCCCTCGAATTGCCTTACCAGCAGCCCCTTTTGCTGAAGGTAATCCTTGACCTGCTTCACCGTATACTCTCCCCTGTGGAACATGCCGGCACCCAGCGCGGCGTCCGTGGTGGTCTTCTCAAAGACCTCCTCAAAGTGCGCCGGGTTGCCGGCGCCGCTGGACGCAATGACGGGGATCTTGACGGCGCCCTTGACCTGGCGGATGAGCTCGAGGTCGAAGCCGCTGTTGGTGCCATCCTTGTCGATGCAGTTGAGCAGGATCTCGCCGGCACCCATGGCCTCGACGGCCTGGACGAGCTCGACAACGTCCATGTCGCGCGTCTCGCGGCCGCCCTTGATGGTGCAGGCGTACCAGCAAAAGGCCTCGCCCTTGGGGCCGGGGAAGTCGGTCTTGATGATGGCGTGGCGGGTGGCGTCGAGCTTGGGGACGTAGACGCGCTTGGGGTCGACGCTGACGACGACGGCCTGGCGGCCGTAGGCGCGCGAGATCTGCTCGATGGCGGTGTTGCCAAAGAGCTTCTTGCCGAGGGAGTAGTACTCCTCCGCGGCGAGGACGGCGTCGGAGCCGATGGAGACCTTGTCGGCGCCGGACTTGAAGTACATGGTGGCGATGTCGAGGGCCGAGACCTTTGTGCCGTCGGTGTCGACGGTGTCGCGGATGCCGCCGCCAATGGTCAGCGGCACGAACACGGTCAGCGACGTCTGCCGGAGGACCTCGAGCATGGGGAGGTCGGCGAGCGGGCAGTCGCGGAAGGACGTGATGTTGAGGAAGGTGACCTCGTCGGCGCCCGACTCGTAGTACTTCTTGGCCATCTCGACGGGCTTGCCCAGGTTGCGGACGTTGCGGTCGGCGCCCTTTTCGCGGACGTCGTACTGGTCGCCCTTTGTGACGACGAGGTCACCCTGGTCGTTGGTCCGCACGTCGAGGCAGGCAATGACGCGGCGCGTGAGGCCGTCCTTGGGTTCTCTCGACGCCGCCATGCCGTCCGAGGGCAGATCGGCGCCGAGGTTTTGCGCGCCGGAGCCGGTCAGGAAGGCCCGGATCGTCCGAAGGCCGGCGACGCCCGACTTTTCGGGGTGGAACTGCGTGGCGTAGATGTTGCCCTTTGCGATGGCGCCGATGAACGTCTCCTTTCCGTAGGTGCCCGTCGCGACTGTCCAGCCCTTGGCCTCGAGCTCGCCTTTGCTGTAGGGAGACTTGTAGGTGTGGACGTAGTAGTATTTCGAGTCCGGCCTCAGGTCGTACATGACCTTTCCTCCGGTGTTGGCGTCGTTCCACCCAATGTGCGGTACCGACTTGTCCTGGTCATCGAAGCGTGTGAGAGACGAGGGTATCAGGCCGAGACCGGGCACCTCTGGGTCTTCCTCTGAGCCCTCGAACAGGGCTTGGAGGCCGACGCAGATGCCCATGAACGGCTTGCCCTCGTCAATGTGCTTTCTTATCGCGGGCAGGTAGTTTGCCTGTGAGAGCTGGGTGAGGCAGTGGCCGAAGTGGCCAACTCCGGGAAGAATGAGTTTCTGTCATGGAAAAAGCATGAGTAAGTGAGTCAAAATGCCTTGAGAGGAACCCGTCCGGTCACTCAAACCTCTGCTTTGGGCACATCTTCGGGAGACCGGATCCAGTCGACCTCGTAGCCCAGCTTCTCAATGGCATTGACCAGGCTGCGGATATTGCCGGCCACGTAGTCCAGGAGGTGAACCGTAGGCATCTTTTGCCTGCTGCTGCTGCCTGAGAACAGCCCGCGGGGTTCAGCGTTTTTGGTGAGTTGCGGATGCGGTTGCTGAGGGTTGCGCAGCCAGCTCGCGGATGGTAACTCTTGCGGTGAATGTATGTATCACAGTATGATGCGAAGTGCTTCTGCAATCAATGGGATTTGCACTGCACTTATAGCAAAAGAAAGAGATAAAAATAATTCCTGAGGCGGGTTGTGAGTCAAAGCAAGAGTCTGAGTCGAAATAGTTCATCCGCTATGCACTTTGAACCGGCCGCGATGCGAAATTCTTATCGTGGGCCTGATAACGGCAGTCAAAAGAGCGATAGCGGGGCTGATGTTCGAACCCAAGTCACTGGCGACGCGACTAGGCCGAAAGCAGACGCGGTGGGTGGCATCGGATCTTGTCAAAGAGCTTTCAAGGTTCGCAACTTGCAGGTTCAATTGTTTTTTCTTTCTCTCATCACCCGATGCACGGCACTTGGAGCTGAGGCTGGCTTCATGTAGAGCATTGCACAATCTGCGCGACTGGCGTGTTGGCTGATGCTGGGACAGAGACACCATTCGACTCGCGCAATATCCGTCACAGCAGCACAGTCTGGCGCATTGCCCAGCTGCCTCGGGGACTGTTGGCTGTGCTAGCTACCTACTTACCATGGCAACCTCAGCTACAGCTTCAGCGGCTGGGAAATCGGCGGCGGCAACGACTTCTTCGCCATGGCTGGGGGACGAACCCGGCGCTTTGAACGTCGACAAGGTCCTGCAGCAGGTGTCGCAAGATGACCAGGACGAGTGGGAGTATGAATACTCTGCCACCGAGACAGAGGTAAGGTCTTCCTACCTACATCTCTGCGGCTGGAGTGGCAAGAGCTTCGCGCCCTCGAAAGCTAACTTCTGCCCCAACTAGACATACTATCTGACAGTGGAATTATCATACCCGGAGTTCAAAGAACGCCCAGCAAAAGCCCATCATCACAGCCGCGGCGGGTACTACAAGAACTGGTCAGACCAGTATGCGGATCACTTGAAGCTCGATTCAAGGCCCAATGACCATGCTGTCGGGCCGCAAGACTCCAATGACAAGGAAGGCAATGATCAGGACGATGACGAGAACCCCGGACCCGATCATGATGCCTCAGGACAAGAGCAGGTGGAAAACGCAGATGACGCAAACATAGACCCTCGGCTGAGAGCTATGGGGGATGTTGGACGGAACAATGCTGCAAAACCGACGAATCACGGGCGAAAGGACAAGGGAAAGGGAAAAGAAAAAGAGGCGGAAACTGCGAGAGCAGAGACGGAGGCGACAGCAGAGGACACGGAACAAGCCGACGAACCCCTAGAAGAGATTCAGATTCTCGAACTTCACTCTCAGAACCCGATTATATCCTACAGGGGCCGCGTGTTTGAGGGGCAATGGGCAGAGGTCATTGGGACGGAAGCGATCCTGGCAGACCGCGAAGCCAAAGATGCCGCCCAGCTACCCGCTCTTCGCCATCTTCCCGGTGGAGTGGACATACTTGGGGCCAGCTCCTCGCGTCTCTTGACTACCGAGAAGATATTGAAGCCCAAGGTGGCTCAGGAGGACACTCTGGCAGCTATTCGCGAGGAGTGGAACATTCGCATCCCCCCTGGAAAGGATCGGACCGGCGAACGGGCGCAGCAGCTACGCTTCCTGGAGAACCTCATCGCCTTGAAGAAGAAGAGGGGAGACCCGGACGAGGTCACGGTTTATGCATTGGATGGTCCCGGGAAGGATTTTGACGACAGAAAGGGACCAGACTTCAAACCGCGCCGAAAGAAGCCAAGTCTTGGTGTTGACCAGAGTAACGGAGCCGATCCAGACGAGAGAAGAGAGCGTCGGTATATGAGGCGAAGCCAGGGCCGCCGAGGGGGTCGACGCAGGAGGGCATCCGCTGCAAGAGGAGGCTCGGCGGCAACAGATAGGGGCACCGGATCTGCTCTGGATGCTAATGAGCTCTCCACACCAACGCCAAGCCATTGGGACGAGCTATTTGGCATCCAAGAGGACGAGGATGAGGATGATAGCATCAACGACATCTCCGAGGACAGTGACGGACCAGAAAGGCGGCGCGTCTCTTCCGATGAGGACAACGACGATCAAGGGGACGAAGACGACAACGACGGCGATACGATGATGCTTGATTAGGGTCTGATGTGGAGGATGCTTACAGGTCCATCGCCGCCTGGGTCGGGGGAAGCTCTCGTGCATGACTACTCGAGAGATTTTCGCACAATTAACCATGGCTGGGATTTCGATCAAGGGGGGGTCAGACTCATTCGGAGGCGCTGTACGGCAACAGGCCGTGTAACAGCTAATCGCGACGCCGTATATTGGCACGACACTGCCTCAACGGCAATGAGCCGCATCGCTACGAAGCATGGGCAAATGGCACCAGGGTGTTGATGCATGACTAGCCCTGAGGTACGAGTGAATCGTAACGACATTGATAAAGCATTGTCCGTGGCACCAACTTGGCATGACTCTGTGCGAGTAATTGCCACACAGAGTCATGTGTGAGGATCAGCTGTTTGGCCGGTAGCACAATGAGGCAGCCTTGCAATTCTACTCGTTCAGCAGCCAAGCCATGGTATGCTGACGCTGGCCAGCGGGCGATGCCATGTGGTGGCCTCGAGGGAAGTGGTTCGCCGCAGATGCCCGCGCCATCTAGCCTCCGAGTGGAATCTCGTACGCGAATCGGACGGGACGATCTCTTGGCTCTGGAGAGCTTCAGGGTGTCAGGGTTCACGGGACGAATCTAGCAGATGAGGCTAGCGAGTGGCATGGATGGGCACTGCGATTAATATCCGCCATGGCCCAGATGGCCTCCAACTGCCGCATGCTTGAGGCATGTAGTGCTATTGGCCAGGGCCAGATCTGGGACTACTGTCTGGCAGCTCGATACGCGGAGAGGTGCGGTATTAACTGAAGAGGGAGGATTAGAGTATAGGCTATGTACATGCATGCTGAGGCGAACGCCATTTGCAGTATGACTGCCATCCAGTCATGACCGTGACTACTAGTATGGACATTCAGATTGCAGTTCAAGCCATGTCATGCCTTGTCTTTTGCGAAGACTTGTAGGTACTGTCTGAAGGAGACTGTTCCACTGTCCATCCATACCTCTGCGGGCTAAGAGTTTACGAGTACGAGGGGCAAAACTCAGCCAGTCATTCCCAGAGAACCGAATCAGTGATATTCTGTTGGCTTTATATAGGTATGCTCTCACTGCCTCTGATCCGTACACGGAAGATCTAGATAGTAAGGTAATAGAGTACTCAAGTGATGGGATACGATTCAAAGAGACGAAAATAGCACAGTAGTAAGCTGGCCGTTTACACGTAACCACTACTACTAGTTGCTGCTTGCATATGAGGTGAGCCGGCAGTGCGAGGCCATTGGAACTTGGATCCAATCGAGCATTAACAGTATCGGGACTAATCTAATGTGGCGTCCGTTTGAAAGGCCGGCTCAAAGTTGGTTTCAAGTGCTTTAGTGTTCTATTGTTCAAGAGACGCCTCCTAACGACGATGAACTCGTCCAGGTAGTTAGTCCTTGTTCCACAGTGGAAGTAGGCCTGCAACAGGAAACGGCCTCAGGAGAGGTAAACACACCGGAGAATGAATCATGTGCTCTCGTATCTTGTTGTCTCGTCGATGCTGCAACATGTTGTCCCTTTCTTCCATTTGCTTTCTGTACTGTGCCTATTCAGATTGGCGACCGACCTAATTCATGTGGAGTGCGCCGAATATGGCTCGATGACGTTTAGGGGTCTTTCGGGGTAGTGATAAGTATGTACAAATGAGCCTGAGCTGCAGCGATTGACCTCAGACGGATTTCAGAGAAGCAGGCAAGCAACGATTTAATTGAACAGTTTAGAGGGACTCGCCCTTTTAGTCAAACACCAGAATGGTACTCCTCCGATCAATTAACTGCGTTGAAATACAGGGTAGTCGGTAACATGACTAGAGGTTTACGAGACGGCACAATTGCTGAGTCGTAATCCCAACGCTCCTACACCGTATTTGGCGTATTACATATTATCGCACCAAGCCCATGAGCACTTCCGAAGCCGAAGTGTCTCACAATGCAGCACCTTGATACGTATCCGGTACGATATGCTCCAACACAGGCGCGGCTGTCTGTCCTCTCCACGGGACCAAATGGGGGGCCATCTTCACGGACCATTGAAGTCGTCGGCAGTGATTCGCCTTGAGAGAACCTGGAATGACAACAGCCTGGATGTACCGCTACCTGCTCTGCTTGAGTGCTTACCTTTGTACCGCTGCTGGTACCTGCAAGGAAGGAGGGCCCAAAGGGAAAGAGCTGCTGGCAAGAACACATGGCACCGCTGCGTGAGCATCTGGCGAATGACATGGCGAGACGAGAGGAGGAGAAGGGGGCAGGTGCAGCGGGCTGGCCTTGGCTTCCTGTCAGGGCGGCTCAGCCGGACACTCCTTCCTTCCCAACGGACGCACGACATGTAGCGGTACAGGTACAGGTACGAAGTCTGGCCACGGGCTCTTTGAGGGTTTCAGTGGGCGCTCGTACTCGTACTCACCAGTCTGGAGGTACAGTACGAAGACGGTCGGGGGTCAGGCAGCGCTGCGAGGTACCGTCCAGCGCCCGAGCAATGCCGGCCCAATCAGCGCCCGCCGCTGCCCACTAAAGCGAGCGCCAGCGACCAACCACGGCGCCGCGTGGCGACAGACGTGCCAGCCCAGCGGTTGCGGCCCCAGATCAAGGTACCGGTACGTTGATGCGGGCTGCCTGGCCGGTGCCGGGAGTGGAGCAGCCACCTGCCGCCCGAATGCGTGTACGCTGTACGAGTACCCGCCAAGTACCGCGACATTCCTGGCCTTGCCTTAGCACCACACACCCTCCGCCACAAACAAGAACCTCCACCAACTTTGAGGCTGCGTCTCAATGGCTCACGCTTCCCGACTAACTCAAACTTTTCCTCATTCTTTGTCTTCCTCTTCTACTTTGCTTCGTCCCTGTTTTTCTCCCTCACTCTTCTTCCTCTTCCCCACATCCTCGTCTGTTCATTTCGCTTGTGAATCGCTCAAGCATGTCGCCAGGGGCGTCGTGATCAGTGCTTTTCGCCCCTCCGTGATGCTCTTATAACAGTCCCTTGGCCATCCTCCTTTGTCTCTCGAGTCTTGGATCCGCTTCGAGCCGCAGCCTCCCCCCCCCGGACCGCCCGCCTCTTCCGGTTCGCTGGCTTGTCGACATCTCTCGCTCGTTCTCTGTTGATGTTTGCGATCCTGCGGGTTTTGCTGCACGATATCTCTACATCTCTCATTCTACAAGCAGTTATTCGACGTCATCATTAATACGAAGCCTTACCATATTCGTTAACAATCTACATCTTGGCCGGCCTCAACGCTCAGGCTGAGCACCTCCGGTCTCTGGCGACTTCATCTGATATATCGTCTGCCTTCCGACCTTTCATATCAGCCATCATCGACTCTCACTTGCCCGCAAATACCTCGTCTTTCTATTGCCGGCCGTTCCGGACCCCAAAGCCGCCATGTACTGGATGCGCCGGTTCATGATCTTGACGGTGCCGCTGGCAATCATCGTCTTTGCGGCTACCTACCTGCCCGTCATCCTCGATCCCACGGACAGAAATCCCGAGAGCCGTGCTCGTGATCGTCTTTGGGTCAGCAGCAGTCCCTACTTCTGGGATCGCCAAGCCTGCCGATGGTTTAGTCTGTGTGGTCTGCACCACCTTCGAAGGGACCCAGCAGTGCTCCCGCCCCTCGAGGATGAACCCGAAGATGAGCTGAGGCTTGAATTGCGCAAGCGCATGGATCGAACTTGGGAGGAGGATGCTGAATTGAATGCGCAAGAGGCCGACGGTCGACGGAGTAAGAGGTCGGACAAGAAGAGAAACCCACAGGAGCGGCGCAAGATCTTGAGGGAAGTTCCCCAGTATGTCCTCAAGCATGCGCCGCTGGTCCACCTCTACTCTGGCGAGCAGTTCTGGCCTTCGGACATTCGCGAGCACATTGAGCACATGATTGTCACGGTCGACCACAAGCGAGTCAACCTGACCGAAAAAGTATCCCTGCACAACTTGCAGGCTCTCAACAAGTACGAAAAGCGCATGGTCACCCTTCACAGCGTCGAGGATGTCGAATCTCGACCCAAGTGGCTGCACAGCCATGACAACCTGCCGGTTCCCTTTGATGACCCCAATGCTTCAACGCCGCCCTCCTTGGGAAGCGGCAAGAAGGTGCACAGCGAGCCCGACACCTGGTTCGATGTCGACAAGAAGCACCCCGTGCATCGCATCTCAGATCCCCGAAACAAGAATGTACCCGCGTACGCTCCTACACCCGCACCCGGCAAAGAGCAGCAGCGCATTGTTCCCCGCGGTCACAAGCCCGATCCCGATGGCTACTCGAAGGCGCCAGCTACTCTTGTCCTGGTCGACAAGGGGTCGGGCATCATCGATGCCTTTTGGTTCTTCTTCTACAGCTACAACCTAGGACAGACTGTCCTTGGCTTGCGATTCGGCAATCATGTGGGCGACTGGGAGCACTGCATGGTGCGCTTTCAGAACGGGGTGCCCCGTGGTATCTTCTTCTCCGAGCACGAGGGTGGTCAGGCGTACGCTTGGGAGGCGGTTGAGAAGCGCGGCGACAGGCCCGTCATCTACTCTGCCGTCGGCTCTCATGCCATGTATGCCCTGCCTGGCAGCCATCCCTACGTCTTGCCCTTCAAACTGCTCAAGGATGTTACGGACAAGGGCCCGTTATGGGATCCCGCGCTGAACAACTATGCCTACTTCTACGACTACACGCGCGAAGACCCCAAGGACACCATCGAGCATGAGGACGGCATTGCGGAGAAGGGGCTCCTGCACGACACGCACAGCTTCACTCCCGCTGCGTCCAATCCGGATGCTCCGACTACGTGGCTGCACTTCCAGGGCCGTTGGGGCGACGAGGTCTACACTCTCGCCGATCCTCGACAGTGGCGTCTTTTTGGCCAGTACCACTACGTGACAGGGCCTGCCGGACCCAAGTTCAAGAATCTCGAGCGCCAAACGCTTTGTCCGGCCAGGAACTGCCGCCTGTTGTATGAGGTTGATCCCAAGGGCACCTGGTACTAGGCGCCGGTCGGACACACATGCATCGGCGCAGATTCCCCTTTATCTTGCCTTGTTCGTTTGCCCTCTTGCTAGGAACCTTTCTGGACACTTTCGCCACGCTTGGATGCGTACCCAATGAAAGGTCGGCCATTGCTACCCAAGAGGAAACGAATCATATGCAACGGTTGCAAGGCTCTTGTTGAGCCTGAATTACATCTGGAATAAAGGACTCAAGCGAAAAAACGAGTCTCTGATTACGGTTTACACGGGCGCTTAGACGTGCGGGAGAGCGCACCGGCGTTGTTTCTGTTTGGATTTGTGCATCTTGGCCCCCCCTTTGCTGCATTTCGCTTTCTGCTGGTTTCCTTTTGCCTGTCGAAGTGGACAGATGCTTCGTTTTCGACGAGCACCTGCCCCGCCTTGTGACGGCTCTCGCCAACGAATCGATGAATTCTCTCATTTTACTGCTCTGCATTTTTTTCTTGTTGTCCTTTGATAGGAGAGGAGTTGTTCGGGGCGGTTTTCATACTACTTCTTACGGGGGGGACCTATTGATACCCAATCTCGCGGCTTGCGATCCCTTACACACACACACAAAGTACCTTGCCTTTCTCTCTTACACATGCATATGCTACTATAACGGTATCCGCATGATACACGATATGCAGTCCCTCCATCGCAAACATAGATCCCTGCTATACTATGGCTTTTTTTTTTGCGTTGTTCGACATAGATTTGCCTTTTTTTTCTTCTCCTTTTGCGCAAAGAAAGTTATATACCAGATGCTCGATTTACCATCGTTGATGATTTTAAGGGTATGTAGTTGGAATACAAATGAAGATGACTTGAAAGAAATCCTGTTTCTTGGTGTGTGAGCTTTTTGTGGTGTGGTTTCATTCTGTGTCTCGTGCTATTCCCACATGATGATTGGAGGGCACTGGTGGAGAGGGAGGAAGGACAGCGAGAAGAGGGCGCATGATACGCCGATGAGGATATGGTTTGTTTGAGAGACAAGTTGTATTCAGTCAATGCAATACGAGAGCGGATCTCTCCTGTTTGTATGCGCTCTTTCATGTCACTGCTTTGTATTGTTTCTGGCTTATGGGGTGTCTGTATAATGTGGGCTTGGCTGTGGGTAGTTGTACTATATCCTCAAGTATGGCCAGTAAATCGAACATGTATTTGATGGATAAGGAGCATTGAGACATGACAGCGAGAGCATCAACCTTGACAGGAGAAGAGTGATGAATCGGTATAACCAGAAAAGAGAGAGAGAGAGAGAGAGAATTGTCCGTTTTGATCATCCTCCGAGCACATAAGATATATATATATATATATCCAATCCAAACCGCGAAATCGTAAAACTCCCGCAACACCATGCGAATCATTGCCCCATAGACTGTAAAAGCAAAGACCCCCGCCCCCCGACCAAGACGGCCAAGGCCACACATATCCACCCCTTTGCCAAACGCAATTCCATCAAGAATGGTAATCTAAACGAGAGAGCGGTCTTTCCGCCATGATACAAGGTTTATATATCTCATACCCCCCCCCCCCCCCCCCCCCCCCCCCCACAAGAAGATCCTCTATCACCCCGTCATTGAATACCACCACTTTTGGTTTCCTCTACAAATCCCACCCAAGAAGCCCGGTTGGTCCAAGTGAAGAGCAATTTTTTTTAAAAAAAAGAAGAAAAATCCTTATAAGCACCGGAAAATTCATCAAAGAAAGGGCAAACGAGGGGTAGCTACAGTAATCTCGTAGCTTCCCCATCCTGATGAATGTCAAATGTATCGCCGTCGTTGTCCTCGTCGTCGTCCGCCATGGGATCCATATTCTCAGCGTCTGAAAGATGCTCGTCTTCGCGACCTTGATCAAGGTCCTGTGTAGCTGGCTCTGAACTACTCGTGTTAAACAGGGGACTGGACACGGTGCCCTCGCTGTCCCCTTCGCCGTCTGATTCAAGGTTCCTCTGGTAGACGGCGTTTAGATCCATGTCAACATCAGTCGCTTCGCCTTCATCCATGTCGAAGTCATCCCGCTCTGTCAGGACACCCCGAGGGGCAAACATGCTGTGCGGTGTAGCGGGCGTTGTTCCTCGAGGAATTGCCCGATCCCGCCGCTCGGGGCGATCCGGCGCCGGGGACGGGGACGCGGTCGGTCTCGGGCTTATCGGGTGGTGGATGGGCGGGTCGCGGGTCGACTGGCTCTTCCTGACGCCGGCGTAGACGAGCGGCGAGGAATGTCGGCTCTGTCTGCGGGAGGATGCCCTTCGCCTGCGAGACGCGCTGCCGTACGCAGTCTGAAGCGCCATGGAAGAAGAGATGGGGGCCGAGGGCGTCCTGATGAACGGCGGCACCGACTCCTCCCGACTCTTGAGTATCGTTGGCTGGTGGTGGGCAGCATCGGTAAAGCTGCTGGACCATGACGTGGAGGCAGGGAAGTATTCCACCTGGGGCGATATCGAGACGCTCCTGTGGCGTCGTTCCTTGTTGGGCGGCTGCACGATGGGGCCACCGTCGAGATTGTCATTCCACGCCCAGCAATCTCTTTCGAGACGAGCGGAATCGGGCACTTGCTGTGACTCAGAATCGTCGGCACACACCGGCGGGACCTCCTTCTTCAACTTCTGCCATGTCCAGCCTGAATCGTATGCTTTCATGTCCTGGACATAGGCGCCGGGATGGGTAACGAACAATCTAGGTTGCGCTGCCTCCATCCTGACCGAGTTCAGGAACTGCACGTCCCAGAGTGCCGGTGTCAGCATCTCCTCGGGACTCAAGAACCTGAGGCGCGAGTCTTTGTGGATCTTGCGGAGAGGAATCCACGGAGAATGAAGTCCCATGGACTCCGGGGCCTTGAGGCCTGGAATCTGATGCCTGTTGTACATCTGCATGTCGCGAAGCACATTTCCAAAGGCGCCACGCATCGCAGTGCTAACGCTCCTTGCATCCGGCCCCGTGACCCTGATCTTCTTGATCAGCCCACGACTCCTCAGGCGCATGTCGATTACGCTCTGGTCGTTGCATGCCCTAGGCAGCAGCCATTCCCAATCATGGCCCTGCGCAGCACGCCAGGCTTCCAACATGCCGGACGCATCCCTGAATTTGGAAGCGTTTTGTGTATTGTGGGCTTGAGATGATGACTCGCTTCCATGGTCGACAATGGGGCCAAGGTTGAACTGGTGGATTTGCCGCCAAATCCGCTTCAGAGGGAACGGAAGGAAGACAACCTCGACTTCCCACGCGTGTTCCGGACAAGGGATGGCGGAGCGAAGAATGTTGACCTGAGTCTGCAGTGACTGGAGCTGCACGTGTACTTGGTCAGAGTGACCTTGTCGGCTGGCAGTGCTGGAGGTAACTGAGGCAGCGCTGGGGGTGGCAGCATCGTCCTCGGCATTGTGACGGCCCAGGAAGCTATCGTCGAGCATCCGCCTCTCAATGTCGTCCACCTTACTCTCCAGCTCAATGACTCGGGCGTCCATGTTTTCATATCTGTCCTGGCACTCCTCGAAAGCACTGCCGGAGAATGAGACGGTCTCCAGCCTGTCGAGTCGTTGTGCGTGGGCGTCGACGGTTTCTGTGAGATTCCTCAACGCCTCACGAGGTGAAGTCTCGGATTCGTCTGCGACCTGGGTGGTAGCCGTGCTTGGTCGTGGCGTTGATTGCTCCTCATTAGGCTCCTCAATGCTCGCTATTTCCTGATCCGACAGCGACTCGCGTAGACCAGCTGGGGCATTAGCCGGTTCTCTGCTGCCGAGAGTCTGCAGGCCTTTCCCGGCAAAGGGCCTGAGGTACCTGGCGCGCGAGGACGAGGACGAGCTCCTAGAGGCGCCCTGGGACATGAGGCACTGAGGAGGAATAGAGGGCCACGAAGGATCGGGATCTGGCGGGCTCGGTCGTACGACGCCGTCCCAGGCTAGTGTGTCTGGCATGGAGCTGGATGCCTGCCGAGGCGTGGGAAGGGCTGATGGAGAGTCGCAAGGAACGTCGAATGGTTTGTTGAGAAAGGACAAGGGGTCGGCGTCGTTGGGGCCGAGCAACTCGGGCCCAGGGATGGGCATTGACCGCTGACGAAGGAGGAGATCCGGTTCCGGGCTCATGGTCTGCCGCAGGCGCATGGTCTGCAGGCGCTCCAGGGCCTGTGCCGCGGTGGGAGTGAGGATGGGCTCCGGCGGCTGTTGTTGGTGCAGAGGACGCTCATCGTGGTAGCACGCATGGTGGTTGCACATGCACCACCCGCCGGACTGATCTAGGAGGTTGTTGCCGGCAGGCTGCGAGTAGAAGCGACGGCAGCCGCATCGAGGAGCGCCGGCGCCGGGCGTCAGGTCTACAAAGTTGCATCCGCCGCTGGGGAGCTGAGGAGCAGAGGTGGGCGCGATGGCGGCGGATCCCTGGTAGAGGCTGTAGAAGTCGGCGCCGAACTGGAGGGGGTCGAACGGGGCGGAAGCCATTGGGGACGTGTTGCTGTTGCGTTTGGTGGAAGATACGGACGGCAGAGTAATGTCGAGGAGGCGCTCAGGAGTCCCAGAAACTCGGCTCGTTGGTTGCCGTTGATAGGCTGGAGGAGGGTGACGCGCTCAATTGAAGGGGATCGCGGGTTGAGCCTCTCTCGCAACGGCAGGCCCAGACGGGTCGCAGGGCGGTCGGCCTCAGTTCATGGCACGAGGAGATGGCGAGAGTCGGCGAGAGGACAAGCACAATCTGCGGGGGCGGCAGTCGAGAGCAATTGTCGGTGTCGATCGAACCGCCTGGAGTCGCGGGCGGGAGGAGCTGTAGCAATAAGCGAGAATCAGAGGGAGCGGCTGCGGGCGATGGCCAGGGATTTATGCTGCTGCTGCTCTATGGAGGCCGGAGCATTGCTGAATCAAGGCCCAGAGCGCGATTCGAGGCTGACGACGGACGGCAGAGGAAGAAGAATTAGCAGCAGAGAGGTAGAAGTAGAAGTAGAAGCAGAAGAGAGGATGTGACCGGGGGGGGGATCAAAGGCGGCATATGGGGGGGAAGAGGGTGGACATGGCAGGCGATGCGGGAGCAGAAAAGAGTGGATGAAGAGCGCGGCCCATTCATTCTCTCCAGCACTATCATACTCCAGCTCTCCATCCATGCATCCCCCCCCACAGCTTTGGCTCCCTCGAACACGCCTGTTCTGCCGCTAAAGCACCTCGACGGACAGGGCATGTCATCACTCGAGATGGACGCCTTGATTTCTGGGGTTTTGGATGGTTCGCGGACAAACTGCCTGCCTCTCAGTGCAGCCTGGGGGGAGAAGATCATAGGCCAGACACAAGAAAGAAAGATGCCGGATCTGGCTCGGAGATGGTGGTGCTCGCAGGCAGCACACCAGCTTCTTGTCCCGATCCAATTGGTGACTCCCGAGAGAACATCCATTTCAGAACAGCCGCATGGCCTGTGTGAGATGGCATCCATCCATCCACACGATTACCTACCTATCTGGCAGTGACTCTGAGGGGGGAACGCGGGAACAGGGATGATGCAGCCATCACCAAGACAGTCGCACTTGGGGGCTTCCTGGGCCTTGGTTCCGCATCTGCCGGGGGGTTTTTTATTTGAGAGAGATCCAGTGATGCCCAATGCGACCTCTACTGAGATTAGGTATGGATTGCCGTACACTGTCAGTGAGTCTCTGCCGACCATCAAGTTTCTTGTTAGAGTCTCCATCTCGCAGCGTTCAGCAGCGGCTCTCTGTCGCCAGCCGGCATCACCAAATGACAGTGCCAGTCATCAAGTGTTTCTTTCATCACACACATCGAGGTCATACCCAGGCCTCCCTCAGCCTTCTAATCGACTGAAGTCTGGTCAGCTTCAAGCACGCCAACATCAAACGAAGCAACATCAATAAACCCAGAATATCGTCTCCCTTGCCCTGCCTTGTCTTCGCAAACCCCGCCTCCATTTAGAAACCCACTCAACCCACCACTTTACGCGACACCCGTCGAGCATCTCTCTCATCTCCCTGAAACGCGTTCGATTCCGTCCAATATTGATTCATACAGAAGAAGAAAAAATAAATAAATGGGTCTTTCTAAATCCCACCAAAATGGTTTCTCTCTCGGCATGGCCCGTGCCTCCACTGGCTTTTAACTAACAAGAGCCGTTTTTAGTTGCGGCGTGGCGCTGCTTCAGATGAATTGCTTTCGTTCTTCTCAGAGAATCACACAGCTTCAAGTCTTAATTCCTATGATTTAGTTAGACAAGTATCTAGGACTATTTACATGAGCGGCATCTAAGACCGCCATATACCGTACCTCACTCTGTTTGTACCCTATATCACCACGCAATGAACTCGACGGCAGTTACTCCGTAAAGCCATCGAAAAGCCACCAAGTTTCATCAAAGCCCCGCCAACTCTACGCCTTGCCCCATGTTTCTTCCATTAACCCATACATGGATTCCTCCGGTAGTGCCTCATCCTTTCAACGCCAACCGACACCGAGCAACAAGAGAAATGTTGTCGTCAGCGGTCATGATAGTATTCCCTTCGCAATCATCCAAGTCAGCCCCTCGTCTTCCAGCCTCATCGCCATCACGAGTTCATCCAGTGCAACCCCCTTCCCCGTCCTGCGAGCATGCATGCATGATTATAATGTCTTTATATTTGTGAACCCTAGGATATAGGCAGTAAAATGTTATACACTCCCCTTGGGGAGAACTCGGCCCTGGTTTATCTCAAAAGATGAGTGTGTCCTGAGCATGTCTAATGTAGCTCAACATAAAGAAGGACGATGAGAGAGAAAAATGAAACGCCATGTCCCGCATATCCCACCCTAAACATCAGCTCATATATATTAGTCGCCAACAAGAATCCATTATGCTTGCTCCCAAATGAATGTCAAGGAAACCAATGCTCGCCTAGTAATGCTGCTGTAAGCCATGCTGGAAGGAAAAAAAAAAAGGATGTAAAAGCCAGGCGGAACGTATGTGTGAATGGACTCGAGGCGAAAACCGCGTATGAGAAAACGCCCCGTCGCTTCTTTCCCGCGCTCAAACCTCGCCCCAGCTGCCCATCGGCGCGTTGGGAGCGGCGGCAATCACGGACCCTGTACCGATGGATCCTCCAATGTCCCAGTAGTGCCTGGACGAGACGCTGCTCCTCCGGGCGGACCGTCGTGTGCTCTGGCTGGCACAGCTGCTGTGGTGTCGCATAGCCACGGGGCTGCTAGGTGCAGTTGCTTTGAAAGCTCGACGTTCATTAGGGCGCGTCCGGGAGGTGAGGGGGTGGTGCTGCCTTACTCTGGCAGCCTTTGCGGCAGCGTCTTGCGGCTTCGCGGGGACCGGACGGGTCGTCAGCTCGGGGCCCAGCGTGGGCTCGGGCCGCGATGTGAAGCGTGAGACCAGGTAGCGGAACACCAGCTTGATGTCCATCTCCTGCTCCCACTCGTCTTGCGTAAACGTGTCACCCATCGACACATCGTGTAGAAGCACATCGGGTGCGGTCGACCTCAGGGACGGTCTGTCCGCGGCTCGCAAGGCATGTCGCATGGTGGGCCTGAATTCGGGGAATGGACTCCCGCCGAGCTTGTCCGCCATCGTGCGTCCAGAGGCAGAGGTGCGGCTGTCTGCAGTCTCTGGTATGGCCGGCAGGCCGGCATAAGGCAGCGGCACCTGATGAACATGCGAATACGTCGAAAAGGCGCCGGGGTGCTTCGAGAGATGGTTGACCAGCAAGCCGAGTTCTCTCGACACCGTCTCCAGGATGCGCATATGCCACGACTCCTCCGTCTCTGGAGCCGCGGCTTCTCCAGTACCACGCCCTTGCTCCGACGGCCTCGGCGTCCTCGATAACTCCTCGTCGTCCAAAAGGTCGCCGCCGAGCATCACGGATAGTATCTTTTCGTCTATGCCAAGTAAATCGCGCAGGACCTTGCGGGTGATTCTCGTAATGAAGCCTTCGCTGTCTTCCTTGTCCTCTGGGTGTGTGTCTGGGTCTTCCTCGTGCCACGTCATGTCCTCTGCATCGGTGCTTTCCTCCGTCTTGGGAGGAGCAGGCTTCTGCGCAACGACCCGTTTCTGATGCATCATCCTCGACCGCCGTGCCTCGCGCTGGACCTCTTCAAAAATGATGCGGCTATGCTCCAGCCGCCAGGCCTCAATCCGCTCCCTCTTCTCTGCCTCCTGGACCTGCGCCTGCTCCAACTCAAACTGGGCTTCATCAAAGCTGTTCAGCCTCCGCCGTAACCGCCTGGGGTTGAACCTCTCGAACTGGAAAATATGGTCCTGCGCGTCCAGGCCAAGCGTCGGTTGATCCAAATGGAACGAGCCCAGGCCATCATGCGCTGGTAGGACTGGCATCGCGAGGCTACTCCTTGGAATTGATCTGAATCCAGGGAGATGGCCATCGAGGCTGTCCAGCTCAGCGTCATCGGCCTGGGACTCATCAGCAGCCGCAGACAGCGCCGAGGACTGAGCCTCGTCATTCTGAGCTGCTGCTGCCGCCGCCGCCGCCGACTCTGTTCTCGCAACTGTGTTGAGGCTGCCGAGATCACTCAGACGTGACCGGCCGGGGGTCTCGAGCGATTGGTCATGCTCGTCTTCGGTCAGATAGGATGTGGTGGTGACATCGGTGGGAGGCGAGAAGAGCACCCAGGTCTGCGCCTCTTCGGGTTCCTGGCCCTGGCTGTTGCGCGCAGAGAGCCTCGAGGCGCCTTGGCTGCCAACGGCGGAGCGGGCAGCTCGCTGCGTGGTCGGGCGATTTGGCTGCTGCTGAAACGCCATGGCTGTGGAAGTATTCGTCTGGACAAGAAATAAAAGAGGGAAGAAAGGGAAAAATGCTCAATGTGGGCTGCGAGCGTTCGGTTATCCTGCAAATATCGGGGAAAGGACCCGCGATAAGGCGAACGGGGGGAAAGACTGCAGCTGGAGACTGCCTGATGATCGGTGAAGCAGCCCCAGCAACGCTTCTGGGGACGCCGAGCCGGTGGAGCGCTTCAGGGAAGAGACTGATAGGTTCGGGCAAGGGACGATATCGTGTTCAATGGACTGGGGCTGGTCCAGTCCAAGAACGAGCACAGCACGACAAGATCAGGAAGAGGGCTGTGAGGGACAGTTGAGGGAAAAGGAGAGGCTGGCTGGTTTTGTTTTGTTATCGGGGGTCGAGCGTCATCAACAACCTGAGTCCCAGCTAGCTAGCAGCGGCAGTAGCAGCACTGGACCGCCTGGGGGGGAGCCAGAACGGCCTGACGGACGGGGGTGGGGGCGTGCTCCAGTGCTGTGCTCGCGTGCTGGTTGGCCGCCGGTCAGTGGGTGCCGGTGGTCCAGTGGTCAGGCCAGCCAGTGGTCACATCAGCCACTGCTGCCGTCGACTCCAGCGCCCGGCGGTGCCATTGGCCGCCTGCACAGACGTTCCATGTCCCGAGACAGCGCGGCTCCAAGTGCGCTGGCCGCTGCAGCCACGGCAGGATAGGGCCGTTGAGAGTACTGGGAGGTACCGCCGGGGTGGCGAGCGCCGTACCGTGAGGTACCTACCTACTTGCAGTGAGCGGGCGGCACGCACTTACAGCAGTGGAGCTGAGGTGCTTTAATACTGGGCTAGCGCTGGTAACGGCTGTGGAGGGCGACATTGCAGGTACAGGCCCGTACTTGGCCGGTACAACGCACCTCCAGCTCAGTTGGCGCGCTGGCGCCGCAAATCCTCAGGCTGTCGCTCTGCGGTATTACGGCGAGAACTCACCTCTTTTCTGCGTCACCTTTACGCGTCACAGCTGCAAATCGCCGCTGCGATCAAAAGCCACTTGGAACTCGATCTACCAAATGTTCTCAGACAGAAGATCTCAAGTAACACGGTTCCCAATACGAGTCAGATTCAGCCGGATAGAACCTCGAAGACGGGCGTGGGTGATGAGATAGAGCCAGGTGAAAAAGAAGAAAAAAGTAAAAGTTTTCCTCAGCTGGGGAGTATCACATCGTAGCTGCATCGATAATTCACCGCAATCCGCCAGGATGCTGATGCATGGCCCGCCACACCCAAAGATCCCGTCCTGCCACTCTCTTCCTTGCCCTTTTTTGCCCTTGTACGAGTAATACAACTACAGTATGGTGCCATCGATGCGCTCATCTCCTGCGACCTCGTGCATACTTCGGCGTTGGCGGCGCTGCGGCGGAGATGCGAGCGTTGCTGCGAACGTCCCCGTGGCAAGCGGTTCTCTCCGAGTCTCTGGGTCTCCCTTTGGATTGATGGACTGATTGCCGTGTCCTTGCGACTGGAGGCTTGCATACAATGGAATCAACTGGTATGACCTTTCATCCTACTAGTAGTAAGCACCAGAAGCAAAGGGAATACATAGCAAAAAAGGAACCGAAACATGGACCCTGCGTCATGAGAATGGCCCCCCACCAGCCAGGCCATCCGTGTGCCATCCCTCAACTTATTGTGCAATCTATTATGCTTCCCGCCTGTCTCATCATGAAGCTTGTGCCTCACTGTCCAACCAACGGCTGTGTCATCTCTCCTTTCCAGAGTCTCCTATAACAGCCGTATCCCAACAAAAAAAGAGAAACAGTGTGTGTTCAGTCATCTGCTAATGTAGGCAATCTAGTATTGAACGCTTGTTTAGCAGCAGCCTTAAGCATCGGCGCCATACCTCATTATCTGTGACCATGGTGTCACTGACGCAAGTCAGGTGGTCTCATCAGATAACCGCCCAGTGCCAGTGGCCAGTGGACAGTGCCGTTGCTGTCTGCGGCTGTCGGGAACAGGGTGAGGAGTTATTCATCTGGGCAGTTGGCTACCTAGTATGTATCTGTTCCTGGGTTAGGCTGGCATCTCGATAAGACGGCCATTATCGTGGCGGCTGATGATGGTGTAAGGTAAGCTTGACTTTTAGATTTCACTGCTGACTGTATCTCTGCCGCCCAAAGGTAATAGTACCTTAGTTCTTCGATCGGCAGAGCATCTCTTACCCGAACACGCCGAGTTAAATCCACACAATGGTGATATCATTCCCGAGGGCGTCTTCTTTCCGTGATTCTGGTCGATTATGAAGCAAAATGTAATAATCCGATAGCCACCAAGGAGGAACTCGAGCCGGAGCATAGCACGTCTCGGCGGCATGACTTCGCCAGACACATCGGCAGCATCGTTGATTTTAGCTGAATGAGAGATGCAATCCATATGCAAGCATAGCATGTCTAGTGCTGAACGCACAATGGTTTGATTTGCCTAACTGATGATTCTCAAATCGAGGAATCTCTTATCTGACATGCCATAATTACGCCAACCTAAAACCCAGATGCCATATGAACAAAAACTCTTTACGCCTCACCGGAGAAAGCCTCGGGGAAACGGCGAATGTTCTGCTCAATGGAACCGTGGTTGCTGAGGAACTGAACGTAGGCACCGTCGACCTTGACACGGCCGGCAGCCTTGCGCTCGAGGTAGTCCTCGCGGCGGAGAGGAGTGAAGCCCCAGTTCTTGGAGATGATGATCTTCTGTCGGCCGGGGAACTTGTACTGGGATCGTCGCAGAGCCTCAAGAGCCAGAGCACGGTCTAAAGAGCGGTTGTGTTAGCATTACTCTCCGTCATGCCATGATATATCGTAGATGAAGAATATCAAAATAATGCGAGCCAAAGGCGAGGGGCGCAACGTACTGGAGTCACGAGTGCGGACGCTCATGATGATCTGACCAATGTTGACACGGGCGACAGTGCCGTTGGGCTTGCCCCAGGCACCACGCATACCGGTCTGCAGTCTATCGGCACCAGCGCAAGACAACATCTTGTTGATACGGACGACGTGGAAGGGGTGGGCGCGGACACGCAGGTGGAAACCCTCCTTTCCGGTGTGCTTGACGAGGTACTTGTTGGCGCAAATACGGGCGGCCTCGAGGGCCTCGGAGCTCAGCTGCTCATACTCGTTGGAGACGAGGTGGATGCAGAGAGGGAAGTCGTCGACGTTGGCGCGCTTTCGGCCCAGATCGAAGATGCGGATCTTGGGGTCGGGGACACCACGGTTGAACCGGGACTTGGGATACGGCTGAGAAAGGAAAAGAAAGTCAGTATTGCGTCGTTATGGTTGTTGTAGATTGACCCCAAAGGTGTTGAAGGTCGAGCAGAAAGGGCCGTGATGCAGCAAATTCATCCGGAATGCCTTCATCTCCGAACATTTATAATCCACCTCTTGCGTCACTCCACAGCTTGCATCCTCCCGTTTCGACAAAAATCCTCGCTCGAAACCATCAAACCGAGAGTCCTTCAGCGGCTTACCTTGTTCTTGCAGTATCGGTAGCAACGGGCGGGACGGCGAGCCATTTTGACGGTGTTTGGCTGTTGCTTCTTGGGGTGTTGATGATGTTTGGGGGAAGATTGTTCCAACAGCAAGGAGACCCGGGCGCCACTTCAGAAAAACCGCCTGGTTGATTTCAAAGCAAAAGTGTTTCTGAGTCAATGTTCCGATGTGGTCCGCTTAAACCCCGGTGCTTTAGGGCTTACCAAAACGGCAAGTCTGCGCTCATTGGCCGCGCGCGCGATAGCCCTGCCCCGCCGAGCAATTCTTGGTAGCTCAGTAGAAAACCAAAAATCCACGAACTTTTCTAGAGCTTGGAGGGAATTGTCTTCAGCAACCGCATCAATCCAGTCGCCAGATCGCAGCTCGCGCCTCAAATCAGCAAAAATGGCCCCCACCAAGAAGAGCAAGAAGGATGCCAACAGCATCAACTCCAAGTTGGCGCTTGTTATGAAGTCCGGAAAGGGTGCGTGGCTGCTCCTCGAGAAACTGCAGTCCCGTGATGACAGTCCCATCAGATGCTAACATGATTTCGCCAGTCACCCTCGGCTACAAGTCTACTCTCAAGTCTCTGCGATCCGGCAAGGCCAAGCTGATCATCATTGCTGGCAACACTCCTCCTCTCCGAAAGAGCGAGCTCGAGTACTACAGCATGCTGTCCAAGGCCCCCATCCACCACTTTGCTGGCAACAACGTAAGTTTTGCGTACCCGTACACTCTCGACGAGTGAAACACTTCGAGCTTCTCAGAAGCTGCTCTTGCTGCCCGAGAATTATACACACAATTCTTGCGGAATTGCCCAGAGAAGAAGTCTTTACCAGACTTTGGAGGGTTCACATTGGCTTACAATATTTCGTAAATACAGATCGAGCTGGGCACCGCCTGCGGAAAGCTCTTCCGATGCTCCACCCTCGCCATCCTGGATGCTGGTGACTCTGATATCCTCAGCGACCAGCAGGCTTAAGCGGCCAACATCTAGTGCATTCAAAACGGCGTTGGGGGTAAAACGGTTCAAGGGCAATATGGATACCATTACACTTTGACACTTTCGTGTGTCAGGCGAAAATCTTTGATGCGAAACATCATCTACCAGGAAGGCAATTCCTTTGGGTACAAAAAACCCAGAAATTTTCCAGTGGTAGTTATTTCAATGGAATAATACAGCCACGAAGACTGTTCCCCCTGTCAAGTCGAATAAGCTGCTTGCTATTTTCATGTGTGATTGTGTGTTTGAGGTGTAGATGGTGCCAACTGAGATTGATATGTTGACTCCGATGAAGATGGATCGACCGTGCAGTGTGCTTGACTATGTACGTCTTCCCCATCATATGCGTCCCCTATCGCAGGCATACTCATGACAACGATAGGGACATGTGTATAGCCGTGGTACGTATGCAATTGATGCTTCGTTCATGGTTGCTTGGTCGCATATCCCATTGGCCAGGCAGAACCCATGTTTGATAAGGCGCTGCATACATCAAGAGCGACGATGGAATGTTCCTCACAGGAAGATCCCAGATCCGCCGTTTCAGGTCCCGTTGCACGTACAGACATGAGTTGGTATCACTGGCACAAGTGCAATAACACAGCTGAAAAGCAGTGGCTCAAGACAACCCCTTGCAAGCACTGCGACAAATCTGTGGCTTGTGGTTTAACGAACATGGCTGTGCTGTTGTCCTCATGAATAGAATCAGAGTTCTTTACGGTGAGTGATGACATACTGTCACTCGACGTACGCAAACCCTCAGCTTGCCAAGGAACAACGGAGTTTGTTATCGATGTCATGCCCACGACAACTCGAGGCGCATCAGCCTTCAGGTACAGATCGATCGCCGGCACATGACTTTCGCCACGAAAAGGCTGAGCAAGTCAGCAAAGCCCTCGACTTAATTATAGCAACCATAGCCCGTCGCTGGTCACTATTGTAGTGGTTGTTCGTAGCCGGTACTCTGCAGTGACCAGAATCTGTTGCGCCTCACCGTGCCAAAAGTCGAAGCGTTCTCAATCTCAGAACCGAGAGATCCAGCAGCAGCAAAGAGTATCTACCTAGAGGTACCTTAGGTAAGGTAGGTAGAGTAAGAGTTGATCGTCATGTACATTTGCGTAATGGTAATTGGTCCATATAAAGCGAGACGAGGATGACAAAGCGATACTGGACTCTGGTCAAGGGTCCTGGGTTCTTTTCCATTTCTCTTCTAGAAAGGGGATTTGCGCTGTTTCTCCCTCGAGCGCAGAGAAGCGGTCAGCGAGATCAAAAGGATACAAGATGGATTGCAAAGCGGAGCGTTGCGTTGCGTCCGCAGAGGAGCCGAAGGTGACAAGCTCAAGGGGGAGGCAACAGACTGCCCTCGAGAGGGGAGGGGAGAGGAGAGAGGGGGGGAGAAACTGAGATTCCAGCGGTCCAGTGGTGGGGGTGGAGAGTCTCTAGGGGCGGCGGGTGGCTCTGCAGCGCCTGTAGCGCCCAATCAGGCACCTGTCCTGGCATAAGATGCAGGGCGTCCCGACCAGAGTCATGCACTGTTTAAGGCAGAGGCATGAAGAACTCGGTAACTGCGAAAGTGCAGGACTGGACTGTGATATGGAGGTTGGAAATAAGGGCAGAAAAGGAGACGAGTGAGTGAGCAGTTGAAGAAAACCTACAAGACAAAGAGAAACAGAAGACGGAAGGGGGTCAGAGACACCAAGAACAGCGGCATCTGGGCGTCCCGGTTTCGTCACCGCATTCTCCCCCCGAACTCGCTGAACTGTGGTAGTACTGTGCTGGCCTTGTACTCCTGCCGTACGGGTACCTCGCACGCGCTCATCGCTGAACCCTTGACGAAGGTACCTCTTTTTTTGCGTGAAACCCGTCCTGTCCCTTTTGATTGCCCACCGACACGTTCGCGGTGGAGCCCAACCCAAGCAGGACGAAACCCTCGTGGCCTGTTATTGTTCTGCCGTCCTGCAATCCCTCCTAATCGACGCCAGTTCTTGCTCTACACCACCGGCCTTTCTCGCAGCATAACTATCAGACATTACAATTATCCCACAGTCCGACCTGTTTGGCGCTGCGCCAGGCAGCCCCGTTTGTGCGTTTCACCTAGAGTAGCTCACCGACCTCGACGGCGCTCCCACGGCTTGCAGCATCCCCATCCCCCATCGCTCAGGCCCCGTCCCTCATTCGCCATGTCTACCACGGTTGCAAAGAAGCCGCCCGTCATCTCAGTCGGCAGAGCAAACTCAGAGTCTCCCACTGGAAGCGCCGCAGGAACCGGCTCGTCGCCTCCCAACCCGACTCACACGCGAGCCCACTCCGTTCGCTCGGCGACGCCCAACAACAACAACAACAACGGCCACTCGAGGACAAGATCCGTTCGCGGCGCCCCTGTTTCTGCCCGCGCTGCCGTTGCCCGACGGGACACGGCCATGAGCAACACCGACTCCGACGCCCGCGCGGCTGCGGCTGCCGCCCTGGAGGATCTCCAGCAGCGCCTGGAAAAGGAGGAGAAGCAGTCGGAGCAGTACAGGCGACAGGCCGAGGTCTTGCAGTCCAAGCTAGACGACGCGGTCAAGGAGTCGGCCAAGCTGGAGGAAAAGGTCCACGAGCACGACGAGCTGATTGAGACGCTGCGAAACGAAAAGAGAGAGGCCGGACGCAAGATCCGCGAGATGGAGACGATATACGAGGCTGAACGGAGCGCGATCCTCAAGGAAAAGGAGGAGATGGCGAACAAGGAGGAGGAGATGCAGATGGTCATTGCGCGACTGAAGGAGAGCCTAGCCCAGAAGCTGAGCCTTGAAGACGACCCGAGGCCGTCGAGGCAATGTAAGAGATATACCGAGTCTGAATCCTTGCTTTGGTCACACGCTAATCTTGATTGTCTTTCTTACAGCAGCCAGCGCCTCTCCCTCACTTGACGGCAGCGGCTTTGCCCCTCCGTCTTCCCTTCAGCGGAGCGACTCGCGAAACAGCTCCAAGCTGATCCTGCAAAAGGACAAGCTCATCGAGTCGCTGCGTCTGGAACTCGCCGAAGCCCAGATCAAGCTGGTTGAATCCGAGAACCAGGGCGGAGGTAGATTGCGCGAGGTCGAGCGACAGCTGATGGAGGCGCGCATGTCCAACGCGCGGCTCATGGAGGACAACGAGAGCTACCAGCTGCTCCTCCAGGAGAAGACGCTCAAGGGCGACTTTGGCCAGAGTGACTTTAGCTACATGAGCCCGACCGTCAACGAGGAGGCCTTGAACGCGCTCGAGGGCAAGGCAGGCGGCTCCAGTCTCGCCGACGAGCTTTCGGATGCGACGCAGTCCGAGCCCGAGTACAGCGTGGATCACCGCCGTCTCGAGAGCGAAGTCAAGGCGCTCAAGGAGAAGAACAAGGCCCTCACGCTGTACATCAACAAGATCATCGAGCGCCTGCTCCAGCACCAGGACTTTGAGACGATCCTGGACCAGTCGGCAGACATGAAGCCCCCGTTGCCCGAGAAGGACAAGGAGCTTCCACCACCTCCGCCGGTGGAGAAGCCCAAGATCAACACACAGGTCAACACACAGGTCAACACACAGGTCAACGGGCAAGCCAATGGAGAGCTCAACGGACAGCCCACGCTGCAGCGAACTCGGACCGCGCCCATAATGACTGGAAGGACGAGGCCGCGACCCTTTTCCATCATACAGACCAACGGCGCCCAACTGGATCACACCGACCCCGACAAGGCACCGAGCATCCCCATCGGCCTTGGTCGGATAAACAGACGTTCGCGACCTGTCAGCGACCAGTTCCCCGGGGCGGCCAGTCTGGTCAGCCAGATGTATAGGGGTCCGGACAGCCCTGCATCGCCGCCCATCAACCAGAGGCACTCCTCCGCCTTCTTCCCTACCGCCGGCGTGATTGGCACTCCCGGACGGATTCCTAGCGGTAGCCATGCTCCTTCGTCCGGTAACTTCCCAGGCACGAGAGGCGAGAGAAGCGAGACGTCCAGCTTGAGCGGCGACTCTGGCGAGATCTCGACGCCGCAGTCGCAGTCGCCGCCACGATCCCACTCCGACAAGCAAACCACGTTCACCGGCAGCAAGCCCCGCCCGCTGAGACTGGTACAGGAGAACCCGGACGCCGTCAAGGACAACAACGCCAACAAACGAGCAAGCTGGATCTCCGGCTGGGGCTGGGGCGGCAAGAAAGACGAAGTGCCAGCAAGCCCTGCAATCCCAGAGTAGGACGACATAGACTAGGAAGGGCGAAAGGAATGAGCCAAAGTTGCTTCTCACGAATATTGAAGCGAAACGAAAACAACATCTTGGAATCATGCTTTCTTCTTGGGGCAGAATCTTGGGAATAGGCGTCTATCATGGGAACGCACCGACTACTTCAATATACTCAAACGGATAATTTCTTTACAACTAGGATCAGTATACATGCTTCTTTTTCAACATCAGGGACGATACGCACGGCAAATAACGATAACAACGACGGAGCGGCCGGACCGACGGGCAGAGCGGGCTTGGATATGTCCCCTCTACACCCATAGAACTCCTTGGACAGCAGATGACGATGACGACAAATGACAAGTACATGACTTGCAAACAATTTGATATGATATACTTATATATAACCTTGTCTGGCACCCTTTTTACTTCTTCATCTCTACGACCCTGGTTTTTCCTTTTGTCACTTATCACTATTATTATCCTCCGAGAAGCGTATGATGGGTCCCGTCTTCTCATCGTTTGGGGATATTGATTGACGAAAGACCAAACGAAAGAGAAGAAGAAGGGAAAAAAACGCAAACGTGCATTAGATACATACAAATGTACGAGTACGGCGAGACGTATGTGCGGGTTATATGGTTTGGTGGAAGTTGATGGACGTGTGTGTATTCTTTTTGTCATTTCTTCTTCGTTACACCCGGTTATTTTTCGTTGGATACTTTATGTAGTTGTTTAATTGATGCATTATATACAAGGACAGGATATAATATCTCTACTCTCATATTTATAGTATTATACTCACATTTTTTCTCTCTAATACTTGCGGTAGTGATGAGCAGATCCAAATGACCTTGACCGGGCATTTGCTTGCATGCATGGTGGAGAAATCTGGGTTTGACGTCTCCTGAAGACAAAGGGATCATGCAGTATGATGGAATCAATCACGTAGTCACAGGCAAGGGGGAGGAGCAGCATCCTGTCTGAAACTTGGAGTCGCTTTGGATTGCCGTTCTTTGGGGGGACGGCCTGCCTTTACGCAGTTTTAGGGAGGAGGAGTGTTGCATGTAATAGATACACTTTTGTTGTTTGAAGTACCTGACATTCAGAGGGCTGCCTTGGGCGGGAAACCTGCTCTTTGATGTGAAATGCAGAGACGATTTGAGGCGGTTTGTGTAAGTTGTGTGTGGAAGATGTAATGGAAGTGCTGCACAAACTACCAAGGTAGCTGGGGAGGGCCAGTGTCATGCGGCATCCCATTTCCTTTCGCGTACGGCGTTTTGCAATCGTCTTTATTTTCTTTCTCTATTTCTAATAATTGGATTTGTTTATTGTATTTTCTTTCTTCATTCTATCATAGCCTGGTCCCAAAGTCATGGGTTCACGATACCTATGGAGCAAAGGCAACTACTAACTGCCTGAATACCTAGGTACCTAGTATTACTTGACCGCTCATTACATGTACCTTACCTTACCTAACATGCGTCAAGCGGCATCACGGCCTCAATAGTTGAGCAATGACCTCCTTCTTTTCGCTGCCCTGTCATTACTTGTCTTGTCGGCACCAATTATCCTCCCTCACATTGTCCTCATGATGGCTCTTTGATTCCTCAAGTGACGGCTTGACGAGGTGGTTGGGTGCTTCTTTGCTCTCTCCACTTGCTGGTCTTCTGAGCATCTGTGTGCTGCTGCATTTGGATTGATGCATGTTTAGGGACATGTACCTACGCAGGGTTGGCCTTTTTTTTTCCCTTTGCATCTGTTTCTTTTCTCTCTCTCTCTGCGCTTGATACCCAACAAGGCATCACGCGTGGGATGAAGTGGCCACTGGTTTGTCGTCGACTGCCTATCAAGTGAGCCTCGAGCCTTTCTGCGTGTCCTAATTTCTTCTTTACCGGGTGTCGTTTTAGGATTGTACATAGCATAGTAGTATTAATAACATGGGCGTGGAGACTCTCTTCCTTGTCTCTCTCTCTTTTGAACCACTTTGAATCTGTGCTGCAGCAAGGCGGTGAGTGGAAGAGACAGAGAGAGGCTTTTGCTCTGGCCAGGTAAGTAGTGATAGGTATGTACTGTATGTGTGTAGGGATCTGTATGGAGAAATTCCAAGGGCAAAAGAGAGAAAAAAACAAGGGTCTTGTGAAGGGGCGTTGTTTTTGGGGTGGGAATTAGGCACGATGCGGAATCTCTTGAGGGTTTGTGAGGTTAGGTATTACATGTTACAATACTGTACCGCAAAGAGGCGTGTATGTATCTACGAAGTCGTGCTGCACGGCGATGGGGACTTGGGGCGATTGATGCTAGTGATTGAATTTTTTCTTCTCTCTTTTGGACCAATTGCCGACCTATTTCGTGCATTCTGTGGGCGTTGATGGCGAGATTTAGGACAGAGGCATGTGGAAGATGCTCGTGGTTGGATGGAGTTTGTAATACTAGTGATATTTCACATTACGAGTACGGGCACATGCATTTTGATGTGTGATTACCGATGCTTTTTGTACGTACAAGTTATAGGGCTCTTCGTGCAAGGTGGCGAAAACCTCAACTTCTTAATACATCCTTGCGGTTGATCGGGTCGTCGTTCGCTTAACTCTGATAGAGGGACGATCAGATCGCTGTAAAATCAATGTTTGCTGGATTGTTCGCGCGCTCGTGATGCTGATGGTGGAGGATACATATTTGCTGTCTACTGGGGCGAACTTACATGATGAGCTCCAGGATATCAAGACTTTAGCCAGCGCTACATGTACGATACACACCCGTCTACAATAACACCATGTACCCGTAGGCTACGAGTCCAGGTAGTATCATTCTTCCAAACCCCTTGCAAGTTGAGGGAGCCCACTGTCTAAACAAGCCCGCATCTCGTCGGCTTCAACCCGAGCCAAGCACTCGCAGAGCAAGACATGCTCGCCAACCCGCTCTGGTCGTGGGAGTGCGTCTCGGCAAGGCAAAGGCGCAGTGGGACGACGTGGAGGCGAGGTCACCTGTGCAGGAGGCCAGAAGGGCACGTACGAGAGTATGTACATACCTACCTAGGTAAAGGTAGTAGTCCAACGTATTATTAGTAAGGGGATGCAGATACCAGTATGAGCTTGTTGAGGTTCTGGATACTAGATGGAGATGTTGAGGAGGTAGCGAGAGGCGTGCATTGCGGTTCATCATGCGTGCGACTCGAGATGGAGTGCTACAGTTGACATGGAGATGCTACCTTACTACTACGGGGGGTTAGTATCATGAAATGGCGAGTTGGACTGGGCAAGAATAAGCGAGCCGTTGAGGCAGAGGAGCAGCAGCAGCAGCAGCAATGGCCCGCGATCTGTGACGGCCGATATATGTACAGTAATACTACGAGTACGCTCTTTTCCCCCAGATGACTGCTGAATGAAGATGGCCAAAGAGAGAAGACATCTCGACGGGTCATAGAGAAGAAAGGGAAGTGGAAGAGATGCCCAACCAGGCCTAACGCAGGTTCTGGGAGCCGCGTCAAGGGGGCGAGACGAGAAAGACAAGCAAAAAAAGAACAAAAAAAAAAAAAAAAAAAAAAAAAAAAAAAAAAAAGGAAAATCAAACAAAAAATCTTAGATGAAAAAAAAAAAAAAAAATTCTTTTGTTGATGATGCATGTTATTAGGGCCATGCATCTAATACTATGGAAACCGCACAAAGACAGGGGTGGCGTCTATCGTGTCGAGCTGTGAGAGGCTGGCGGCAGACTCCTGCTGGGGATCGGCTGCAATGCGCCGCCAAGTGCTTTGTGGCTTTTTTTGGGGGGTGTGTGTGTGTGTGTGTGTGTGTGTGTGTGTGTGTGTGTGTGTGTGTGTGTGTGTGGCCGCTGCAGAAGGGGAGGGCGTTGGGGGCCGGTCAGCGGGAGAAATGGAAGAAAAGGGCTCTTGATTTTCTTCCTCAGAGAGAGAGAGAAAGAGAGAGCGAGAGAGACAAAAGAGACAGAGTCATCAGAGGCTGTTGGAGGTGAGAGTTGAGACATAAGGCGCCTTGGCCAGATGGACCTTGGGTGTATTTTGTAATAGTAGTAATACGTGGACGTGGACGTGGACGTGGACGTGCTTGGACCAAAGCCAAAGTGATGTGCTGTTGCTGGTTGTTCTCTTGCTCCATCGGCTACTAGGCAGTTGGTCACAGGTTGGGATGCGCTGCCAGTGATGATTGGAAGACTTGAGGGCATCACGATGAACGTGTAACAGCCCTTCCTACCTGATGCCGGCCCATGTGTGGTGACAGTTCATCCCTTGGTGTTGCCGCTGCGGTTGCGTTGTGTCAGTGAAGGTCTAAAAGTAGGTACCTACCTAGGCTGAGTAGGTACATGTAGTATCATCATCAAGCAGAGCGAATCCCATCTAGGGGGGCGGGTGGATGGGACGGGACGACGGGCCTGGACACCTGCTTGCTGCTCATTCTCATGCCACAATCGAGTCTAGAACGCGTTTGATGTTGATGTTGATGTTGATGTTGATGTTGATGTTGTTGCTGGTTGCTGATTGCTTAATCAGTTGGATGGGCGGGATGGGCAGAGCTTATGCTGGCTGCTGCAACCATCATGTGTTGTTGACCAGCCGCGACAGATCCATTGGGCCGCTACCGAGCATCTGTGCTTCACAATCGTCATGTCCCGGTTTCTTCCCATCGGCGAAAACCTCCTCTCACTCTCAAAAAGGACGAAGCCGGGCTGAGCCATTTAATATACCGGCAGCAGACGATGATTGTTTATTACATACATACTTGTACATGACTTGCGCGCGCAGGCTCATGCAAGAAGTGAGCCGACAGACGACGTTACTGCGTCTGATGCTTGCAGCGAGTTATCCCGTGAAGAATTTCCCCCAGGGTATTACTGTATTACCTACCTACCTACTGTAGACAGTTGACCAGGGACGGCCCCTGGCATCGGATGCCCCTGCTAGGCTTCTCTGGGCTGCTTTTGCTGTGAAATCCTGGGGAATGTTGAGTGCTAGTAATATTGTCAGGCATCTACATACTACCTAAGTACTAGTAGTATGTACTGTACCTATCTTGGCCCTGGCATTTGCAAGCCAGCCATATCACCCTGGATTCATGCACAAGAGGAAGTAAGTACGGAACCTGTCGAACCGCTTGGACGCGGCTCACGGAGCAGAAACCTGCGACCGGTCGGCGCTGATAACGAAGTGGTGCGTGTTTCCTGGGAGAATGTTGGGAGTCTGTGGAACGCAGATATCACAATACTACTACTGTACTCGTAGGCGACGCCCGTGTTGTGCCTTTTTGGAACTGGGTGGTCCTTTTTGGCGTCGGTGCAAGAAACCCTGGACGCGGGTTCTGTTTCTTTTCCTTTTGCTTGCCACTTGCCGTGCTGCCGACCATTTGGTAATTACTATAAAAAAAAAGAGCACACACCCACTGTGCATTATAAAACGTACCACTACTACGTAACCATCGTCTTGCCGTGTTCTTGTTTGTTGATGCTATCGATGCTGTCCATGACGTGGGTGGACCGCGGCAACGCTCAAATCAGAGGGGCCGCCTGCTGTTGCTTGCACCACCACCTTGTTTCCCTCGCTTGCGGCGTAATATCTGAAGCCAGGATTTTCAATCAAGGCTACAGTACAAAAGCAAGGGAGGATCAGAATGGAAGACGAGTTGGCTGCATCCATTGGGGTCTGGGCAGGGCTCACCTGGCACGGCAGATGCGCGTGCTCGAGATACTACCTAGTAGGTAGCTTGATGCTCTGCCCCCCCCTCTGTGTAATATGCTTCATGACGTCCTGGCCGTCTAACTTGTGTTGCTTCCACCGCGACTGGCGACCCTTCTGCGTCGCATTGGCCCGGTCTGAGAGGCGTGGAACGTGAGCCGTAGCAGTCATATCCAATGAACAGAAGGAAATTAGAAAATAGACAGACAAGAGTGAAGAGGAGGGCAAGTGGTCGAAAAGCAAGTAATAAAGTGGTCGCCTGGGATGATCAGTCAAAGAGCTAGGTTGCTCTCTACATGTAGCCTCGTACTCTAAGTGAACGAGGCCTTGAGATGGAGGGCACAACCTACTACATTGCCTTTCCAAGTTATTACTGTACATGTAACATACGATTACAATGCCATCAACTGTGCCATCCATCCTCTTTGTAATTAGTATATTAAGCTGCCATGAACTGAGAGCGGCCAAGAAAAGGACCGTCGTCGTCAATTGGCCCACGGTCCGACTACGAAGCAGCTTCCGAGTGCCACCTGGCAATGTTGTGCTGCAACTGGAGCAGATGCCAGCCTTTTCGAACGAGCACGACGGCCTCGGATCCATGCAGAGGTACTGCGTAAGGTCATATTAAAGGTAGCGAGTATTACCGTAACTGTACGTTGAGCTAATAGCGATCCCAATGCTGGCCAAGCAAGTCAGCAGACTTTCTACCTACCTAGGTTGTTGCCATCGGTGCACTGGCCAGGTCCTTGCCCTTGTACTCGTACTTGTAGTTCGTACAAACGATGCCGACGAGGAGGAGGCTGGGAGTCCGAGTTGTGGCGCTTGGGCGAGGGTGGCAGGTGGGTGCAAATGCCAATGCGGCGCTGGGTGCAAACCATTGAAATGCCCTACTAGGTAGTACTATTACCAGGCGGGTACCAGTAAGGTACGAGTAGTACCTAGTAGTTGTTTGGCACCAGCAAACCGGTAGGAAGTTGGAATACTGCAGTAGGTAATACAGCACCAATACTCGCACGTCCATTGGATTTGATGAATCATGCTTGTTCCTTTCATTTGTTTGTAACAAACGGTAAGACGGGCGGCCAGCCAGTCGTTCGGCGTCTTTTTATATCTCCGCAGTAAGCATGGCATAAATTCCATCCTCGCACAGCGTCCTGGATGAAACCGCGCCGGCTGATGGCAAAGCAGAAGCAGAAGCCAGACGCTCCAATTCCGCATCGCTTCACGCTCCCCTTTTCTCCTTGAGCCTCCTTGAGGTACTACTACTACCTTTAGGCTCTCCATTTTCTTTTCCGCACAAGAAAAACAACGAGCTATGTATTGGTGTTGCATCGAGCCCTCAATCAACCGACCGCCTAATCTCGCCCTCTTGCCTCGGGCGTGTGTGCCAACCTTGGCGTCGGTAACACCCGGTACCGGCCTGGCACCAGCACCAGGTACAGTACCTAGGTACAGTCCAGGCCCTGTAGTGAGGTGGTGAGGTCTGGTGCCTTATGTACCTCCCCCACGCGCTGCCTTACCCAGGTTGCTCTCAAGTAAGGGTACCAGGTAGGTACTTGGCGCTACCCGGGTCATGCATGGACCGAGAGTGCCTTGGCACCCCTGTCGCGAGTATCCTCCCCGTATCCCGTCTTGCCTGCGTGAGGTGATTGGCACATGCCTGCTCCCTCCACGGATCCAAGTCTGGCACGCCCATGTCCTTGTTCTCACGGACCCGTTTCTCTCTCTCTCTCTTCTTCCACCTCCTCCTCCTCCGCCCTCTCTTTCGTCCCCTTCCATCGTATTCCCACACCCTTCCACTCCAGGCCTGCTTTGCTGCTGCTCCTGGTGCTGCTGCTAGTGCCGCCCTGAAGCAGAGTCCCACCATCGTGGCCAACCCGATTGATTGTGTCATCCTTTGCGCACCTGTTTCCGCTCCGCGTCCCCCCCCAAGTTCAAAGGCACCCCCGTCGCTGGCCCTGTCATCCCTCTTCCCCGGCTCGAACGAGTATTATTCACACAATTTTCCTCCTCGCCCTTCTCTGTCTATTTATTTTCGCCATTCACTTTCTGTGCGAGCCTGCATATCCAGACACTCCCCCCTCCGACCCCGTTCTGCTGCACCGCTCGAGCTGTGCTGACGCCACCCCCCTCCCTCGAACCCCCCGAACCCATTGGCTGGCTTTGCGCATCGAGCCAGAAACACCAACGTGCTAGTACGACGCACGCAAGGGAAGGGCCTCAACGTTGGGCATCGCGCCCATCCGATCCTCCCGCATCGCTGTACATTACTGCCCTGTTACTTGTGTCGAGCCAACCATCATGAGCCGCGCCTGGGCCGCATAACCTCACACCTCTTGTTCCCACTCAGCCAGCAGCCAGCAGCCCGAACCAGACAGAGCCAGCATCAGCAACAAGCACCAGCTCCAGTCCCAGTCCCAGCACCAGCACCAGTACCAGCACCAGTCGAGGCCTGCCCCGTTGGCATGCATGCCCTGCGAACCCACGACTCGCTTCCCTATCCACAGCCATGAACAGGCCACCGGCTGCTGCGACTGACGGCGACGGCGCCACACAGGCCGGGGCCGACATGGCGAATCATCAGCCCACACCTGGTGCGTCTGCGTCCGGTGCGACGTCCACCACCAGTGCCAATCCAAGTGCCAATCCGAGTGCCAGCTCCAGCTCCAGCTCCAGCTCCGGTGCCAGCGTCAGTGCCAGCGCCAGTACCAGTGCCAATCCAGCCGCTGCTGCCAGCATCAGTGCCACGGCGACGTCGACTCACTCCTCCGCCAGCAACTCCGTCACCCATTCACCCATGGGCTCCCGAGACCCCTCCCCGACCCGTCAACCCCGGAGAGCAACTTCGTCGTCGGGCAGGATCAACGGCGCGACATCACGGAACAACAGCCAGCAGGCCCAGAGCCCGTCTCCCCAGCGCAAGTCGACCCTCGGCGGGCCTGCCTCCGGCCTTCGAAGCCTCTCCGCGACCACCACGCCGGCTCTCGTGCCCGTGACCGCCAACAACGACTCGCAGTCGCAGTCGCAGTCCCAGGTCCACGTCCACGCCCAGGCACCACCCGCACCGCAGAAGCCTGCACAGTCGTCCGAGTTGAGAGACAGCACGAAATGGCCCGTGTCGCCCCGTCTACGCTCCCCTCCGCCGCAACAACCTAGAAACGGCAGCACGACGACGCCTCGCCCCCCGAGCGAGCAGGATCCTCCTCCGCCTCCTCCTCCTCCCCCTTCTTCTTCTTCTTCACCTCCTCCTCCCATCATCATCAACGTACAGCACCCTAGCCCATCTTCCATCCAGGCCGAGTCCTATCAGTCCCTGACCGCCAGCGAGAGCGAAGCCGAGGACCTGCAGATGGCGTCTGGCCTCCGAACGCCGGCCCGCGGGCCTCTGGAAACCGTGCAGGAAGTCAGCCAGCCCAACTCGCCAGCCCGATTGCGCGGCCAGCAAGACGCCACCCTCTTGGAGCATGTCAGGGAAAAGTTTACCTACACCGACAACCAGTCCGACGTTGATGGCGGCCGGACGCTGCGAGCCAGACCCATGCTTCCCGGTTACGAAAATGGAGGTGACAGCAGGGCCGAGTCCAGGAGGACAACCTCTGTCCCTCCGCCCCTCCTCTCCAGGCAGTCTAGTGCCATTATGCTGTCGAAGCAAGCCAAGGCCCGTCCTGAGGGTTCTACGCAGACAATGACGGTCGAGACGGAGACCGTGGCGAGCATTCCTCAGGTGGCACTTGCTGTAGGACCAAAGCCTGACGGAATGAATGGAACTCTGAGGACGAAGCAGAGCACTGAAACCATTAGGCCCCCGAAAAAGGAAAAGAAGAGATCCTCTCGAAAACAGCCGGTCAACAGTGGAAATGGTGAGAATCCCCGTTCCCCCCCTCCCCTCCCCTCCCCTCTCATTCCGCCCACTCTGCATCAGACTCCTACATGGTTTCCCTTGCGAACCTGTAGACCTTGGCCAAGGTAACAACCATGCTAAAACCAATGCTAGGATCATCCAAGGCGGACATCTTCGAGGCCAAGATTGCCAACGCTGTCGACGAAGCCAACACCTCCGACTCGGAAGAGACGTTTGTCTATGATTCCAACCCCCCCGACGTTGGCGAGCGGGCCTCTCGCCGCTTCCACTCCCGCACCCCCAGTGCCACTTCCATAGTGAGCCAGAGCGATCGCCCCAACATGCGGGCGATATACGGCATCGTTGATGGCCATGGTCCTGCGCCTAAGAAGAGCTTGAAGTTTCCCAACACGTACGCCAACGGACCCATCAACGATGGCGTGTTGACCGGCGACGAGGACGGCAGGGGAACCGGCCGCAGCGCCAGCGGTTCTGGCCGAGGCACCGTCCGGCAGCATCACCACATAGGCCGCTGGGGACGCCAGCCGGGTAACGGCCATGCTTCGCTTTTCGACAACGAATCACCCTTCCAGAATGCGTCGAGACCAAAGATGACGAGCTCCCGCCACTCCTCCGGACCCCCAAGCCCGAGAAATCACCCCTCAATGTCCATGCGGGGACCGCTGAACTCCAAGCGATCTGTGATGCACATGTCCTCGAGCTATGATCTGGACGAAACGACGGGTGCGGATGACGAGCGCAGGCCTCTCCTCGACAACAACCGCAGAGGCCGATTCAGGCGTGGCCCGCACAACTTGCGGCAAGCTGAGGCGCAGACGTACTCTAGGAGGTCGTCCTATCTCAACCGGTTTGCCGCATGTCTGGTCCTTACCATGATGTTCCTCTTGGTCATTACGGGTGCCATAGGCTTCATGTTTGCGACGTCCCAGCCTCTCAGCGACATTGAGATTGTCTCCATCCACAACGTCGTCACCAGCGAGCAGGTTCTCATGTTTGATGTCACCGTCAAGGCGCACAACCCCAACATTGTGGTTGTCACAATCGATCATGCCAACCTCGAGATCTTCGCCAAATCAGAGTATGGAGGTGCCGATTCGGACTGGTGGGATAGCCCCGACGGACCCAAAGACAACTTGGTACGTCCGTACGACGATCCAATCAATGATCCGACCACCCCGGGAGGAGAGGACGAGACGAAGCCGAACGTGCTCCTCGGCCGCATCACCGAGTTCGACAGTCCCTTGACGTTTGAAGGATCTCTGTTCCATCAGGGCCTGTCCTCATCGACTGGCGAAATGCAGCTGCCGTATCCCGGCAACGGCACGGCGGGCGGCTCGAAGCGCTGGGAGCGAATCTATCAGAACGAATTTGACCTTATTGTCAAGGGAGTGGTCAAATACAGTCTTCCTCTGAGCGCCCACATCCGCAGCGCTACCGTTTCAGGGCGAACGACGGTCAAGCCAAACTCGGCCAACAATCCGCCATCGAAACCAAATGTCACGGCAGAGAATTTTGAAGCATAAGACGGGGGCATTGTCTCCCTTCCCCACAAGGCTGCGTTGACGAGTCTTGTTGCTCGTTTCCCCTTCATCCCCCTCACCCCTTCACCCGTTCCTTTTCTTCCCCTTCGGTTTTCCATTTCTAATGTTTGTTTGTGTACATCGAGCGCGCATAGCGAGGTTTCTTTCGGAGCAGAGGCGTTGGATTGCAATTTCCAACAATATCATGGCTTGTTCGGTTACTGGCAAGGACAAAGTTGGCCCTGCCTGGGTGTTTATCTTTTCTTGGGGTCTTTTTGTGTGTCAGAGTTCACCGGGGGGGCAGAGAATCACCCTCTTCATTTCCAAGTTTTTTTTTTTCTCTTTACCCTCTTCCCTCTCCCACCATTCCTTGATTTTGACCTACCTTAGCATACACCACTGGCTTTGAGTCGAAATATTCAGTTCTTGAGCAACAGATGTACAAGATGGAAAGTAAGAAAACAGGGAGCACACGAGGCATTCGAATGGAGTTTTCTTTATATCTCACGCAACATAGATGAGCAAGTGGCAACTACTCACCCCCCTTTTTTCCTTCTGTCATTGTAACGGTTTTCCCTCATGACAGGCGGTCGATCCCGCCCACACGCAGCTGTTTTCATTCCTACCTTTCTTCGATAGGAGGGAAAAGGGGGCTTCCGTCGAAGCGAGTCTTAGAGTACAATTCATAAAGAGAGGTCGGGAGGGGAGGGGGAATAGCCAGAGGAAGTGAATCGATGCATCAGATGGAGATTTACAGTAAAATCAAAAGATACAGTGAATAAAATTGATCCATAGCGACGCATGATGCGCATTACGGAGGTACCTATGTAGATGGAAGAATATTCTGTCATGACATTTGTAAGTTTTCTTTTTAAACTGCGTAACGTGATGGTGAACAAGATGATGCTTCCCAGATGGCCTATAAATGTTTTATAACTCCTAAAACGCCCCTCCTCGCCAGCCCTTTTTTGTGAATCATTAACAAAGACCTCAACAGTGTTGGCCAAAGGCGTGACGATCCTGTTTTTGGACTCAAAACCCCTTTGAAGCCACAACGGCTCTTATAGGGAACAAGGAAAGAAAGAAAAAAAGACAAAACAAAAATGCTCAGACAAAAGAAAAGAAAGAGAATAAATAGGGCACTTCAAGGACGAAAAAGAAGAAGGCCCAGGTAACAAGTTTTTTTTTGTTTCATGAAAAGTGAATGCCCTCCTCGTTAAAGGCAAAGAGCATGCGCAAAAAGTCATTCTCGTCGCACTTGCTCGCGCGCTTGTCCGCCAGCTCCGTCACGTCCTCGAGCACCTTGCGAATCTTTTCGCGGACGAGCTCGGCGACCTTTGTCTTCTTGCGCTTGCTCTTCGTCTTGGAGGGGGCGGTGCCCGCGGATTTTGAATCCTTGAAGAAGCTGGGCGTGTCGTCGTCGTCGTTTGCGTCGGCAGCATCGTCGACGTCCATGCCAGCGGCGTCCTCGTCGGCGGCCTCATCCATGTCCATCTCTTCATCGTTGTCATCCTCGTCGGAGGCGCCCTCGACGAGGCTCTCGTCAATGGGGACGCCGTTCATGGCGCACCAGGTGCGGTAGTTGCGCTCGACCATGGCGAGGACCTCCTTGGTGCCCAGCCAGCTGGCGCGCAGCGTCTTGTTCTTGCGGACAAAGCACACGCGCAGCAGGCCGTCCCACTCGTCCCAGCTGACGTTGGGCCGGTCCTTGCCCATCTTGGGCTCGATGCGCACGACCGACGACTCGACCTGGGGCGGCGGGCGGAAGTTGTTCTTGCCGACCTTCATGATGTGGGTGATTTTGGCCCAGAACTGGGCGTTGACGGAGAGGCGGCAGTAGAGGGCGTCGCCGGGGCGGGCCGTCAGCCGGAGGGCGAACTCGCGCTGGAACATGAGGACGGAGCAGCGCGGGGGGTTGGGCATGGAGAGGAGCTTGAAGACGAGGGGGCTGGAGATCTGGTTTTGTACAAAGATCGAGGTTAGTTATTTTGTCTGTGAAACGACGCATGGCGAGTCGAGATGAAGGCCACGAGGGGGGAACCAAGAGCATATATATACCTGATAGGGGGTATTTGAGATGCAAACGTCAAAGGCCGGCAGCTCCGTCTTGATCACGTCGCCCAGCAGGACCTCGAGCTTGCGCTGCTCGGGCTTCCCCTGCACTCGCTTGGTGACCTCGGCCGCCATCCTGGGATCGAGCTCGACGCAGATGCATTTCTTGGCCTGCTCGAGGATGCGCACCGTCAAGTTGCCCGTGCCGGGGCCGACCTCGAGGACGGTGTCTGTGGGCTTGAGGAAGGCCTTCTGGACAATGGCGTCCGAGACGCCGGGGTTCTTGAGGATGTGCTGGCCAAAGTTGGTGTTGAACTTGAAGACGTTGTTGGTCTTGGAGCTCTTTCCGCTGGGCTTCTCGTAGGGGCCGCTGGAAGCGTTGTTGCGCTTCCCCTTTTCGGCTTTGGCCATCTTCTCTTTGGGGAGGCTGATGCGATGGGATGTTTGATCTGGCGCGAGTTGGGTCTATGAATGTATTTCGAGGAGCGCCGGTTTGCGATATCGTGGGGAGGGGGGGAGGGGTGATGATAGGTAGGTATTGGGCGGGAGACTTTTCTTCAGAAGGGGAAAAAAAAGTTACCAGAGAGCGGAATTATCGATAAGCGGAAAGGCAAGTGCTAGATCTGTAGAGCGGGTGTCAATTTGTAACCCGGATTGCGCGCCACTGGCCCGGAATCTTCACGTGGCAAAAGCTGCCTTTGCACACCTACGGCAACCTGGAAGGCTACTTACTTCATTGTTGCCTCGCGACAGTGGCTTTTCTGCTGCTCTCTCTCAACCATCATTCCTTTTTTCTCTCCACCACCCACCCGCAATCACGCCCAAGACGCCAGAGCGATGACGTCCCGACGCGACTTTCTGAGCCAGCCGGCTCCAGAGAACTACGTCGCCGGTCTGGGTCGAGGTGCCACCGGCTTCACAACCCGATCCGATCTTGGCCCTGCTCGTGACGGCCCCAGCGAGGATCAGATCAAGGAGGCGCTCGCGAAGCGCGCTGCACAGCTCGGCCTCGTCCCCGATGGCAAGAAGGGCAAGGAAAAGGAGGAGGAGGAAGACGACGAGCGGTACCAGGACCCCGACAACGAAGTAGGGCTGTTCGCCGGTGGAGTCTACGACAAGGAGGACGAGGAGGCAGATAAGATCTGGGAATGGGTAGACGAGCGAATGGACCGGCGGAAACGGCAGCGAGAGGCCCGCGAGAAGGCCGAGCGGGAGGAGTACGAGAGGAACAACCCCAAGATCCAGCAGCAGTTTTCGGACCTCAAGCGCGCGCTGGCCACGGTCTCGGACGAGGACTGGGCCAACCTGCCCGAGGTGGGAGACTTGACCGGCAAGAATCGGCGGAGCAAGCAGGCGCTGCGACAGCGCTTCTACGCGGTGCCGGACAGTGTGCTTGCGGCGGCGAGGGACTCGGGCGAGATGGGCACGACGGTCGTGGACGACGGGGCAGCGACGAGCACGACGGACGCATCCGACGGCACAATGACCAATTTCGCCCAGATCGGTGCCGCCCGCGACAGAGTGCTCAAGTCAAGGCTGGAGCAGGCGTCCCAGACGGCCGGTGACGCCTCCGTCATTGGAAGCTCGACGAGCATCGATGCGCAGGGATACATCACGAGCCTCAACAAGATGCAGGTCAACGAGTCACAGGCCCAGGTTGGCGACATCAACCGAGTACGAGAGCTGCTCCAGTCCGTCGTCAAGACGAACCCGAACAATGCCCTGGGCTGGATCGCTGCGGCTCGACTGGAAGAGCTGGCAGGCAAGATTGTGGCGGCGCGGAAGACGATCGACCAGGGATGCACGCGGTGTCCCAAGAGTGAAGACGCATGGCTGGAAAACATTCGGCTCAACCACGATTCACCAAACAGCAAAATCATTGCACGACGGGCCATCGAAGCCAACCCTAGATCTGTTCGGCTTTGGGTCGAGGCGATGAGGCTGGAAAACATTCCCAGCCACAAGAAGAGAGTTATCCGGCAGGCGCTAGACCATATCCCAGAGTCGGAAGCGCTGTGGAAGGAGGCCGTGAATCTGGAAGACGACCCCGAAGACGCCAAGTTGATGCTGGCAAAGGCTACGGAACTCATTCCGCTGTCTGTAGACCTGTGGCTTGCTTTGGCACGGCTAGAAACCCCGGAGAATGCACAAAAGGTCCTGAACAAGGCTCGAAAGGCCGTCCCTACGTCCCACGAGATCTGGATTGCCGCTGCTCGTCTCCAGGAGCAGCTTGGCCAAGGCCACAAGAGCGCTGTGATGAAGCGCGCCGTCCAAGTTTTGGCAAAGGAGTCAGCCATGCCCAAGCGCGAGGAATGGATCGCCGAGGCGGAGAAGTGCGAAGAAGAGGGCGCCATCATCACCTGCCAGAACATTATCCAGGAGACGCTGGGTTGGGGACTGGACGAAGACGATGATCGCAAGGACACATGGGCAGAGGACGCTAGGGCGAGCATCAACAGAGGCAAATACGAAACCGCGAGGGCCATCTATGCCTACGCACTGCGCGTTTTCGTCAACAGCCGGACCATGTGGATGGCCGCGGCGGATCTCGAGCGGAATCACGGAACGCGCGAGTCCCTGTGGCAGGTGCTGGAGAAGGCGGTGGAGGCGTGCCCCAAGAGCGAGGACCTGTGGATGATGCTGGCCAAGGAGAAGTGGCAGTCGGGAGACGTGGACAATGCCAGGCTGGTGCTCAAGCGAGCCTTCAACCAGAACCCAAACAACGAAGACATTTGGCTGGCTGCCGTCAAGCTGGAGTCGGAGAACGGCAATGAGGAGCAGGCCCGGAAACTGCTCGAGGTTGCACGGGAACAGGCGCCCACAGATCGTGTCTGGATGAAGAGCGTCGTCTTTGAGCGTGTGCTAGGCAACGTCGAGACAGCGCTCGACCTTGTGCTCCAGGCACTGCAGCTCTTCCCTGCCGCCGCCAAGCTGTGGATGCTCAAGGGCCAGATCTACGAGGACCTGGGCAAGACGGGCCAGGCTCGGGAAGCCTACGCCGCAGGCGTCAAGGCCGTCCCCCGATCGGTGCCCCTGTGGCTCCTCTATTCCCGGCTGGAGGAGAACGCCGGGCTGATTGTCAAGGCGCGTTCGGTCCTCGACCGAGCGCGGCTGGCCGTGCCCAAGAACGGGGAGCTCTGGTGCGAGTCGGTCCGCCTCGAGCGCCGCGCCGGCAACATGGCCCAGGCCAAGTCGCTCATGGCCAAGGCGCTGCAGGAGGTGCCCAAGAGCGGCCTGCTGTGGGTCGAGCAGATCTGGCACCTGGAGCCTCGCACGCAGCGCAAGCCGCGCAGCCTCGAGGCCATCAAGAAGGTGGACAACGACCCGATCCTGTTTGTGGCCGTCGCGCGCATCTTTTGGGCGGACCGCAAGCTGGAGAAGGCGCAGAGCTGGTTCGAGAAGGCGCTCGTGCTGGACGCGGACCGGGGCGACAGCTGGGCGTGGTACTACAAGTTTCTGGTGCAGCACGGCACGGAGGAGAAGAGGGCGGATATGGTGACCAAGTGCGTGCTCAACGAGCCGAGGCACGGGGAGGTGTGGCAGGCCGTGGCCAAGAACCCCAAGAATGCGAAGAAGAGCGTCGAGGAGATTCTCAAGCTCGTTGCGGCGGAGTTGGAGCAGTGATTATCTTTTTATTCTTTCTTGCTTGTTTTAGCTTACAAGGGGCGTCCATTTGGTTTTCAGAAATGGCATGGGAGTTTTGAGACTAGGGCCGGGATGCTTTTTGATCATCTTCTTTATGTTCTTCCTTGAGAGCGCCGGTTCTTCGACTGGCGGTTGGTCAGGCTGTTCAGAACAACCATGATGTGTACCTATGCGTTCACTTTGAGAGAGTAGACATTCCGGTAGAAACAGAAAAACGAAATGACTCAATTACTAGTAGTGTTTGGTTTGCTCACAAACCCCAAGGTATTTTCTCTCTTCCCGTTCAACAAGAAAACAAAAGGACGAATCACAAGTCTCTCTGCTGCGACTCTGGGGATCACAGGCGTCGTTTCCCCCCAAATTCTCCCTTTTCAGCAGTCTTGCTTCTCTTTGTTGATTATTATATGGTGTGTTGTTAAATTACTTGCTGCCGCCGAACCAGCTCGAGATACCACCCTTTGCCTTGGCCGCACCGTCCTCCACCTTGCGGTCAAACTTGTCGACGGCTTTGAGGGCTTCGCTTTTGGCGTCCTTGGCGTATGCCTCGGCCTCCTTCTTGAGCTTGGTAGCTTCCCTATCGGCTTCGGCCCACTATGAATTGTAAAAAAAAAAAAATGCCATGGTTAGCTTTAATGTACAGAAAATGGATTATTGAATAAAAAAAGTGAAGAACAGATGGGGGGTTGACGCACAGCCTTGTCAATCTTGGCGCCGGCTTCCTGGCCGTAGCCCTTGAATTCCTTTTCGGCGTTGGGAGAGTTGCCGGGGAGGTGGGATCTGATTTTCGCCGAGGCTCGGTCTGCGTCGCCTGTTTTTTTGACAAAAAGCAAGACAATGGCTGGTTAGTGATCGGATGGTTCATCATATATATATGTATACGGGAGAATGGTTTTTGGTCGGTTTGGGGGTGTGTGTGTGGATTTTGACGTACTCTCAAACTTCTTCTCGGCGGCCTTTGCGTTGCCGCCGGCGCCGTAGAGGTAGTATCCGATTCCGCCGGCGGCGCCGAGGCCGAGGATCAGGGGCATTCGTGACTTGGTTGACATTTTTGTTTGGAGAGGGCTGTGATGTGTGTCTGTGTGTGTGTGTGTGGTGGTTGTTTGGTGAGAGTGTTGCTTTGCGCGTGTTTGTGGTGGTTGTGGTGGTTGATGAGGATATGGGAGGTGAAAAGGTGATGATGCTGATGAGAGTGGCGAATTGGAGATGTTTTAAGGGAACTGACAAGCTCTTATCGATTATATATAGGCAGATAGCGCAAAGGGGAAAGAAGAAGAATGGGAACAAGATGGAGGAAACCACGAGGAAATCAGGTTGTTACCCTGCGGTAGGTAAGGTATGTGCTAGCTGAAAACGAACAACCTTGGTTATTGCGTGGGCTTTGGACGGTAAGGTATGTATAGTTGGTTGCTAGCGAACAACTTAGGTACAAATCGAATGATACCTGCCTATCCATCTAAGGTACTCTATTACTCGCAACGCGTTGACGTTGTGTGTATGTAAAGTACCTACTTCATTATGACGCACGCCCTTTTCCCGTGCATTTATGGGCGACAAGGCGCTGGAGTGCAAGAGGTTCGTGATGGTGATGCAAGGCATTGGTCGTGGATATACATGACGTAGTGTGGCAGAGGGAGCGGGGCGGCAAGTACAAGTACGGTAGAGTACCCCGGATTTGGGTACGGGTTGCTTGTGCTAGTAGTATATCGAGAGATGAATGATTATTGAATGATTCTTTTGAAAGAGTGTCGATTATTATTACAGCACTTTAAAGTATAAATCAACACGTAATCAAGAATATGGTGATCAAGAAGATTTATAGTTATATAAATGGTCAACAGGGATGATGGCAATGTCGAGTATTATCATCGATGCACATGCTAAACACTCCGTTGGCGTTCAATGTACCTAGGTATGTAAGGTAGATCGAAGCCGCGATTGACTCCACTGAAAGGATTGCTCTTCCGGTGCCTGTCCAGGTCCTTGCGTGCTGAAACGGGCAGCAAATCGTGCTAGAGATGGGATGGAAGTGCTAATGTAAGCACCCATCTACATCTAGCGCGCCGCCTGTAGCCGCCATTACATCATTGAAGCCTCCAGCTGAGCCAAACAAGGCTGGAGAATAGCAACGATGGCCTCAAGCATGTGCGCTTGGCACAACAAGAGCAGGCAAGATATTGGTCTCTTGCAGGCATTGAATGGCTACCTTATTTCGTGAATCAAATATGCTGGTACTTGTGAATCACAGCTGACATGCATTGGCTTGTTCAATCTACTGTCTACCTACCTACATTAGATGTCTAATCGTGCTTCTCCCTCCCCCACTCAGTCGCGCCATCGGTAGCCCAAAGCAGTAAAAAAGAGAAACAACTTGGAAGCGCCGCCTGTTGCCTTCAGCTGTCCTGCGCTTTTCCCTCCTTTCCCACACAATAGCCCTCCCTCTTGCTTCTCTCCTTGTTGGAGCGTTCCTGGTTTCTTTGTACTGGTGATCCCTTCCTCCACGTCCCTTTTTTTTTTTTTTCCCTTTCTCGTTGGAGTCTGGACGGGCCAATGAATGCTTGAAACACCGAGGTGATGCATCGTGGCTTTTCTCTTGCACGCGCCTCCAGCTGCTGTTAGTCGGTGACGTGAACTCCAATCCCTTCTGCCGTCCGATCTCGACCTGTCCCAAACGCTCTTCATCTGGCCAAATCTCGCACTGCGCACCATATACGGTCACTGTTCGACAGCCGTAACCGGCAAGAGTCTCCTGCGACGACTCTCATGTCTTGCTGACAACGACAAGCAAGATGCACGGCTCTCGCCGCGCTGCAACCCTGCAGCCGGGTGACTATGACCACGAAATCACACTCACGGACGATGAAGCGGCCCAGTCGCTGCGACCCACGAGCTCTGTCTCCGGAGGCGGCGAGCTGGCTCCCACCAATACTTCGACGCAGCTGCTTCCAGACAGGGGGCCAGAGACGGAGCAGGCCCAGCACCAGCCGCCAGACGATGGCGAGACGGAGCGCCGAGATCACGCACCTCTGCACCCGAGTACATCAAAGGGCAAAGATGGCGGCACAACATACCAAACGACTGCATTGGAGACTACAAGCGAATTGGGCCCGTCACAGTCTGGTGTGCAGCCGTCGATTGAGATTCGCGGTAGGTTGAGTCTGTTCCCAGATACAAGAGCGGTAGGCTGACTCTCTGTGGCAGCTCCAAGCGTCGACGAATCGCAGCACACGTCAAACTGGGATACCCGCTCACGGCCAAAGTCGAGGGAGAAGCGAGAGACTGCCATAGACATTCTCTACGAAAATGAAAGAGGAGGCTTCATGTGTGGCGTTGCTCTGTTTTCCAGCGCAGCTCTTGGTTGTCTTGATCCCACCCCCTGGAGTAAGTGAACACGCACAACAGCAGCCAATGCGAACGAATTGAAACATCTAACAAGCTAATCTTCACAGCCAACGCATATCACCATCCATCCCCCACGGACATTTACACGGCCCAAGTGCCCGATCCTTCATGGGAGTGGGTATGGCCCGAATGGCGGGTCTATCAAGAGGACGGCACGGACGAGGGCGGCTGGGAGTATTCCTTTGCCTTTCAGAGGCCATTCTCCTGGCATGGGCCAACATGGTGGAACTCATTTGTCAGGCGCCGCATTTGGATTCGCATGAGGGCAAAGAAGCGGCCCGAAGACCTGCCCTCCGATCCAATCTTGCTTGCGGGAGTCGACTACTTCAAGCTTCACCCGTTGTCCGTGGTCGGCCCGCCTCTGTCTGGCAGTGTATCCGGCAGTCAGGTCCCGAGCAAGGTCCCGAGCAAGGCTAGCCTGACACAGGCACCGCCTGCCGGGCACAGCCGAGAGCGGCCGGACACCGAGGACATGGACATGCTCCTGCAGGCCCTGCGCGCTGCCAGGATTGACCGGGAGAAGAGGGAAGCCATCGAGAACTACATGGAACACGCCATAGATCTCTCGGAGCTGCAGCATGGGATGCACGAGATAATGTCTCTGTTTGTGTTCCAGCAATCGCGCAGGGAGTTGCTATCGTACCTCATGCAGAAGCATGACGAGATCGCCAAGGCATGCGAAGAGGACAAGAGTCCGGAGCTGAAGCGACGCAAAGAGGCGCTCGATGCGGCTACCAAGCACGCCGAAGAGGAGGTCTGCAGGCTGGCTTACTGGAGCGACGTGAAGCAGATGGCCGAGAGCGGAGAGCTGCGAGACGTGGTCGACTCTTGCGAGGGGCTGGGAAGCGACCCGTGGCAGGGCCTGGATAAGAGTGCTCCAGAGCCGCCCCGGAACGGCAAGATGCCGCAGCGTTGAGACTAGCAAGTCTGCACATATACCCTTTGTTTTTTTTTTTTTTTTGAGAAAAGAGACGGGTTTGGGTTTTACGCATGATATGAAGAGTATAGGTCGTACATGATACCGGTGGACTGGCGTTATATATGGGCAGGTCAGGGGGGGTTGATGGTTTGATATATTTACAGCCGAGGCATCTGTCTGCAAAAGAGCACAGCATCTGGTGATGGAAGTCCAGATCATGGTAGTGTAGAGGTTTACCACTACTAATTCAAGATGTTCATAATGTTCCTAAACTCGAGCAGCTCTCTTACGGTCGACATGACATCTTCTACGTATCAATATAGAGGTACATAGCTGTAGGTTAGCATCTTGAGACGTCTGTAGGTATGAGGTGACGACTGGCACGTGATCCCCTGCAAAAGCCAGAGAAAAAAAGGCAGCAGATCGGAATTCTCTTATCGGCGCTTATCGGTCGTGCAGGTCCCGATGTATTATATCTACCGCTACGAAACTCGCGCTTCTTCTCCCTCTGCTGTGACATGAAGCAAACAACAATGCGCACCTCATGACCAATGTTCCAAGGGATCAAGTCGATTTGGAGGACTCGGTCCCAATTCATCCGCTCGCCTGCCTCTTTCCCGCCTCGCCCGCCTCGCCCTCTGCCATGGCGCTCTGCAGCAGCGCCTTTGGGGCTCTCCTCGAACCGGCGCCTTGCGTCTTCAGTGGCCTTGACGAGTGACTCTGCTGCTGCTGAGGGACCGCGAGCTGCTCAAGTGGAAGCAGAAGCACAAGAAGCAGCAGCAGCAACAGCAGCGGAATCATCAGCAGAATCAGCAGCAGCTGAGATAGGCTTCCCCGATGCATCCATCCTGCCTGTAAAAGAGGCGGCAGCAGAGGCACACGCCAACAACGCCCGGAACCGCATGTTTAGACAGGCCTTCCAGGAAAAGAGCCCCGAGCGGCTGCGCCAGGCAGAGCGGAAGCTGGCCTCGCCGTACGTGCCCACGGTGCGCGACTATCCGTCCGCCCACGCGGCCAAGGAGAGCAGGACGCACGCGCTGCGGGTGGCGAGAGTGCAGGTCGCCTTCGACGACATCTGGCGGCACTTTGGCCATGGCATCCCGGACTGGAGCGAGACGTTCAACCTGCTCAAGAGGATGATGACGAGGCGCAGCGAGCCGTCGAGCATGGCCGCCATGCGCATCGTCCTGCCCAAGTCGTGGGCGCTGGAGCTGGGCAGCAAGAAGATTGAGTTTGTGGACTCGACGACGGGCTTGCTCGCCAAGCTGCGCGTCTCGTCGGACCACCAGGACCCTTGCGCCATCATCCTGCGGGGGAAGAGCTCGGTGCTGGCCAACGCCGCGGAGGAGCTGGTGGCCGCGTGCAAGGACGTCGAGGTGTACAAGCTCGGAGAGGTTGCGGCCTTTGGGTACGAGGTGCAGCGCCTCTGGCCGGGCATCGAGGGCGCGGCGGAGGGCGGAGCGCTCATACCCGACGACAAGCAGGACAACATCTGGGTACACCAGGAGTACCAGACGTACTGGGTCGATGTACCGTACGAGGAGGCGCCCCGGCCGGAGCAGTGGACGATGGAGAACCTCGACGGCTACATCCGGATGCTTGTCTGCGGCCGGCTTCGTCCGCACCTCGCCCTGCGCTACTATGCGAAGCCGGAGAAGGACGGCACCTTTGTCGACACGGATGGCATCAGAGTCCAGCTCATCATGGCTGCGCTCACGGACGCTGGCGCCAAGCCCTACATCACGCCGTCGATCCTCAAGATGGCCATGTCCTTCATGGCACAGAAAGGGGGCCACCGAGCCGACGCGGATCGGCTGCTGACTCTGGCCGAGGAATGGGGCATACCCCTGGATACCGAGGCCTACAACATCATGCTCGAGGGCTACGTCACCAAGCGCGACGTTGCCTTTTTCCACAAGCTGCTCCTCAAGATGCAGCAGCGCTACTTCCAGCCCAACGCTCGGACGTGGTTGTTGTTCCTCGAGCTGGTCGAAAAGGAAATGGAGAGGCGGCAAATCATTGTCGCAATGTACGACCTGGGGCTGTTTAACGACCCGGCCACCCGCAGAGGCATCGCCAGGATCATGGCCACGCACGACGCCTACGTTGCGTTCCGCTCCGGCAAGCGACTCGACGCCTTCATGGCGGAGCAAAAGTCGCGCTACGGGGACGACTGGTTCACCACGGACGCCATGAACAGCATCCTGACCGAGTTCTTCCGGTTCCACGAGCGGGACCACCGCCGCTTCGACGACTTCCGGGGCCTCATCGAGAAGCAGTCCGAGGACGGCCGCAAGGTGGGCACCGACACCATCAACCTGGTGCTCGAAAAGTGCCTCGTCTACAAGGACTGGGACACGGCCATCTGGGCGCTCACCAAGCTGCACGAGTCGGGCTGCGAGGCGGACCACCTGACGTACCAGTACGTGATCCGCCTGGCCATCCGGCTGCACCTCCCGCACGCCCTCGGCGTGGCCGTCTTTTACGCCGCGCTCGAGTACAAGCTGCGAGACGTGACGCGCGTCATTCTCCGCCGCCTGCTCCTCGGCCACGCCAAGGACGCCTTCTGGCTCGAGCAGAGGCCCTTCATCATGACGAAGGAAATGGGCCGCCTGCTCATGGAGAACAAGGCCCAGGGCATCTCCCGTGTCGTCAGCCGCGTGGAATGGGCCATCAACACGGCCTGCGAGGGCTACAAGCCGTCCAAGCCGCTCGCCAAGATGCTCGACCTGGCGCAGCGGACAAAGGACCGACCGCTGCAGCTGAGGCTCGACTTCCCCGAGAGCTTCACTTACGAGGGCGCGCACGACGCCAAGCAGGACATGGCCCTGCGGATGGAGAGGGTCGAGGGCGACGAGAAGAAGCCGGTGAATGTCTTTCTGACGTGGACCTTTGATCCGCGCACCATGGTCAGGAGGTGGGATGAGGAGAAGGAGAGGAAGGCCCGGGAGTGGCTGGATCGACATGCGAACAAGTCTGGCCATGGGCATGATGTTGTGCAGCAGCAAAAAGGCAGCACTTGAACAGTTTTTCTTCTTCTTCTTCTTCTTCTTCTTCTTCTTCTGCTGCTGCTGCTGCTGTTGAGGAAGCATCTTTATGACACAAAAGATACGTTTGATGGGTACTTTGGCACATGGAGGAGCATTTGGGAAAGGTGTTGTTGACCGGTCGGTATGATTTGATATGGTATGATATGGTATGAAGCCAAGGCATCGTGGGATTCGTCATTGCCCCTTTCTTTTCGTTGTATGAAATATCGCCCTTGTATACTAGTAGAACGACGTGGATTGCTGCATATTGTAACAAATATATGTGTATCATACACCCTTCTCCAGAACTGTCCTCCTCTCTACGCCCATTCACGTGCCAAATTCGCCCGTAACACTTCAAACTTCCAAACTTCTACTAACTTTGCTATCATACCAAACCCCAAAGAAACTTTTCCCATTCCATCGACACCTTTCTGCACGGTGATAGAGTCGACGCTCAACACACTCCACTTCATAGCATAGCCTCAAGATCCCAGAGCCGCACACAGACGTACAACATACGCATCATCAATGTCACCCGAAATAGATTCATATAGGGGACCATAGTTGGACAAGGTTGGTTGGGTATCAGAAATGTTATACTGGGTCCTGGAACAGCGAACAAACAGGAAAAAAAAAAAGAAGAAAAAGAAAATTGAGAGAAGGAGAGAGAGAGAGAAAAAAAAAAAGAGTCGAGGCAGAAGGAAGACGACATGATCCGTGTGTGGGGAAAAAAAGGAGGCGTCAAAACGAAGTCCGTGATGCTGCTGCAAAAGACCCAACTCTCCTTTGATCCAAATATCATACCACCGGTACACCGAATATCAACAACGATAGAAGAGGAAACCGTGTAACGAGCAACACTCAATGTCTAAACCGCCCCTACGCTCTCTGCCTTGTCTCCCAGAATGTTTCGTTCCAGAGCCTCTCCCGTCTCTCCCCCACTCCCTATGCGATTTAAAAATGCCCTCACGCCTGGGGTTTTTTGAGTAGCGGTGATGGGAAGAAAAAAGAATTATGCCACACGTACACACAAACACACGCCATCAACAACACCAGCGCGGGGCTTCAAGGAGACGAGCCCAAAGAATTCAAGAGGACCACCTAATCCTTCTTACTCTCCTCGGGTGTCTTTTCGTCTTGCTTCTTCTCCGACCCATCCGCGGGTTTGGACGACTCCGCCTCTGGTGCCGGCTTGGCCTCTGTCTCCTCCTTTGCATCGGTCTTGCCGGAGCTCTTGGGCACCTGGCTCGCAAGGTCCTTGTCCTCGTCAGCATTGTCAAACATCTCCGTGTCGTCGGAGCCCGTCAGGACTTCGGTGCCGTCGCCCAGGAAGATGATGCGACCCCGGGATCCGGCAAGGCTAAACTTGCCGCCGCTGTCGGCGTCGACGTCGTAGCCGCTGTCGCTGTCTTCGTAGTTGTGGTGAACGCCGGGACCGCGGAACTCGGCTGCGGGGGGGTAACACATGCAGTCAGTCTTTCAGCTCCGCGTCTATGCGTGCTTGTGAGAAGCAGGGGAACGGCTCGCTCGTACCATATTCCGGGGGGGCACAGGGGCCGTCTCCGTTGGCCACTCTCTTGGCAATTTCGTCATACCACTCCTCCTTGGTCTTGCCGTGCAGGAAGCCGATGATGACCATGGTCATGTTGTCGCAGCCGACGCCACCCGTTTCTGAGTTGGACGCAAGGCAGTTGTCCATCATGTTCTCGCAGATCTTGTCAAGGTCCTGCTTGGCGGCGATGCCTCGTCGCACAAACTCAACAACAGCCTGGGAAGATTGGCAATCCCAGATACCTGGCCAGAGTTGAATGAATCAGTCCAAATGCCCACCAGTCCACAAGGTTCAACATATCCGTGCCCCTAGATAGTCGTCAAGGTTTGCCGAATCTCACTCACCGTCACAGGCAATCACCAGGAACTCGTCCTCCTCTGTAAGCTCGTGCACCTCGACATCGGGAAAGGCGGTAACGATCTGGTTTTCGGGGGACAGCTCGGCGCTCTTCTTGAATTCAAAGTCGCCAATGGCACGCGACAGAGCCAGATTGCCGTTGACTCGGCCAAAGTCGACGAAACCGCCAGCGGCTGTGATTCGGTTCTTCTCCGCTGTAAACCGCAAGGGCACGCAGTCAGTATTGCCCCTCTTAAGCACTGACTCAATGGATGCACAAACTTTCAAGCTGAGGCTTGTGGTCGTTGGATAGGGGTTTGGCCCGTCCCTTGATGCCCAGCACGCTTCGAGAATCACCGGCGTTGGCCTACACAAGGGATGCATTGTTAACTCGAGCCGCGAGAGATCGTCGTAGTGTGTAGGGAGACGTACGACATATAGTTTGTTTCCGGCAATCAGGGTGACGCAGGCAGTGCAGCCAGAGACTTCCTCTTCGTATTTGGGGTCTGTAAACAAAGAGACAGCATAGTTAGCAGAGAGTTTGGCACGTGAGGGATAAATGAAAGATGATGCACGGAGAGAAAAGAGCAATATGGTTGCGCAAGCCAAATATGCCCCCATCTCGCATAGCGCAAAGCAGACGAGGAATATGATAGATAGCCATGGAGTCGCGTACCGTTGAGAATAGCCCGATCCGTAGCGAGAAAGCCGTCCTTGAGACCCTGAGCGTAATCACCGGATTTGAAGCTCTCCTGCTTGAAAACAATGTTGTGAATGTTCTCGCCTGCGAATAACGCTACTTTGTCTCCTCCGTGTCCGTCGAAGACTCCGAAAAAGGACAGCCTGTCGGGGTGCGTCTTGGTGTCGTTGTCAGGTGGGGGGAGATTCAGCTCAGCCGTGTGAGCGTCCTCCATGCTGATGCGCCAGCCCTGCATGGCGGACACGCCGTAGATGAGTCTGTCATCCTCGCCCTTTTCGGAAGTCTAGATCATGATGAAGACGGAGGTGTCAGCCACTGCGAGAGCAGTCGAGAGAGAGAGAGAGAGGAGACGGATGTGATGGCTCTGGACAAGATGGAGAAGCAAGGCACGAGCAAGGAACGGACAAGCTGCACGCGGCGGGGTCCTGCGTGGGCTTTGACAGTGATGGGCCGTGACTTGATGCCATCATGGCGGCAGGACAGCTGGCAAAGCCGCAGCAAGAGTTGCGGGAGAGCTGGCAGAACAAAGGCCACGCAAGCCTTTTCTTGATATCGCCCACGCAATCAACGAGTCGCGAGACGCCGCCAGCACAGCAGCGGAACACCAACACAGGAAAACAGCAGAGTATCATGAGGGGCTATAACGAGGGGCTATAACGAGGGCGGTATGGAGCGCTCAAGGCGAAGCAACAAGGTGCAATAGCGGCCACTCGAGGGGAGGCATCGCATCTCGGACACGCACCTTTTCGACAACGGGCTCCGAGAGGGTTTGGCCCATGGCTGCGACGTCTCACGAGGGCCGGGAAAGCGATCGAGGGGGAGGAAAAGCGTCGAGGAGGGGAGGAGGCAGCACGACAAAGATAGCAGTCTTGTTTCTATCGTTTGGTACTCAGGGACGCGAGACCTCTGGAGGCGGGACCGTAGGCTGCGAAAGGTTATAGGACACGAGGACGTGGCTGAAGGGGGGAGAAAGAAGGGGGAAACCAGCGGCGTCGAGGCGGATCGAGGGTTGTGTGTGGTGTGTGCGAGTGTGTGGTGGTTTTCGGTTGGTGATGCCAGCAGACCAGAGCGCAAAATCGGCTTCGCAGGAAGCGGGGTACCGCGATACCTCAGCCAGTCAACGCCACGCTTTGTATTTTTTTTTTTTTCTTCACTTGGTGCTAGCAGCAGGCCTAGGTACTGTATGCTGCCAATCTCAACGGCCTATCTGAATTTTTTTCAGGTCATTTTTTTTTTTCTCCGCAGGTGCTACAGCAACTCCAGGCCTAGGCTCCCGTCTCTCGTCCACTATCTCTTGCTCGCTAGGCAGCCAGAGGGGGGGCAGATGATAGGCCGGATGGGCAGATGTGGCGAAGCTGCGGCTGCTGCAAGCGTGCTAGCAGCCAGTCAGCAAGCCACTACCAAGTTTTTCTGGAGGGACACAGGTGGGAAAGGGGTCTCTCTGCTCGGCTCTTTTTTTTTTCTCTTCTTACTTTTCTTGTTTCATCTCCATATCGACGTTAGCATGATGCGGAGCATTTTCTCTACCTTGTCACGTTTAGTCTAGCCCGGCAGCCCGGGGCAGCGCGGAGAAGATCTAACAATGTCATGCTCGCAAGGGGTCCAGAGGCCGTGATTTGATGGTTCCTGTATGTACGCACGATTCTGCTGCTAGTACCTGTATAATCATCTTCCGAGGTCCCTTGAGGTTCGAGTCGAGAGCCCCGCGGTTTCCCCCCTCGATTGACGGAGAACCCCTCCATCTGCGCCAAGCGTTGGCCTCTGAGTACCTGCACCTGGCGATTAGAGCGACAGGGTACTTGGCGCCTAACTGCATCTTACCTTAGGTACAGCTTCAGTTTAGTTCCTCTATTAGCGATTTGGGGCACCTTATTCAGGGTCGATAATACTAGTCCTAGGTACCTAGGTACCACCAGCAATGACATCAACGGATTGAGAAGTGGCATTTGTACTGTAGAAACGAACCGGCACTTCCAAGTTTACAATTCCATTCATGTGACATTGATTCATCGCGACGAGTGCATCCAAACACTGACGGCTCCGTGGTATCTAACATTGCCCTAACAAAAAGAAAAAGGAAACACAAGCATCATCAAAATCAGGTTTATATGAACATCTTGAAGCTTCTCTCCGACACTTTTGCTGCCGAGTCATCCCTCCTCCAAGCCGCCGCCGCCGCCGCCGTTGTCTTCCCCTTCGCCACCGCTTCCCTCTCCCCGAACACAGACGCATCGCCGTCGCTCAGCATCGAGATCGCGCTCGTCGACCGCATCGGCCGGATCGTGCTCTTCCGCTCGTCCTCGCCCCACTTGCTGGGCGACATGAGCTCGAGGCTGCGTCGCTCCTCCAGCTGCCCCAGGGTGATCCTCGACGCCGTCCTCGACGGCAGGAAGGGCGTCTCGTCCACGAGCTCCAGGTAGGCTACGCTTGGATCTCGCCGTCCCGGGGCGACGCGCCAGTTCTCGCTGGATCCAAACGACGGCTCGGTGCGGAAGCTCTTGGCCCCCTTGGCGGACCCTGCTTCTAACCAGGAGGAGCCTCCCCGGCTGAGCCATTGTTCGCTCGGGAGACGCGCCTGCTCTGGCTGCTGCAGCTCTGTCGATTTATCTGCTGCTTGACTCTCTGCCTGCTTCCCTTGTAGAGGCTCCTTGGCTGGTTCCAGCGCCCGACTGACGAGACTCGGACTGAATGGCTCGTGGATCAGGTGGAGGCTGGATGGCAGCGCGGCAGAGCTCGACGTGGTAGCTGAAAACGCCCCAGAGCCATCTGATTGTGTCGATGGCTTGGTGATTGCTAGGGGCATCGGTTGCAGGTTGGCCAGGTCGTCCAGCGAAGGCAGGGTGAGGTCTAACCCGCTTCTGAACGCACTCTCCCCTGCTTCTGAAAGGAAGCCGGATGTAGGCAGATATGGCTGGGCGACTTCAGGCAGGGTCGTGTCCGACTGGTTGCTCCCTGATGATTTGTGGCTCTTTTCGCTAGTGGTCGCCCTCTCCACAGTGAACCACGAGCCGTGATCCCCATCGTCTGTCAGGGGGCTGACGCTCCTGGGCGTCCCTGAACGAGCGCCCGCGGCCAGTGGACGTGGCGGAGCGCGCAGGACGGAGTCGTCACGTAAGGTGCCTGATGCCTTTGACCTTGATGATACGCGTGACGCCACCTCAGTAAAGAACCCGTCGCCCTTCCGGATCAGTCGCGCGTTAGACGCCTTTGAACGAACAGTATTCTCCAATTGGAAAATTGTTTCAGCGTCTGACTCGTCATTGCGGAGGGTGAACCGTATCGGATCAGATATCTTGGGCCGATGTTTGCTTGCTGAGATGTAGGTTTGTCGGTGCCGCCGTCGCCTGCGCATGACGCAGATAAGCAACATGATGGCGAACGTCAGGAACAGAACTGGCAGGATGGTTGCAAGCAGAACGTCAGTTGTACCGAGGCGGTGGCGGCGGGAGTCTTCGGACTTTGCGCTGGCTGGACTGGGAGGCTTCGAACCGGGAGATGATGCCGTGCTGATCGCCTCGTCTGGAGGGACAAACTCAGCACGGAACTTCTGTGTCTGTGTGAGGCCGGTGCTCTTGGACACGGCCTTGATGGACATGTTGAACTTGCCCTTTGCCGCCTTCGGGGCGGTACCCGACACTCTAGGCCCATCGACGTGTAGCCAGCCGACCTCGGGATCGGTATTAACTTTGAGCTCGATGTCGCTTGGATCGCGGAAGTATGTGGAGAGGTCCAGGTCGAAATCTTTGCCGGGCTCTATCTGGATGTCTTCGAGGTCTGACTGGAACAGGCCCGTGGCCACGTCGACTTGGACAAGGACACTCAAGGCATCGGCAAAGGAGTCTCGAATGACGACTGTGAAGTTTGCCGAATGGTCATTATCTCGCGGAGTTCCCTCCAGACGCAGAGTTGCAGGATCGAGCGTCAGCCATGACGGCATGTCATCTGCCGACACGTCGAGGGAACCGGGTCGAATGACTTCTTTGTCCAGCTGGATGCCCTTTGCCAGACCATCGTAGCTGGCCTTTGCGCCTCTTGTAGCGTTGAGGAGGATGATTGGGTCGTCTGTCGTGAGTTTGTGGCTTCCCACCACAATCGCAAAGGACAGCGCTGTGCCTGAGAAGCCGACAATGTCCGACGCGACGAGGCTGAAGTCGAACTTCTGCGGGGGCTGGACCAACGACTCAAAGGCGGGCGTCCGCCCAGAGAAGGTCAATGTCTTGTCGTTGAACCTGATCCATGCTGGCAGAGGCGTGCTGTCGTTTGAAGAAGCGTAGTAGTTCAAGCCCTTGCCTTTGCCAAATGTATCCGGATCAAAGGTATACTGGAACTCTGTCGACGGATATGACAGAATGGAAGATGGCGCTGAGAAGTGTCCAAAGTTGTCCATCTGCTGCGATATGGGGATATGTATTGATGGCGGTGATCTCCTTGTAATGACAAGTGTGGCATTCATCGTTGTCGACCCAACATCATCCGTAGCAACGAGCCCAAACTCCTGTCCTACGACCTCCCCCGCGGGGATATCCTCTTCTTTAGGCGTCCCGTAGAGTCTTCTGCTCTCGCTTTCTAGTGATAGCCAGCTGGGATGGTCTCCAAGGGCGTAAGTCATGTTGTTGGAGTCGGATCGGAAAGTGTTTGGCGAGAAGGAGTAGGAGAAGGCATGGTTCGGTCGGGCGACGGGCGGGAGCTGTGCGTTGAACGGGAATGAGATTGTGGGATTTGCGAAGGCGGATTGGAAGAGGCTGAGGGTTGAGAGAGCGGCGAGGAGAGAGTGTGAGGACATGTTGATGTGTGTGTGGTGCGCTGGGAGCGCTGGACGGCTTCAAGGAGCGTGGTGAAGAGCCATGCGGCGGGAACGAGACTTGGACGGCGCAGCTGAGTAGCTAGGTAAATGTCACGATCGAGCAGACATGGAGGATGTGAAGGTGAGGTTGAGAATAGATGACAAGAGGAGAGGAGAGGAGAGGAGAGGAGAGGGGGAAAAGGAGCAAAGTCGTAGGTCAGATGGAACAGGAAGAGCCATGTTGAAGTCACTTGGGCTTAGATGGATGGCTGGGTAGTACTATAGAGGTCGAGGCAAACGCCTGTTGGACCCCCTTCATTCCACCTCTGTGACCCCATGAAGCCATCATGGAGTTGGATGGCCGTCAATAATGCCGAACGAGGCACACATTGGTTCCATTACGGTGAGAGGCGAAATGTCTTAGAAGAAGGAGCAGAGGAGCTTCAGAGGGCACACTTCTCAGTACTACTACCTAGTAGTGGTACTACTATGTAGGAGTATCAGCTTTGGTGGATAGACACAGTTACAGACCAGAGTGAGGCTGTGGCATTCCAGGGCCTGTGTGAAAATGTGCTGCGCGAGGAAGTGAGACATGGGATGCCACTCGGAAGAATGGGGGTTAGGACTATTGCGCTGCCGTTGAGAATGGGCGGGGGTTCAACAGACGCGAGGCGCGTAAAGATGAAGCCTCCCTCGACTTGACTTGACGTGACATGCTGATGCTGTATGAATGAGCTCGAGTACTAGGTAAGGTAGGTTGTCACTTTGCTTCTAGTACTATCGTCGTTTGAATCGTTGAGCGGACAGTCATATAAGGATTGCGCAAGGCGGCTGTTATTCACGTGCAAGTTAGAATTGACGGTTGATCAGCGGTATGATGATTGTGGCAGAAGTCGATCGATAAACGTGCTGCAACTCTAGGTAGCTATACTCTCGTAGGAGCAGGCCCAATATCACTTTCATCACTCATCTTGACGATATCCAGATCTATATCATGAACCAGAGTCGCCAGGCTCATGTCCAACTGTGGCAGCTACCCAAGGGATGACACAGTCAGCGCCCCGGAACAATTGAGGGTCTCTGCTTCGGAATCAAAACTCTCGTGACCGGCGAAAAAAAACACCAACCTTAGGGCCATCGCAGATAAGGCAGGCACTATCAGGAAAAAGAGGGACAAGCAGCTGCGGGGGAATCGATATCTGATGACATCTGTTACACTTTTTCCTTGACTTCATCTCATCAGCCTCTTTCTCGTCCTTCTCCTTCTCCCTTTCACCGTCGTCTTTTACTCGTGTGATTGTTTTACAGCGTTTTGCGTCAAGCATCAAGCGTCGACATGGACAGTCGCAGCTCGTCTCCCGACTTGGACCCCGTGGCGGGCATCACGGAAGACCTCGTCTCCCTCCCGGCATCCAAGGTCGCCGGCGACACAAACATCGACTTCGACGGCCTCCTCGCACAGCCCATCAAGCTCCGCGAGGACGTGCGGACGGGCTGCGGAGGGCAGACGTGGCCGGCGGGCATGGTGCTGGGGAAGCACATGCTGCGCTATCACAGGAGCGAACTCGCAAACGCGCGCATGTGAGGAAAACCTTCTTTCTCTCTAGGTGGTTTCAAAACTGCTGACTCAGTTTCAAACAATGCAGACTGGAATTGGGCGCGGGCGGTGGGCTGGTCGGATTGGCTGTAGCGGCTGGGTGTGACCTCCAAGCGCCACTCATCTTAACCGACCAGGATGTGATGCTGGAGCTGATGAGGCACAATATCCAGCTGAACAAGCTCGAGAGCAAGGCCACGGCCTCAATCCTGGACTGGTACGTCGAGATCTTTGCCGCTCCCACGGGAGAGCTGCCCGCCAAGCAACGCCCTAGCTCGGTGAAGAGGCGCATGCCCATTGTTTCTTGGCAGTGTTGCGCCGCCTGCCACTAGTTGCTCCTTTTCTTGCTTTCTCAATTGCTTCTTTCTTATGTCTCAATGAGGCAAGTTTGGCTGATGCAAAATAACTTCCAGGGGCGAGCCATTACCAGAGGCCGTAGTGGCGCACAAGCCAGACGTGATATTGGCGGCAGAGTGCGTCTACTTTGAGCCGGCCTTCCCGCTTCTCATGCAGACGCTCAAGGACCTGTTTGAGCTCAACGAGCACGCCGTGGTGTACTTTTGCTTCAAGAAGAGGAGACGAGCCGACATGCAGTTTGTCAAGGCTGCCAAGAAGGCCTTTGTGGTCGAGGAGATTTTCGACGAGGACAGGCCCGTGTTCCAGCGGGAATCGCTATTCCTCTTTACCTTTAGGAAGCGGGCGTCAGGTGGCACCACGTCGACCAAGAAGAGAGCCCTGGCAGCCAACCATGAAGTACAAATCGCGAGCTGACCACACAGACAACGACATAAGGATTTCGAGGTTGGACGTTACTCCCCGACTCCCCGACCCCTTGCGTTTCGCTGCAGGACGCTGAAAGATGCAACCTGCCAACGGTCGCACCAACGCGCCTCAATGCAGCAAACAGAGGCCGGAGGGAGCCTGCATGCACTTTCACCGGCATTGCAACAGGCGAGAAGGGTAACCCTGGTAATCGCGGGCTGCTATGAATAACCAGGTCCCCAACTGCGACTTGCGATCCTCGTATCAAGTCTTACGAGTACGACAGGGCAAGCAAAGGTGCGGGGAATGAGGCGGTGGAACAGTTATTACGACTGCTGAGCGAAATTAACGATTGGCGCGGACTCGATCTCGACCAGGCTCATGCTGCCAAAGCACATGCGCTGGGGACTGCGAAGAACTCAGCAGAGGGAGGAAAGCAAAGCAAAGCAAAGCAAAGCGGCTAATAGCACATGCGAGCGAGCTGTTGGCGTTTGGCCTGAATGAGAAAATTTTTGATCCTGTGGCGACTGCATTGCGTGTTTTCCCGTTGCTCTTCTTTTTCCTTTTTCGCCTTTTCGGTCCTGCAAGGAGGCAGTAGTGTTGCTGCCACTGACAAGCAGAGTCGAAGTCTCCAGCGAATCCCAGGCCTGGGCGAGGTTGCAGCGGTTCCATAACTGTCCACAACGTCTCTGGAAATGGACATCCGGTTGGCGGCCATGCGGTGGATACATGGGTGAAGTTAGACGACAGGGCCACGACGCGCAAAGGAGTCAACCGCCACGATTTTTAGAGCGGATGGGTGCCTTGGTCGGCGTGGTCGGAAGCACATGGAAGACGGGTCAAAGAACATGGCCCGTCGACGCCAGCTTTGCAAAGCAATCAACCTCATACTGTGCGATGCACCCTACTGCAGGTCCGGCGCAGCGCATCTGGAAGCAGCACAGTGTTGGGATCAGAAAAGAGGGGCGCCTCTTCTCTGACTCGCCTCAATCTCCGAGCACAGCGTACGTACTATGCTTTGGAATACAGTGACGAGGCACGTGAAGGCGTCTCCATTCACGGAGATGGCGCAAAACGGCCTTCTTTGACGGTCGAGTGCCGCACTCGCTCACAGAAGCCTCGCCTTCAGAGGGGACAAGGAGAAAAAGCCGCACGGCAGCGCAAACCGCTCCCGCTGTCGATGTTGCTGTCCCCACGGAAAGGAGGAGCAGCATCTCGATAGCCGGACGGCGCACTGTCAAGATCCAGGTGGATGGATGGAGAGGCGGGAGCGGGTCTGGCTGCCAGGCGCAGAGATATCCCTCACTGTCGGCAGAGGGCGAGCAAGCAAGCAGGCAAGCAGGCAGGCAGCCAGGGGAGGCCAGAGCAGAGGCGGCGACGCGACAGGAGGTTGCTCCGAAGCAGCAGCAGCAGCTCCGTACAGTACGAAGGACAAGGCGCATGAAGGAGACAACAATCATGACTAAGAATGGAAAAATCCGAACAAGACGAAAAAAAACCTGCACGGCAAGGCGTTTTCCTGTCTCTCGCGTGGCTCCACTGGGATGGCGAGAGAGTTTGCCAGCTGGAGCCGTTGGTGCATGCGCTGCTCGTGCTGGCGACCCGCAGAGTTTTCTCGGGCGTTTGTCACGCCAGCCCAATCCTGCTGCAGTTCTCGGAGCAGCCCCGCCGGGCCTCAGGCACCGTCCAGCGCCCATTGGCTGGCGCTCCGGGTACCTGGCTGGCGCTGCGACGCTGGGACGGGTCCGGATGGCGGCCCCTGCAGCGCCCGAAGGGCTGTTGGCCCCCCTGTAATACAGCGCTAGCCCCCCCCTGGCGGCCAATGGCAGCGCCCTCGGCGACGTGGCAGCCACCAGCAGCCCCGGCGCGGCTGCGATCCGTCGACAGTGCAGGCTAAGCTTTCTTTCGACTATTTTCCGTCGCCGTGCTGAGATCAAGGGGATGGATCCAATGCATTGCTCACCACTGGCGCCCACGCCTTTGCACCAGTACGAGTACACCAGTACTTTAGCCCAGTGCTGTGCAGCTGCGCATCCACACTGGCTGCCCTGGAGGTGGCTCCGAGGGGGGAGTGGGCAAAAGCGGGAGGCGCTAGTAATAGCACTTATAGGAATAATGGAAAAACAAGAGTCAAACGACTCTTCACACACAACACAAGAGAGCTTCAGAGGGCGACAAGGCGAGAACCAGGGGGCCATTCGAGGTCCACCCACCCCGGCAAGCAGCTTGTTCTAGCGCTCCGTATTCATCCTGGGGCCTCATCAGCGGCGCTCCCGCTCCTTGGGTATTAAACAGGCCTGCGCCCCCCCTCCCCTGCTCGCCCTGTTTCATCCCAACGCAATCCGACTTGCTCAAAGTCCAATCTCTTCCCACTCTCTCGGAGCAGGACTCTTCGATTTCTTCCTCTTGCAACCCACGTTCCTTGAAACAACTCCCGCCCCTACGGCACTTGCTTCTTGTTACTGTCTCTGTTGAACAGAACACCACCATCGCACAACACCAAAGGCACCACCGCTCCTTCAGCATCCAGCTCCAACCACCAGCAACCATGAAGTCCGTCGCCGTCGCCTCTGCTCTGCTCGTCGCAGCTGCTGCCGCCCAGCCTCACCACGGCCACCACGCCCGCTTCCACGCCCACAAGCACGCGGGCCGCGATGTCGTCGTCACCGAGACCGAGTGGCACACCGACACCGTCTACGTGACCGAGGTGGTCGATTCCACCTACACCTACTGGGTCCAGGACGGCAAGACGTCCTCTGCCGCTCCCGCCGAGGCCACGGCCTCTGCCACTCTCTCCGCCTCTGCCGGCGAGTTCTTCGAGCCCACCTCCACCGCTGAGCAGGCCACTTCCACCAGCCAGGCTCCTCCTCCTCCCCCGGAGACCACCACTGCGGCCGCCAGCTCCGTCTTCACGCCCCCGCCGCCGCCTCCTCAGACCACCTCCTCTGAGGCTCCCGTCGTCGTCAGCGTGCCTGCTCCTGTCGTGCACACTACGTCCGTCGCTCCTCCTCCCCCTCCTCCCGTTGAGACGCCCTCTTCCGCTCCCTCCCCCTCTCCCTCTCCTTCTCCCTCGCCTTCGCCCTCTGTTGAGGTTCCCTCTCCTCCGGCCAACGTCGACACCGGCAGCGACAGCGGCTCCAGCGGCACCTACTCTGGTGACATCACCTACTACACCATCGGCCTGGGCTCTTGCGGCGAGGACGACACCGGCAAGGACCAGAGCGAGAACGTTGTTGCCATTGCCGTCGGCCTCATGGGCGCCGTCTCCAACGGCAACCCCATGTGCGGCAAGACCATCACCATCCACGGCGGCGGCAAGACCACCACCGCCGTCGTCAAGGACAAGTGCATGGGCTGCGCTGAGCACGACATTGACGTCAGCGAGAAGGTCTTCCTCGAGCTCTTTGGCAGCCTTGACGGCGGCCGTGAGCCCGTCAGCTGGTCTTTCAACTAAGCTGCTGCTCACCAAACTGTCGCAGCTGCGCCTCTGATGCACACCCCACAACAGCTTGCCTGTCTCATGTGCAGCGCGCATACAAGGCCAAGTCTTTTTGAGATGAAAAGACTGGAAAATAAAAACAAATGTCGACAAAATATTTCACGTTATACCCTTCATCTGTTGAATTTGTTTGGATTCTACCATCCCTGGCGTGGATGCGGAATGCGATATGGAACAGGAAAATGATTTTCAATTTCTTCTTCTTCTACTTCTTCTCTTACGAAACGCCTTTGTCTCCCCAAAGGGAGACGGCATCTTTTTCTGTGTACATATAGAACAAATTTCATAGAATATGTCCTCTTTTGTCTTGGAGACTACGTGGAATGACATACCTTTTAGATGCTACCTATTACCTCTATGCTGTATTGGTTTAATTGATTCTTTGACATGGATAGCTGGAGCTTTATTGGTGTGGTGCGTCGTAAGCGCTCTGGTGGCCTGGTGGCTTGCACTGGGTTTTACTCGGGCTTGCGAGAGAGCATATATTGTAGGTACATGCCGTGATTGCTAGATTATTTGATATTACCTACTGCAACATGGATCGATGGATTGACTTGATTGATTGACTTGATTGACCGAATGGATTCAACCAACTCCTTCTCAAATTCCCGGCACTCACGGCAAGCGTGACATGGGGGTTTCGGCATGATCAGCAAATGTTGAACTCACGGCAAGCGTGACATGGGGGTTTCGGCATGATCAGCAAATGTTGATCAACTACCAGGTGCTAGTATTAAACACAAAGCGATCCTCATGGATCACAGTTCATGATTCATTCATACCCTCATCTCTTCTTCAATCATGTTCAAAATGCTATTACTATTTCCCAATCAAGTAACCCGCCATCGGTGAGACGAACACGAGTCAAAGCATTTCTTATAATGACGATAGGCGCTCCCCATGGAAAGAAGGTAATATTAGATCCCGCCAAGCCCCTCCCCCCCAGCAGCACCAACAATCCCCCGGGCAAAAATAAGCGACCAGAACATACGAAGAAGAAGAAGAAATCCTTGTCCATGTCCATGCCATAACTGACTAACTAACTAAACTAAACTACAACGCGCCTCATCTTTCATTCTCTTCATTATTCACTTCACAGCAGCGTCAACAGCTCCTCGACATACCTCCTCGTATCGACGCCGATGCCCTGCGCCAGCCGGCCCATGCCCTCGACCGCCCCGGACGCGCCGCCCTCGTCTAGAGACGCCATGCGGAAGCCAATGTGGTCGCTCGCGCGGCGCAGGAGGAAGATTTCCTTGTCGACCACGGGAGGCGGTGAGTGAGACCACGATGAGGAGGAGGAAGAGGAGGGACGGGGAGGAGAAGAAGGGGCCTTTTCCTCCTCCATCTTCTCTTCTTCTTCTTCGTGGTGGTGGTGGTGGCCTTGGTCTGCCTGCGCGTTCAGGGATGGCGATGATGCCCTCTCGGGAATGGTGGAGAGCGGCGGTGCCGTGGCTGTGGTGACGGTGGAAGGGGTCGTCGCGGCGGTGCGCTGGAGGACGCGGGTCCAGACGATCCACCACCCGCGGTTTGTCTTTTGCGTGCGCTCGACGTCGGCGATACGAGAGCGCGTTGCGGCGTAGATGTTGAGCAGGTGCAGGTGCGTGCTTACAGCATCCGCGCGGGACCACGCCGGCGACGGCGGTGATGAAGAAGAAGAAGAAGAAGAAGAAGAAGCAGCAGACGAAGAAGAGTCGGGGAAGAAGTCTGGGATGTTGGGGATCGACGAATGGACGGTGAGCGAGGGCCGATCCCATACGAGGTCCTGGATGGTATGCGACGACGCGGATCCGGCGACTGGGCGCTCGGGACGGTACCTGGTCGATGCCAGCAGGGGCTTCCGCAGAGGCGCCAGCTGGTAGTGCAGCGAGCGGTAGAGCGTGTCCCAGGCGAGGGAGTCGGTGCGGAGGCGGAACAGAAAGGTGAAGATGAAGGGCTTGTTGACGTAGACGACGACGCGGAGCTTCTCCGACATGTTGGCGTCGTGCGAGTCGTAGCCGGCGGACGCGCCGCCAATCGCCTGGGCCCGGGTCAGCGGGTTGGCTTCGTGCCCAAAGTCCCGGGTGACGCTGCTGTCTGGCCGGTGCTCGGCGGCGTGGTTTTCGAGCTCGACGTGGAGAGTGCGCAGGACGGTGCGCGAGTTGTTCTCGTCCTCTTCCTCGGCATCGTCCGAACCGATGGGCGTCGTAGCATCGTTGGCGGCTGGTGCATCCTCTTCAATGTCTCCTTTGAGGCCAATCAGGAAGTGGCCCGACGACTCAAGAGAAGAGGGCAGCTTTGGCGATTTGGATGCATTCCTGGCATGCGACTTGTCCCCGGCGGCAGCTTGCTGGACGGCAGCGTCGGACGAGTTGCCGCCGCTGCCTGGAAACGACCAATACGATCCGTATCCAAGTGTCAAGTAGCTGACCATCTTGTCGAGCCTTCCAGCTTCTAGTTCAGGAGTTGCGTCACTAGACCCATCTCCCTCTGTTTTCGGCTGAGCGTCTTGGGCAGCGGTCGCAGCTTCGCCTGCGTCTCGTGCAGGCTCCGTTGCAGCATCTGCCTCTGGAGGCTGGCTCTCAGCCGGAATCGTCGCCTTGGACGTGGACTTCTTGCCTCGAGCGCGCCGCGTTGAGGTCGGGCTCTCAATGACGCCATAAGCGTGTTCGCCCCAAGTATATAGATCCTCCATCCAGTGTGTCACGTCTCGTAGCGACTTTCGTGATAATGCTCCCGTCCCGAGGAATATGGCGCCGTCCTCGACACTGGGCTCCCTGCCAGTTCCAAGCCATGGCTCTGCACGGGCCTTGTTCGACTTGCCTGTATCTGTCTCAGGGTCGTCGTGTCCGAATCTCGAGACCACAAGGTCAACAAGCCCCTCGACTCTGCTCACCAGGCCCTCAAGCACCTCCCGCTCTCCGCTCCCACGGTCTTCCTCGCCGACGCCGACGCCGAGCTCACCAGACGCGGCCAGGTTGATGCCGCCAAACATGTCTCTTGCTGGGTTCCCGTGCAGCATGACGTTCCAGGTGGAGAGGAACAGGTCCCAGTAGCGGCCGAGCAGTGCAATGAACTTGACACGGCGGTATCGAACAAACAAGGCGCTCAGCGACGACCCGTGATGCAAAAGAAAGATGCTGTGTGCTCGCAAAAGATCCGTCAGCAGCAACGTGGCAGGCTTCATCTCGCGGCTCGAATACTCGTATCTCTCCTCCTGCTGCTCGCCCGTCTTTGTGGGCAGCCGCGGTGGCAGGGGCACTTTGTTCAAGTCGATGCTCTATCAGCAAAGCTTCAAGTCAGCATCCTATCGACAACACACACACACACACACAAACCCCGACTCCTTTGATGAGAGAGGGTTCTCACAGCAAGAATCCACCACCCGGGCTCCAGCTCATGCGCAATGACCCTCGACTTCTCCGTCTCGATGGCGTCCACCGGCGCGCCGTCAGAGAAGCCGCGGCTGAAGTTGACCATGCCCTGCGCGAGCCCGATCTGGCGCAGCCGCTCGTGGCGCTCCTCCTGGGAGATGCCATCCGTCGGCCTGGTGCGCGCGCGGCGTCGCCTGCTGCGGCCGGAGGACTGCGTGGACACGGAGGCGTAGTAGACGATCTGGTCGTCGATGGTCTCGTCCGTCTGGCCCAGCGAGGGGTTGTAGATGGCGAGGAAGCCCAGCTGCGCGGGCACGATGCCGCCGCCCGTGGGCGCGTGAGACGCCATCTGACCTTGACACACGCGGGAGCCTGGCAACTATGAAGCGGTGAGCATAGACATAATAGCTGGTGAATCTGTGAAGACTGGATGCGGTTGAATGAGCGAGTTGCAGCTGCGATTCGAGAGCGTGGGAGATGTTCTCATGAGTTGATGGTGCGTGTGAGAGAAGGGAGCATGTGTTGCTGGTACAGGATGTTGATGGTTCAGGTAGAGAAGCCTGTAGGTGGGGGAGGAGGCTTGAGCCGCTGCTTGAGCCTGAGGTAATGCTAACAAGCAGCCCCTCCAAGGCGGTGCTTGTGCGTCATTGAAGAAGTTGAGAGGACAAGACAAATTGAATGACAACGGCCAAGATGATTCTAGCAATGGAGAATTAGAGACTAGATGCTTTTGTTCAATTTTCTAAGCCAACTTTACTTTAATGAGTTCAGGCATGAAGATCGTTGTCGATCTCACGCCGAGTTCGGCATGGCATGGCATTTGGCACATGCCGAATTGTAACATGACATTGATAGAATTTCGTCATTCACTCATCAGGATTGCTATATAGTGTACAGAGATAATGATTATGGAAGGCATTAGGAATCGGGCTCCAAAGCAGAAGAGAAAAGAGCTGGAAGGATAGCAAGCGAATGGGAGGAAAAGAAACAGGCTCAGAGAAACCTCTCTTCTACCAGTTACCAAATGGCATGGTCGACTTCTTGGAGACTTGAGTGCCTTCTTTCCGCAGCTTCGCCAAGTCAACCGCACTGCCCTCGCCCTTTTCCTCAGCAGACAGCTGATCAAAGCTCTTCTTCCTGCGGTCCCGCTGCCTCTTCATCACCCGCAGCCAGAAAAAGTACAGCAGAAAGGTGACGACGGTGAGCGGGATGGTGATGGCCCAGTACAGCCCAAACTGGGGCAGTGTGCGCACCGCGATGCTGCTCGCGCTGGAGTCGACGCTGTCCCAGTCGAACATTGACGTTGAGAAGAGGGCGGAGATGAAGCTACCGGGGAGAAAGACCATGGTGACGATGGCGAGCGTCTTCATCGACAGGGAGTCGCGGTGCTGGGATTCTGCGAGGTCGAGATTTGCCTTTACGTCGTCTCTGGATATGATGCCGGCGAGCTGCGGATCCATGTTAGCTTATGCCTGCTATCCGATCTGTGCTGGCTGGTAGGAACTTACAGTATTGATCTGCAGTTGAACACGCCTCAACGTGTACTCTATATCGACAGCCTGCATCGACAGTCTATCCTGCAAGAGAGACACATGGCTTCTCAGAAGCTCCTTGGAGCGATTTGATACATTTCTGGATGGCTGTCCGGGGTCCCCGAAGCCTACAGAGCCTCTCGGCACACCATTCTCCAAGATGAAAGATAGTGTCTTTTCGGCCATTTTGCTCTTCCTGCTCACGCTGGCAAGCTTGACGGCGTGTCGATCCACCTGGGCGGCCAGCTTGATGTATGACTCCGTCGAAGTCTCGTGCTTGCGTTCTGCGACTCTGTCCTGGCCTGTACGCTCCTCGATCTCGCGCAGCTTCAACTTGATCTTTGCCTCCTCGAAATGGACCTGCATGCTGAGGATCATGCTAAACAGTAGGGCTGGGAACATGGGGCTTCTGTAGAGCAGGGCATCCCAAGGCGAGCAGAGCGTGTCGGAGAGGAAGTCCTTGTTGGACTCTTCGACGAGGATGAGGCCCTGTGTAAGAGGTAATACCTCTCGGCCGGTCTGTTTGTGCGTGAAGGGACCCTTCTGAGACCAGACAGCCACCAGCTTGGGCATGTAGCAGAACGAGTATGTCTGCCGACCTTTGGAAGGTATGGCAGACACATTCGTGATGCAGGTCTGCGAGTAAGTGTAGGCCAGTTCCAAGTTGAACTCCTCGAGCAGCGGGTCTAGAACTTCTTTGGATAGTTTGAGGAGCTTGCGCTTGATATCGCAGCCTATCAAGGCCAAGCGCAAGACAAGAGACTCGCTCGCAGTGCCGTCGTCTTCTGTTCCTTCGGCCAGCCAGCTGTCCAGCTCCTTCAGGTGGACGGGCTTGCGGTTGATGCTGATTTTGCCAGAGTCATTCTGGTGCCTTGCCTCGATGACTTCGAAGGACGTGTCGTCGGAGTTGGAGAAGCCTTGCCACAGATTGACCACGCTGAGCTTTTGGTAGATTTCCTCCATGTTTCGCAATCGACAGACAAACTTATACAAGAACCGACAAGAATAGAAGAAGGACACAGTCAGGACGGGAACACGCAACTCAGCGAGCGACTGTCATGAGCGAGGTACAGATACAGCTGAGAGGATTCGTGTGGGCTTCATCGGGCATATATACGAATCGTAGCCAGCGCGCGTGCGCGACACTGCAGGTCACCACCATCTTGGGGATCCAGCCGAGCCTGGTGGATGAAGCGCTCTGAGAGGGTGGCAAGCCGCAGGCCAGGGGGGGCTCGACCCGGACTCTAAGCGCCGGCCATGCAGCACGATTTGCAGGACCGTAGACGCGATGCCGAGGGCTTGCAAGCAGCGGCACGAACAGCTTCGGGGGGGCCACAGCCATGGAATCCTGAATGGGGAAGAATTATTCGTCCGAGTGTCGTCTGTACGATGGCCTGTGATCTGCAGGTCTCCGTAGAGGGTTCCCCGGGCATGGCTGAGCGGGTTGCGGATAGATGAAGCGGCTGAGAGCAGAATGCGACGTCGCAAGGGGGAGAGACTGGGCATACAAAGTATACAAACTCGTGGAGTATTATCGGACAAGGCTGTAGGACGGAATACATATATGAGTGTGGTCAGACGGCTGGGATGGAAAACAGGTCGTGTTGGTTCTTTGCTCTGAATGTCTTGGAGAGGTGGAGGATGATAGGTTCACCGTTTGTAGCGCCGGCCGGGGTCTGGGTGGCTTAGAGGCCCTTCTTGATGATGAATATTTGCACGACCAACATCGGCTTCGTTCGTATGCAGGGGATCGGCGCGGCAAGTGTTGCTGCTGTTGGTTGTGTGATGATGAAGTCAATAGGCGGGATGAAGTGTGATGAGGCTTCTGAAGAGTTGATTGATACCTTTAGTGATTCACTCAAGTTGCCACATGTCTCGTTGACAGTTGATGGCTTAGCAGAACATGAATAAAGCCGCCCTCCCAATTCCTAAGATCGCATCCAATCCCCAGATCAGTCGGAAATCGAGATCATGAGCCGATGAGATGAGGGAGAGCTGGGGTTTCTTCTCAAGCCATGCCAAGGTGTGATTCTCACCCATAAGTACATGTTGGCAGGAAATGATCAGTCAATATTGCTCCGTGTTCGTCAAGCAAATCTCGACGAAAGAGTCCCTCAGTAGGCTGCAGTTAGATGCTTTCCTTGCATGATCTCGTGCGGAGATGCCAAACTACGGCCATGGCAGCATCTTGTCATGGGCACATCGGATGATTTTTTTGGCATGTCAGCCCGCAGAATTCATGAGTGCATTTGAGAGGGGGTGAGGCAGAATCGAGGGCTCAATCTGTGATACTAGCAGCAGGTCCTGTAAGCTGGAGCTATGTATCCCCCCGCCCTGTCGCCCTGCTGAGAGACTCTGCGATTGCTTCCTGGAGCCTTGGCCAGGGTGTTTACTCTTCGTTTCATTCATTGTCCGGATAACCTCTGTATTACGGCATTCAATGTTGTATCATCTCAACCATCATCTCTTCATTGCTTGACACGTGTTTGGCAGTGTCTAATAGAAAGGGACATACGAACGTAAGCGACTGATGGAGGTTTCAGAAGCTTTGACAGGGCCTGAAGTGCCCCGCCGTCCGTGAAACAGCACGCTAAGCCCCGCTAACGATTTGCCGTCATCACCTCTATGGTACCTACAGTACCAAATATTAGTAGCTCAACTCTAGGGATGGATGCTGCAACACATGGAAATTTCACACCCACAAGCAGCTCGCTGACGGACTGACATATAAGTTCATTGGTACGAGTACAGGATCACGCGTATATTGACCTTGCCGCAACCAGAGGGAATAAATAAAAATGAATCGATGCTCTGCCCATCGTCAATCCACCTACTACTATCGCATCCGTCTATCCGCCGCTCGTCTCGCTGCTCCGCCTCGTGCTTACTGAACCAGGTCCCCACTCGCGAATTGAAGGATCACAGCCCACTTGACACCACGATCGAGACTCTCCAGCAGCTCCAGCAGCGCACACAGAACTCGGTCCCAGGCTCTGTTCCGCATTGCCTCTGCCCCTGTCGCCCTCCATACGAGTACATACATGCACTGTAGGGGCCCCGCGACAAGTTCCCCAGCTGCTGTTTACAGGGCAACGGCCAGGGAGTACTGAAATAGGTGCTCGTACGTCATCCGCCAGACGAACTCGACTTTGCCTCTCCGTCCTCCATCAATCAGGTCCAAGTCAGCAGCCAACCATCTTGCATCTCACTAATCCCTCCCGATTCTCCTCATTCTTCCTGCTGAAGCTGCTGGTCGCCTTCATTGCCGCCTTTCTGCTCCCCCGCCCGTCTCGATATCACCAGCATCATCTCCTCATCTGCGCTACCTAGCTATCACGATACTTCTCTGCTCCCATCGCCGAGCTCCGGGAAATTGCATACTACCTGACATACAGACTCCAACCTCCGCCGTCACCATGAACAACATCGGCGGCACCATCAAGCGCCGCTCCACCGAGGCATGGCAAGCTGCGCAAAGCAATCTGCCCGCCATGCCTGCCGTACCGTCGCTGCCCGCTCTGCCTTCTCTCCCCGCCATGCCACACCTTTCCTTGAGTGCCTTCAGGAGGCACCCTCACCAAGAGGGCATGAGAGGCACGTGGGAGCGCATCGACCTGCCCCCGGTCCCTCGCTCGTCCCATTCCCTCGACATCGTCTCCGGCTGCGCCTACATCTTTGGTGGCGAGAGCAACTCCCACGAGCCCGCCGACAATGACATGGTTGTCATCCGCCTTCCCTTTAGCAGCGCCGGCGCCGATTATTTCAAGATTCCGGCAAAGCCAGACACGACCATCTCTGCACCGGCACCGACTCAGGACAAGGGCAAGAAGGATGGACCGGATGAAGCAGCTAGGGCCAAGGCCAAAGCTGAAGATCTCGGCGAGGAGCCCGCTGAGAAGGAGAGCGACGATGATTTTGAAGACGCCGAAGAGGCTGCGAAGCCGACGGCCGCGGACAAGGGCAAGGGACGGGCTACGGATGACAGGCTGGGCCAGGTCCCGCCGCCCCGAGTCGGGCATGCAACCGCCGTCATCGGATCCCGCATCTTCCTGTTCGGTGGCCGAGGCGGACCGGACATGAAGCCCCTTGACGAAGGTGGCCGCGTCTGGGTGTTTGATACTCGCACCCGTCTCTGGACCTACCTCGACCCCGTCCCGGCAGTCAAGGGGGGATCAATCATCCCTCACCCGGCACCGCGATGCTACCACAGTGCCACTGCAACAGATCGCCCCCGCGACTTTGCGCCTCCCCCGCCGACAAAGCCCAAGTCCTGGCAGGAGTGGGCGCTTGGCGACACCTCCAAGACGGGCATCCCGCAGGATCCCATCGTTGGTAATGTTGCCGAGAGTGCAATTGACGAGGAAACCAACGGTTACGGCACCTTCTTCGTGCATGCGGGCTGTCTCGCCAGCGGTGACCGTACCAGCGACCTCTGGGCCTTTGACGTCCATTCCCGCATGTGGACTGAGCTGCCCGCGGCTCCGGGACCTGCCCGCTCGGGTACCTCAATCTGCATCAGCAAGAGCCGAATCTTCCGGCTTGGTGGGTTTGACGGACAGAATGAACTTGGAGGCCAGATTGACTTCTTGAATCTCGAGGTTGAGATATTCGACGATCGCGTCACTCGGGGCGAGGTGGCTGTTCGAGCCCGCGGCGGCTGGCAGTCCATCTTGGAGGATGTTCCCGAGGCCTCCTCACGCGAGATCCCCTCGGAGAACGTCCAGGCTTGGCCTGCGCCACGAAGCGTGTCATCTCTCGAGGCCATCACATTTGGCGGCGGCACCGAGTACCTCGTGCTGACCATGGGCGAGGCAAGCCCCGGCACAGAGGGCCACGCCGGCAAGTCGCACAACGACGTCTGGGTGTTCCAGGTTCCGCCGGTGGGCATGACGGCCGCGAGCTTCACGGCGGCCATGTTCTCGGCCGTGGGGCGCAAGACTGGCGAGGGCAAGTGGACAAAGGTCACCATGGGTCCTTATGACGACGAGGTGCTGGAGATGCCGAGGGGTCGGGGCTGGCTGGCGAGTGCGCCAATGTCCGACTTGGAGGAGACGGGCATTGTGATTTGGGGTGGGCTGGACGATAACAACAGGCGGCGTGGCGAGGGATGGATCCTGCGGCTTGCTTGATTGAGCCTTTTCATTTTCGTTGAGCCTCTACTTTGCCGCCCCATTGATCTCATTTGACATTTGCTCATGATGGTTTATTTGCATACAAGCTCAAGATTGCGAGAAAAAGCTGGGCGATTGTACAGGATTTTCTGTCATGTCTTTATTCCTTGGATACTATTTGCGAAGAGAAATACAGAAGGAAACATGCCCCTATTCGGGAATATCCTGCACGCACATGCATTTGAATTGACTGTAAATTATCGCACAGCACACCACCGCCAGTATGGTCTATATCCGTTTTTTTGTCTCCTTCTTTTTGTTGGCACTCAACATGGCGTTATGTACATTTCAAATCCGTGTCGAAACACCAGCCCTCGTTGCCCACCATCCCACCATCTCACACATCCCATTTTTCATCCTCTGTTGTTTGTTCAAAGTTTACAAATCCGACCTCGTCTTCTCCGCTCCCCACGGCTCTGATGTCAAATTCGTCAACCCGGCGCTGTTCTCGCACGACTTGCGACCCGTGAGGGGGCCGGCGACGGGCATCTTGGCGGGCTTGCCGGTCTTGTCGGCGGTGGCGGCGGAGGCCTTGAGGTCGTCGAGCAGCTTGACGACGGTCTCGGGGGTGAGGTCCTCGTAGTAGTCGTCGTTGATCTGGATCATGGGGGCGTTGACGCAGGCGCCGAGGCACTCGACCTCGATGAAGGTGAAGAGGCCGTCCTTTGTGGTCTCGCCCTGCTTGATGCCGAGGTGGGAGGAGATTGCCTTGACGATGGCGTCGGAGCCGCAGCCGCCGAGTTGGCAGGGGGTCTGTTTTGTTGGCGATGATGATGATGGTTAGTTGTGTGTGTGTGTGCCTTTGAGAAGGGATTATTTGAGTGTCTTTGGGAGGGGGGGTGATCTGAGGAAGATGCATGGCTGGCTTGCTACCCCTCCTTCATCCCGCTTTCAAACTTGTAATCATGATACAACATGTCGTGACTGTTGCTTTCCCCCCCAATTGCTCAAAAGAACAGATTGATAGAAGGTGACATACCGTCGTGCAAGCCTGGACGAAAAACTTGCCCACGGGCGTGCGGTTGTACATTGTGTAGAAGGAGGCGACCTCGTAGACGCGCATGGGGGGCATCTCGAGCAGGCGGGCGACCTCGTTCATGACGCTGATGCTGGTGAAGCCGTGCTGGCGCTGGCCGAGGTCGAGCAGGGGCATGACGGCGGCCTTTTTGTACTGGGGCGGGTAGCGCTTGAGGATCTCGGCGATGAGCTTCTCGTTCTGGGCGTTGAACTTGAAGGGCAGGTCGGGGTTGTTGTCGGGTGTGTTTCGGTGCTGTTTGGGGGGAGAGACACGGTTGGTTCAGAGGTCAGCGCTTTCTGGTCTTCTTGGATTTGCCCTTTCTCTGGAAGCCAATTTTGTCTCTCTCTCGATACAGGCGAATTGGCCCGAGGGGAAGCGACAGTGGGAGTGGCCGGCATTGGGGTTTTTTGATTCTTGGTGATTCTTACCACTTGGAGAGTGTCGCTGGGCCGGCTGGCTGTGAGGGAGAATGCGCGGGCCTGAGGCCGGGCGGCGCGCGAGGCGCAGCGGATGCCGGAGCGGACGAGGAAGGGCGTGATTCTGCTCGCCATTGTGGGTAGATTGTGGTGGTTTGGAGAGAGAGGGGGGGAGGAGGAGGGAGAGCGAGGATGGAGGAGGGTCAAGAGGCTGGTTTGAGAGAGCTTTGAAATGGCATATCTCGGAGTCTCGAATGGATTTCTTGGTTGCTGCTTGCAAAATGGGGGGCTGTGATTGGTTGGGGCGGCTGATGTTCGGGAGGTGGGCGGCCTATATTTCCCTCTATGATGCTCTCTGTTGCTTGATGCCTTGCCGAGTGGCTTCTGCTGCTTGCATTTGTGTTTGCATTCTTCAAAGTACAATTGTTTCAATGACTGAAGTCAGTTGGGCAGAGCAGAGGTATTTGCTTGCTCATATTGCCCGTTTGATGTTGGCCCTATCAGCATCTCTGTTGTGAAGCCGTGGAGGGCTTGTGCCTTTCTGCGAGTCGGATACTACTAGTAACCGCCTTACTAATGCCTACATAGGTACGATATGAACATCAATGGTTGGGTAGAAAGCTGCCAATTTTACAAGACTTCAAAAGCCTGCCACTCGAGGCATCCCGCTGGCTGCTTGTTACCGTCCGGGCAGTGGAAAGCGAGAGTGATTGACGACTTCATCAACTTGAGGCTGATCTTCTTCGTTGCGTCCTCGTCTCACGACTGGAGACACTGCTTACCTTACTCACCTAGTACCGTATTACCTCACAGCACCACCACATGCACCTCCGATATCAACACATTTTCTCCATCCGTTGATTCTGCACAATTGACCGGCATCTACGACTAGCTGGACGTTACATACCTTACGAACACCGGGCGCTTAAACCAACTGCCTGCATCATGCAACGTTAGCACATCCATCTGCCGCGGTACTTTGGGGCTGTACTGTTACAGCGCTAGGATTAGCAGCTCGAAGGATCAACTCCATGTCTCCAAGTTTATGCTGTGCCGCACCTTCGTCGTCTCTCTTCAACTCTTCATGTCCAGTCCAATACAGCGGTGAGCGAATAGAGCTGCAGATGCTAGACTCCCGCTATTTCACGATGCAGTCTCGACGAGTCCAAGTCCTCCTGGCCGCCTGCTGGTCCTCGTCGTGCCTGGCTTCTAGTATATCCAACATCCCCGACTTTGCCACGTCTGAAGCCGGAAATCCGTTTGTCGACGGCTGGTATGCCGACCCAGACACCCAATTCTACAACGGCGAGTACTGGGTGTATCCAACCTCGTCGCGGCCCTACGACGAACAGACCTACCTGGACGCCTTTTCATCCCCAGACCTCGTCCATTGGACGAAGCACTCGAATATCCTGACAGCCGACGACTTCACGTGGGCACATCGAGCGGTCTGGGCACCAGCACCGATATACCGCAACGGCACCTACTACCTCTACTTTGGCGCCAACGATATCCAGTCAGACTCTGAGCTGGGCGGCATCGGCGTGGGCGTGGCTGAGCGCCCAGAGGGCCCGTATACCGATCCCCTGGGGCGTCCGCTCGTCGACGCATATCACAATGGCGCGCAGCCAATCGATCAAGACGTCTTCATCGACGACGATGGCCAGGCGTACATGTACTATGGCGGACACTCCCACGCCAACATTGTCAAGCTAAACGACGACATGATCAGCCTCGGCACCTTTGACGACGGGACAACGTTCAAGGAGATTACGCCCGAGAACTACGTCGAAGGACCGCAGATGCTCAAGCGCAATGGCGTGTACTACCTCTTCTGGAGCGAAGGCGGCTGGACGGGGCCCGACTATGCAGTTTCGTATGGTATGAGCAGCTCGCCTCTTGGGCCATTTGATCGCATCGCAAAGATACTCCAGCAGGATGAAGCAGTGGCGACGGGCTCTGGCCACAATGCGGTGATTCAGGTTCCTGATACAGACATCTACTACATCCTGTATCACCGGCATCCGTTGGGCTCCACGGACGGGAACGACCGCCACTTGGCCTATGACAGGCTCTACTTTAACGATGATGGCACGATCGAGCCGGTTAAGATGCTGGTGCACGACAACTTTGAAGATGGTAACATGATTGGCTGGGCAACGTATGGCGGCAGTGGTGACTGGGATGCTTCGGCAAATGTTCTGCGAGGGAACGGCGGCCTGGCCCTCGTCAACACCAACTTCTCCGACTTTACCTATGAAGCGGACGTGCAAGTGTCGGAGCCGGAACAGAACGATTGCAGCTGTCGCGGCCATGCGGGCATCGTCTTCCGGGCGTCGGAGGCCTCCGCCGAGAATGGCACCACGTTCAAGGGCTATTATGCGGGCATCAGCACCTCTGGCGCTCTGTTCCTCAGCCGGGTTGACGGGGCCGACCTTACAGTCCTGGCCAGCGAAGAGGCGGGTGTTGCAACGGCGGAACGATACCGACTGAAGGTCACGGCAAATGGGAGCTCGATACAGGTGGCTGTCAATGACGAGCAAGGCACTACCATCAGGGTTACGGATGAGGTTTATGGCAGCGGAATGGATGGCGTCAGGATATTCAAGGCGGAGGCGGAGTTTGACAACGTCAACATTACTCGCATCACGTCGAGCTGATGACAGTTGCTGCATTGTTGGTCATTTACCTGTTTGGGTAGTTGTTGTTGTTTGTTGTCGTTGTACATCCATCACGACGCTGACTACATTACAGACGTAGAATTCATCTTACCAGCTAAGTAGATAATAGATAGTCGCGGAATCAGCACTATCGCCAGAATCATGCAACTTCAGCGTTTCGATTACAGGGACTGCCAGCGCGAGATTGCTCATGATTGGTATCAATCCGTTACAGCCAAACAAACTGCTAGCGCCGCCAATCCCTCTCGACCTGTCGATCCTGCAACGGCATTTTCAGTCGCTCAGCGACCTGCCGCTTCCCGGCATCTTGCGCGCAGATCGCCATCCTATGAGGCTTATGTCGATCAAGCTTTTACTCAATCCCCACGTGTATCAGAACTCACGCCAAAGCGAAATGAAAAAAACACCTCATTCTAATGACAGGTTCTCAAGGACATGAAAAGGGAACTCAATTGACTCCTAATGAACCCTGATAATGGAAAAGTGTTGTTCTCGAAACAATGAAAAAAAGGGACTATGTATGAACGGCCCACGAGTCAGGGAGAGTCAATCGAAGCGTGTGAGGCAGGCAAGCATGTCACCGGCGATGCCGCCCTCACAACAATTCTGCATGGATCAAGACAGCACGGAGCACACAGGAGCATTTCAAGACCGAGGATCGCTCCATAATTTCTCATGTCGATCGCTGCAGTCTGATGTCCTCCTGCCATGTTCAGTCTCCATAATGACGAGAAATTGAGGGATGAGGGTGAACGTCGAGGAGAGAGAGAAAGAGAGACTGTGGGAGAAGGATTGATACGGGGACAAGAATGATATAAGACACAGTCTCCCAAGAACCCTGAAAGAAAAGGACGATACTGTAGGCCAAGCATTCTCTCTTTTTTCTTCTCAGCCATCCAGCTCCTCCTCCAGGTACTTTGTTCACGCTCCTAGCAAGGACCTCTTACCCAGCCATTCGCTTTCAATCTTTCTATATTATTTCCAAATATGCAGTTCTCCGTGATTGTGGCCGCTGCCCTCGCCGGCGTCGCTGCCGCCCTGCCTCCTCGCGCGTTCCACGACACGAGCAAGGCCCAGGTCGCTTACACCTACTCCAACGGCACCTACACCAGGCCGCACTTTGTCAAGGTCAACCAGGGCGCCCAGAAGCTGCGTACGTTTCTACTATTACCTCCTTAGATAACTCTCTATTCTGCCCCTTACAAAACTCGAGCAAGCAACACGGGGAATCATTTGTATAAAGGAAAGAAAAAAAAAAAAAAAACTGACACCAAAGTCTTCAAACAGCCTCCGGCGGCCCCGTCACCGACGTCTTCGTCTCGCCTCCCTTCGACGGCCGCCACTACATCCTCACTGAGTGCCAGTTCCAGACCCCGACCAACAAGAGCCTGGGCGCCGTCTCGGTCCGCAAGGCCATGACCGTGCCGGTGAACCCGCCTGCTGCTGTTGCCTACGTGACTTGCACGACCGACAACTAAGGGGTTACAGGAGATGGTTTTGTTGCTTCTTCGATTTGAGGGGGGGTGTCTGTCTGATTAGGCGCTGCCATTTACGTTATTTTTGGATTATTGGATGTGTACATGTAGCGTCGCCTTATAGAGAGATGAATACACAAACATGTCTGCTCGGATATTCGTGTATTGAGATGTCGTCGCCAACTTCCTATACCATTCCCCCCCGACCCTTTGCTTTGTCAAGTCAAACTCAAGAAATACTTCCATACTGACCTCCCTCGACTTGCCCAACAAGGTCATCGATTCCCGCCTCAAAGCCATCATCATCATCACCATCCTCCTCATCTTCATCAGCCGCCTTGTTCACGCTCATGACCTCCTCCTGAAACCCCCATCCCCTCGTAGCCATGAGCACAAACGGCATCGCCCCCTCAGACAACTCCTTCCAAACACCACTCAGCTCCCCCAGCACGCGAAAGCAAGCCCAAAAGTTCCCCGACGACACCCTCTGTCCCCCCGCCTCCTCCGCCGCAATAAGATTGAGCCCATGCACCAGCGCCGCGCGAAACACATGGTATATGATGAAGGGGGGCAGATGCTTGACGTCGTCCGACGCCTGCAGGCCCTTGAGGAGCCTCGTGATGGCCATGGCGGACGCCGTGGCCGAGCGCAGCGCGCTGGGGATGTTGTGCGCCATGCCGGGGTCCTGCGGGTCGAGGACGGGTCGGTAGAGGTTGATGAGGATGGAGTGGTAGGTGATCCAGAAGACGACCTGGACGCGGTGCGGCTTGGCGTTGCGGCTGATGTAGAGGCGACGGTCGATGTGCTTGCGGAGGGCGAGCATGGCGTTGTTTGCCTTTGCGTAGATGGCTTGCTTCTCGGGGGCGGGGAGGTGGTGGAAGTTGGGGGCGTACCTAGGCATGTCAGCGATGCGATACGAAGTTGTTGTGGTTGTTGAGAATAGGGGTAGGCGGGGGGGGGAAGGAGGCGGAAGGGTTGTTCTCCGTAGGTACTCACATGACGTCGATGTAGCGCTGCTGGATGTGGTAGAGGCGGCAGTGGTGGTCAAAGGAGAGGGCTGCCACGTCGACCAGTTCCGGGGAGACTGTGTCGATGTAGGGCGTGATGTTGTCGGGCTCCCAAGGGATGCCGGTTGGACAGCCCAGCTTTGGGGTCGCGATTCTATCACCATTTGATGTGTGAGAGCGGGACGGTTGAGGAGAGACAGCTGAGAGTGAACAAACCGGTCAAGGAAGAATAGAGACCAAAAGGTCCTGATGGTGGCAACGTCGCTGACGGTTCGCTCGTGTGGCGGTATGTCCCTGATCTTCAGATGGTTGGACAGCCCAATGGCCATATCTAAGGGAAAGAAAATATCAATGAGTTAGTTTGACTGACGCTGACGACGATAGATACATGGCATAAGCGCATCCGAACTCACAGTGATACAGATGCCCCTTGGCCGCATCCAGCAGCATGTGCTTATACCACGCAATGACAATCAAGGCCTGCAGCACGGGCAAGCACAAATGCTCCAGATAGCACTGCTGCACCAGGCCCTCGGCATACGCCATGAACGCCTCGGCAACGCCCCTGGTGGCCACGGGCGAGGAGTACGCGGCGGCGGCAAAGAGGGCGCTGTAGAGCAGCTGCAGCGCCGTGTCGTTGTGGGGGAACAGGTCCGAGAAGTTGAGCCAGACGGGGTCGACGAACTTGTAGTAGGGGTTGATGTGCTCGAGGAAGTGCGCCTTGAGGTGCTGCTTCAGGCCCAGGTCGGACGCGATCTCGAGGAGGAACGTCTCCGTGGAGGGCACCGTCGCCTTGGGGGGCGGCGAGGGCCGTGACGAGCCGTCTTCAAAGGTCGGCAGCAGGGTGTGCGAGAAGAAGGAGAAGCGGCCCGGGCCGGCGAGCATCGGGAGGCCGTCCCGGCCGGTGATGTCGGCCCACTTGACGGAGCCGAAGTCGTGCAGGGCCGAGAGCATCTTTGGCCCGTACGGGAGCTGCGGCTGCGGCGGTTGCTTGCCGGCGGCTGCCGTCCAGGACCCTGGTGATGGCTGGCTTGCCGGAGAGGCGGAGGCGGAGGCGGAGGAGGAGTCTTTGGACTGCTGCTGGAGGGAGGCGGAGAGCAGCCGGACCTGGTCCTCGAGGGCCTGAACATAGTCACGGTCCCAGTACTTTTGTCTGGGAATCGCATAAGTCTTGCGCGTTACTGATGATGATTACATATATATATATATATATATGGAGATGGAGATGGCAATGGGAGAAGGGGGTTCGTATGGCAAAACCTTACCTGCGTGTAGGTCGAACTGGCTCATAGTGACAGGCCAGCTCGTGGGACTGACAGGCGCCACAGACGGGCTTTTCGCCGTCACACTACAGACAACGCGCCATCAGCATCGGCACGGCATCGGAAACACTTCACTCTGACTGGAATTCTATCAAGAAACAAACGCCCACACGGGCTTTGACGCTGGGGCTCCAGGGCAAGATATGCCCAGTCCGCTAAGCCTTCTCGCCCGTAGATCTGGGATCTGTACTCGGGCCAGAACAGACAGACAAACCAGAGGTCGTATGAAAGAAGACCAGGGGGGGTTCCAGGTATCCAAGCCTTGAATGAATGAATACCTTTGATTTCCTCTTGCGGCAAGGCTCGCAGGCTAACAGCGTGCGGCCAGAGGTGCGCCTGAGCTGTGGTTGGCGGCTCGAAGACATCCGGTGTGTGCTGGGGAGGATGAAGCGTGGAGATTTTGGAGATGGTAGTATGGGACGAACGGCAGGATTGCCGGCGCGGGGGAGGGGGAGGGGGAGGGAGATGAAGCGGACAGGATACTGGGTTGTGTGTTGTTATATCCGTATATGTAACGTATAGACAGGGGTGTTGCTTGATGGCTCAGTCAAGATGATGAAGACAGACGGCTCATGGAGTTGAAAAGCCATGTTGTAGAAGCATTAATCGGGGCTGTGAAAAGAGTCGAACAGGTTGATTGCCTGGATCTATGACGGAAAGATACCCCCGGTCTGCATTGCTGCTTGGCCCCTTTATCCTAGAGTCGTGTTGTGAAATAGCATGGGCAATCCCTTGAAGCTCGATGGGTTGCTGACACACGACAGGCCAGTTGAGAGAGAGAGAGAGAGGGTGGGTGCTGCTGCAACAAGGTGTGGCAGCCCCGTAGCAGGAGATGCTCAAACTTGGTTCTCTTTGGGAAGCGAACAGTCAGTGATGGTTTTTCGAGGGAACGGGTTGAAGCAAATTCCTGCTTGTATTGTTGTTATACCGTAGGAGCTGTGATGCTGCTCGAGTTGAGTTAGTTGACAGCAGACTCTATTACGCAGCAAGCTTTGAAAAGATTTCACGAGGATCCATCAAAAAGACAATGCTGATACTTGTGTCTGACATCAGACTTGGTGATCTGGAAAATGCTCAACCATGCTCTTTCAAGCAGGTCGATGCCCAACCTCACTCAACCCCCTGCCTATCCACTTACAAGGACAGACAAGTCCACCTATCAATAATTCACCCATAATATTCAAAAGAAAGCACGAAAGTTCCCCAAGGCTATGGAAAGAAAAAAAAAAAAGCCCACTCACAAACACCATAAAACAAACTATCTACATCGACAACTAGCAGAGCAAAAAAAAAAAAAAAAAAAAAGCAATCATCACAACCTCTTGACCCTCACCCACAGCCCCCCCTTCGGCTTCAGCGTCAGACTCGGATTCTCAAACTGCACCTCCTCCCTCGCCGCCTCGAGCCCAAAGTTGCCCACCACCTCCGCCAGCACCGTCTTCATCTCCAGCAGCGCCAGCGCCCTCCCGGGACACGTCCTCGGCCCGTTGAGAAACGCCTCAATGGCAAACGGGTTCGCCGCCGGCCCCGTCGCGGCATCCCACCGATCGGGGTTGAACTCGTCAACGTCGGCGGCGGCGGCGCCCCAGATGCTCGGGTTGAGGTGCACCATGGCCGGGATCGTCGTCACGGTGGTGCCCTTGGGGATGGCGACGCCGGCGATGACGAGGTCCTGGCCGGCTTCCCAGGGGGCCATGAGCGTGGGCGAGTAGACGCGCAGGCTCTCGTTGAGGACGTTGTTGAGGTAGGGCAGGCTGTCGATGGTGGCGGCGTCGAGACCATCATCGGCTTGCTTCTTCTTCTTCTTCTGCTGCTGGGCGGAGAGGATCTCGTCGCGCAGGCGCTGCTGCATGTGCGGGTGTTGCGTGAGGGCGTGGACGGTCCATGTGAGGGCGCCGGCGGTCGTCTCGTGCCCAGCAGAGACGCCTTGGATGATCTGTATGGAGGAAACTCATCAGCAACAGAACCAGAGACTTTTTTTGCAAATTCCATCTTCAGGGGGGTGGCTAGAGCTTACGGTATCGACCAGCAGCTGGTCCGAAACCCCCTTGCTCTCCGCCAGATTCGCCTCAATCATGTCCGTCAAAAAGTCCTTGTTCCCGTCCTCCTCCCCCCCGCCGCCCTTACCCTGCTTCACCTGCGCGACGCGCTCCTGCACCAGCTCGGACAGCATCCCCCTGAGCGCGGTGTTGGCCCGGATGAAGGCGAGGTTCGCCTCGATGGGGAGCCAGCGCAGCGGCACAAAGGGGTTGACAAAGGTGATGAGCTTGCCGAGCAGCGTCGGCGGCGTGAGGATGCCCCTGTAGCACTCCTCGAAGCTGAGCGGCGAGGTTGCGGAGCGGAAGTCGGTGATGTCTCTGCTGAGGAGGGCGGTGCTGATGACTTTGAAGGCGGTTCGCGAGAAGAGGGTTTCGACTGGGTTTGATTATGAGCCGTATATTCACCTTTGTGCCGGGAAACGGAGCGCAAGAGAGGCTTACTTTCGACAACTCCTTTGCTGTCTCCTGCAATTGCCTCGTCGAGCGAAGCAGATAGCTCCCTGGCCTTGTCCTTGAATAGGGGCAGCATCCGTCTCACCTTTGGCTTCGAAAGGGGTCCTAAAACCACCACAATCCCATTTAGCTCAACCGGCCAAACAAACAAATGCCACTCTTTTTCTACTCCCATCTCCCATCTCCCAAGAAAAAACAAAGTAAACAGCTGCTCCTTTTGAACCAAAAACGAACTCACCGGCCATGATCCGCCGCAGCTGCTTATGCTGCTCCCCTACGCTAAACAGCACCCCCGTGCCCATCATCTCGCCCACCAGCTTCTCGAAAAAGGCCGGCTTCACAAATGAACTGCCATGCGTCTGCAGCACCTCGCGCGCCGCCTCCAGGCTGTTCACAAGCAGGACCTCGGAGTTGCCAAAGCTCAGGTACCGGATGAAGGGCGCGTCTGGCCATTTGCGCATCCAGTCGAGATACAGGTCGTTTGGCCCGGCGGTTTTGAGGAGGCGGATTGCTTGGCCGACGAGGAATTGGTTGTCCTAGTAATCATTTGCAAAAAAAAAAAAAAATGAGTCAGTCTCCTTCTGTTCTGTTTCTTCTGCTTTGATTTTTTCTGTCTTGGTGAAGAAAAGGTCGGTCTGGTGCACCTTTGGTCCGGGGACGTTGCGCAGTCCGGAGATGTAGAAGGGATAGATCAAGGCTCTCCCGACCTTGGCCACGACCGTTGCCAGCACGTACAATCCCAGTCCGACTCCCGCTGCAAGAGAAATCGTCGCGTCCGGCTGTCGCAGCGTCAAGACGACGCCGGCAAAGGAGACCAAAGCCACGCAAAGAAACTCCATCATGGCCATCGCCTTATTGCCAAAAACGCTGCTGAGCAAAGGTAAACGACAACAACAACAACAACAACAAGACAGAAGACACTCGGAAAAGAAAAAACGACAAAGACTTTTCGCTCGGTATGGAGTTTCACATGAAAGGGAGATTGTAGCAAGTTCTATATTTATATCGAGCTTTGTAAGCTTGCTTCTGATGAAAACCCTCTTAAACCTCACCCACAGGGTTGCTTTCATCCTCAAGTATCTACATTCGTATCCAATCCGGTCTCTTGAAGCTGCTGCCGTTGAGCCGATTCTATATTGGTTTCCATCGGTTCTGTCGTCTCATGATGCCGGGCCCTAATGCAGCGCTTGTCACTTGGTGCTGATACCCTCCAACTAAACATTAGACAAAACAGACCCAGCAAACAGACAAGGGTCAACTGACGCTCCCTCAAATGACTCGCGATAGCTTCTCGAGCTCTTCAAACGCCCGTAAGAGAGCTGCGTTGCTTCGCTGCCCAAGTACATACTTACTATGTATGCTTGCAGTGGATACTCGCAATATAGGCTGATGGCAGGGGGGTTTGATGTCTTTCTGCCGTGAATAGTAATTGCTGCGTAATAAGAGGACAAAAATCACTTGTCATCCTTGTGATGGAGACGGGAGGCTAGAGCACAACTGCGCCCGCCCTAGAGATCTTTACAGTAACGCACCTCCGATATGTAGCCTTAAGGGTGGGTTCGATATCGGGCGAAGCAAAAGTGCCTGCAAGCGTGATGAGAAAACACTTCCGCTGTTATATTGATTGTCTGTCCATATAGCTCATTCACTGAGGCTTAATGGGCATGGCTCTGGATTGGCTACCCCTGAGCAAGAGGCAACTTGTTAACATACCAGTAAATTTGTCTCTTTACGAGATACGCATGTAAGACTGCTTGAATCCATGAGCCAGCAGGCATCTGACCGTTGTCAAGATCTGCCTAACCCGTAACGCGTATTTTCCCGAAAAGTCGGACTTCTACCACTTTTCCACTGACTCTCAAGTCAAACAATCCCAACCAACTCCTTCTCTGCACCACCCAGAAACCCTTCATCGCAAATCTACAATCAGGCCCAAACATATCTCACCTGTTCAAGACACTTCTCTACGCAGCCCTAACCCACGTCAAACTAAACACCTCAGTCCCCGCCCTCGAGATGCCAACCTCCACCTCTCCGCTCTCACTCTTAACGCTGGGCAAGATCTTCTCCCCCTTCCTCTCCAGGATGATCCTGTTGCCAGAAGTCTCGGGCAGCTTGTAGAAGCGCCTGCCGAATCTGCTGAGGAACCCCTCAATCTTGTCCTGCGTGACGTCGTCCTCGCTGATGACGCCGCGCTCGATGCCTTCCTCCAGCGCCAGGAGCACGAGCTGGGTCACGTACGGCTGCGTGAAGACACCGGCCGGGGCCTTGCCCTGGGCCGCCGATGTCTTTGAGGTCAGGGGATGGGGGGCGCTGTCACTTCCGCTGGAAAAGGGAGATGCGCGTTTAGCATGTCTTCTTCAATGAATCTCCATAATCAGGAAGCAAAAAATGAGACAGTAGTGCAATCAACTTACAAGAAGAATTTGGGATTGCCGCTGACGACGGCCTTGAGCAGGGCGTCCCTGTCGGTGGGCTTCTTGGGGATGGGCTTGCAAAAGGCAAAGGGGTCGCAGCAGGCTTCGTGCTCGGTCAGGTACAGGTGATGCGCAGTGATGGTCGCTGAACGTGTGAAGTCACAATGAGTATAAGTCGCTCATCTGGGAAGCAAAAGGAAGTTAAAGGGGAGAGGCATACCTCCAACATTGGGTCCACAGGCCTTGACTGCTTCGACTGCTGCAGCCGTGGTGCAGTGCTCGAGCTGAAAAAGTATCAGATATCAGCATGACTGTATGTTTCACAACGAGTTTTGGTCAGAGAGAACGTACCACAATGCGCAGGTTGGGGAACCTGTCATGGAGCTTCTTGAGCGTCGGCAGAAACGCCTCTTCCAACGTCATGCCCTCGGGGGCCATAGCCTCGAGGACCTCCCCGTGCAGGTTGAGCACCATGTCATGCTTCTCCATGCTGGCAAAGGTATCGTAAAAGGCCTCGACGTTGGCCACTCCATGCTCAGAATTGGTTGTTCCGCCTGAGGAGTTGGTTGTCTTAGTGAAGCTCATCGGAAAAGGCGCAGGAAAACCCACCCTGGGGATACAGCTTGACACCCGTGATTCCAGCCTCTGCTGCTTTCTCTATCGTCTCTGGCGTGACTGAGGGATGAAGCTGGGTTCCCGTTAGGCGCGTGGTGTCCCTGGATGCTGCAGATGGTAATGGCTTACGTAGAGGGACATGAGAAAGTGGACGTTTGGTGCAATGGCACGGAGCTTGGTCTGGTAATCGAGGACCTTATGAGAGTAAGCCATGCGTAAAGCGCTTGCATCTCAGTCGTGAATACATACTCTGTCAACTTCAGTCAAGGGAGGGACCTAGAAGATCTATTAGCCATGCGATCGATTGAGTGAAAGAATGCCGTCATCAACCAGCAATACAAGTCATGTCGCTTCTTTAACACATGGATGCTGTATTCACATACCAGATTCGGCATACTATATAGAGCCCAATGTCAGCCATCAAAAACCAATGACTCGTGTCCAAGTCAAACAGAAACACATACACAAAGGCAGTGTCGACTCCTCCTCGCTCCAGAGTCGGCACCACAACCTCCATCATCTCGCCCTGGCGCAGGTGGACGTGCATGTCCGCCGCTGCCGGCAGCTCCAGCTTCTGGACCGTCTTGAGCTGCATTTCTGCCTCTTTTTTTCTCTTCTTTCTATTTCTTCTGGTTGTCTTATCCCAGGAAGTGGAAGAAACAATTGAGCGATGAATGAATGAGTAATAAGTGGTGTTGTGAGAGAGCAAAACCTCAATAATGAGGTAACCGAAAATGCCCCCGCCATGGGGAAGAATTTTTAGATCGCGGCTAATCCTCTTAGAGTAGCAACTGTTGCACTGCAGCTGAAGCCTCACGAACATTTTTGCTCTCCATGAACAGCTATTTCTCATTACTATGTGAATCTATTTCATCATAGGTACGATGTGATTCATATAGATCAGGTCAGGGGAGTGTTGGTCAGTAGACAAGACAGGCTTGTAAAAGAATCAACAGCATCCCCAGTCCAACCTTTCAGTCAGTCCCCCCTCCCTCCCCCTACAAGAAACTCATCTCTCTCTCCCATCCTCACAACAAGCCAACCACAACTCCTCCCAAAACAACCACAGCAGCCACAGCATTCGCAGCAACCCTCGTCCCAGCACTCGGAGGCTTGACAGAAGCCGTCACAGGCCCCGCCGTTCCACTCGTCTTGCTCGGCCCAGCAGTGCTCGTCCCGTTCCCTCCAGACGATCCCTCGCCATCATCCCCCCCAGCAGCCGCTCCCCCAGAAATCGTCGAAATCACAGCAGAAAGGGCATTCAGCTGCTCGCCAACCCCAATCTTCCCATCAAACACCTGCCCGTTCTTCGCAATCCACGAGAACCCACACACGGTGTTGGGTTTTCCCAGGTACATCTTGGTAGTCGTTCCCGCACAGGCAGCAGCCGCCGCCTTTGCGCTGCTCAACAGCAGAGGCCGAATCGTCTGTCCCGTGTGCGGCGCCAGCTCGCTCGTCGCCTTGAGGCCGCGAGCCAGGAAGCTCTTGTAGGCCTGCATGTCGACGTTGCACGTCCCCTGGCCCTCGCACGCAGCCTCAAACAAGACACCGTCCTTGACAAAGGTGCTCTGCACGCCCTTGAGCAGCCCGTCCACGCGCGTCTTCCACTCGGACGACGAGGTGGCGTTGTACATGGCCGCGGCTCCGTGCAAGAAGATGCCCGCGTTCATGCTGTTCTGGATCTTGTCGACCGTGCCGCACGCCTCGGTCCTGACGCCATCAAAGACGTCGTACGAATCGCTAATCAGGCCGACCTTGTGCTCCCACTCAAAGACCTCGCTGGCCCAGTGCGAGTACGTGCTGTTCTTGGTCTGCAGGTACAGCCTGGCGGCGAGGTCGAAGAAGACGCCGCTGGACGCCGAGTTCTTGTAGTCGTAGCCGGCGTTGAAGGTGAAGATCTGCCATCGCAGGCCGCCGCCGCACGTCTTGGTGTCCCAGCGGGCCACGAAGTCGTCAAACACGTTCCTCGCCAGGTCCAGCCACTGCGGCTGGTCCGCAGCCGGGCTCGGGAAGCCGCTCTCTGCCGCCGACAGGGCCGCCAGAGCCCAGACGCCCTGGTCGTCGTTGGCTTCCGAGGCGGTCTGGTTCACGGGCATGAAGTTGTTGCCCTCGCCGACTTGCCAGAGGAGGCCCTGCTTCGTGACGGCGTTGTACGTGTCGTCGCCCGTCTGGGCCCAGTAGTCGATCAGGGTGTTGAACAAGGCGCCCGACTCCCACCCTGCTTATCGGGTCAGCCTGCTATTACTTTGGATATTGAGGTACGGGATATTCGTGAGTTGGAGGGAAGGGGGAGCAGACAGTAGTATGGCTCAGGGAGGATGCCCGGGACCTGGCCCGTCTCGTTGCCTCTGTAGTACTTCACGAGCCCGTACGCAATCGTGCTCGCGCCATTCTTGACCGAGGCTGCCATCATGTCAGTATGTCAAGATTCGCTCAAAACCGCTCAAGCAGGCAGCGCACCAGCATCAGTAAAGTCGATCTTGATGGCGCCAACAGAGGCGCCAAGGAGCGCAACAGCCAGTGCGGCCCGCTGCATCGTGAATCCGAAGGTGATGGTATTCACACAGAGACTCAATGACTGGACGAGGCCGACCAGAGAGATTGAAGCCGAGGAACCGACTTCTCTGCGTCAGATAATCTCCAAAAACTGTGAACCCCAAAGGCAAAAAAAAAATAAAAAAACGAAGGACAAGTCGCAACACACAGCAAGAAGCCAGCAACCAAAAGCGAGTGAAATGGATAGCCAGCAACTTGATAAAACGAAAGACAGGCTGCGTCACTCAGAGCGCGAGCCAGAACGAGCCTCAATCTTTTGAATTTATTTTGGCAACAGTTCCTTCAAGGCTGCCGAAGTGGACCGCCAGCTCATCTTATAACCATCGTGCCGCTTCCTTTTTCAACCACCCCTGGGCTCCGCTGCCTGAAAACTGCTAGTTTGGTCTTAATGCCGTAATAAGCTTCACTCCTTTCATAAAGAGGTACCCAAAGGATTCAACACCTTGCCTCAACTTTCACTCAGGTCAAAACCGTGAGCATCTTGATTGCCAACGAATGACGCCAAATTCCGCCTTGAGCCCAATTGTCTCGGCGTTCGAATTCTGGGTACCTTACCCAGATTTCCCCAAACTGCTCCTTTCGTCAAAACGTACATCAACCCCCAGCATCCAAGATAGAAAACAACCCATGTTTTTCCGTTCCAAAGTGACGTGTATACATTACAGAATACGAAAGCCGATTGTATAATAGTAATCATTCCTGCAAGTCCTCGGAGTCTCGCCCCCCCAGAGAATCGTGCTGTGACTTTGAAAGGGGAAATTGTGACATTCGGAGATTGCCCCTTTGGGAAGTATACGATGTTGCAAGCTGGAGGAGTCGATGAGTTGGGACAAGTTTTGGGGTGGGTTTGTCCGATGACAAGTCCCCCAGTGAATACGAACTGCATGCATCTCAAGCCGAAGCACACCGGATTACACGAGGTTTTTGTTGTGACGGATATTTTCCATCAATCAGCTCGTGCATCGCATGTTGTGGGTAAGAGAGGCAACTTCTTCAGAAGAAGATGGATGTTTGCCAGGGGGGTTTGGTTGCAGTTCAACAACTGATAGCATCTATATATGGAATAGCAACATACTAAACAACAACAACAACATCATCATCATCATGATAGCAACAATCAGAACCTTCTAACTCAACAGAGACATAAAACAAACATCTCATCAATAACGCACCACTCAGCCCTACCAACCCCCCTGCACCAACTCCTCCATCCCCAACCGAAACTCCTCCAAACTGCTCCTCATCAACTCCCTCCCCCTCGCCCTCTCCGCCCTCTCAGCACTCACCAGAAACTCCTCCGGCACGTCCACAGACCCATCATCACCACCACCACCATCTCCTCCTCCTCCTCCCGACCCCAGCATCATCCGCGACACGGCCACCGCGCACCTCGCCGCAACCGGCATCCCGTGCCCCGTATACCCAGCGCAAATCCACAGCCCGTCCCCTCCCCCAAGCTCCTCCGGCACCCTCCCCACGAACGGGCTCCCGTCGACAGAGTACCCCATGATGCCCGTCCACTGCCACCTCGCCCGGAGCTCTTCCTCCTCGTCCTGCCCGTCGGGCCGCAGCTTCAGCGCAGGACGCAGACACCGCCTCAGCCTCTCCGCAACCACCTCGTCAATTTCGTCGTCGCTCCACACCCCCTCTCCTCCCCCAGGGACGCTCAGCCTCTCCCCGCCAACGACAATCATCTCCAGCGGGTCGTCCCGCTGGATCAGATAGTTGTCGCTCTCATCCGCAATCCACACGTGGCTGTGCTCCAGTGCGACGCCCCCATCCGGCGGCTCCAGCGCGGACACCTGGCCCCGGACGGGCACGACCAACCCCGTCATCTTCGGCAGCAGGTGGCTCGTGTATGCGTTCGTCGCGAGCAGCACCTCCCTGGCGACGACCTGGCCCCTCGGCGTGTGCAGCACCCACGATCCCGAGTCCAGCCTCTGCAGATGCGTCACCGGCGTCGACGTCTGCAGGTTGAACACCTCGGGAGCCTCCTTCGTGAACAGCGCCTCCAGCACCCAAGCAACGAGCTTATACGGCCAGCACTTTGCCGCGTACGGCTGCAGCACCGCCCCCTTTGCGTTCGGCACCCTCAGCCTCTTCAGGTCCTCGGGGTCGGTGAAGAGCGTCGCCAGGCCCGCAAGATCCGGATGGTGCTTGTCAAGCCTCGCGATCCTCTTCGCAACAAGCTCGACCAGCTCATCGGTAGGCAGTGCATGTACGCCCCCAACCCGCCTCCAGTCACAGGGAACATTGAACTTCGTCACAACGTCCTCCAGGAAGCGATACGTAGCAAGCTCGAAGCGCGCAATATGCGGCTTATTCGCGTAAATCATGGGCTGACAGTGTCCTCCATTCTACGCATGCCCATCCTGGATCAGCACACACACACGCACACACACGCACACCAATTCCCAGTTCCCAGAACAAGCGTCATGTCACAGAGACTGTCAAGTCTGGGGCAAATGGGACAACCATAGAATCAAAACTCACCCTCCCCGTAGCCCCCCAGCAAGCCTCCCTCGCCTCCAGCATCACCACCCCCCTCCCCCCGGCAACGAGCTCCCGCGCCGCAAACGCCCCCGTGATCCCGCTGCCAACGATGACTACGTCTGCCGTCTTGGGCAGGTCTGGCGTTGAGCGACGGCCGAGGAGCACGTACGACGGGTCGCGAAGCCAGTAGGACCCTGTGCTTCTGGGAGTTGGCAGCCCGGATTGGCCGTCTTTCAAAGTGGCGGTCACCATCGTCGTGTGCTCGATATTGGTAAGCTGGTCTGTCTTGTGGTGTTATGGCGGTGATTGAGAGTAAAGGGAGGAGATGGAGAAAGACGTGTGAGTAAGGTAGGTACGCGTAAGGGGGACAGGCAGTATTTGAATCGTCACGTGTCGAGATGATTAGGTACCTTATACAGCGTCCATGCATCCGCATTCCACGCGAATCTCCGTGTAAATGATAGCAAAGATGGATGACTGATGATTGATCTTCGACAATGTACTCTGTTACTATCTGTTCCCCTGCTCGGTTGTTCGCAACCGATTACGCACGCTAATGCGGGGTCAGGCTTATATCATACCTATCTAACGGAAAGGCATCGCCATCACAAGCGAGCCTTTGCACTCGAAGGAACAGTCAAACACTCTTAAGGATATCATATCATATTCATTGCATCTCGTCGTGACAATCATAACTGCCGGGTTCGCCTCCCCCAACTGCGGGGAATTGCCCTTAAAATCCTTCCAATTCCAAGCCGTCCATCCCAACGCCGCAGTTCAGCTGTCCATTCCATTTGCATCTTCTGGGTTCTGTCGATATTTATTCGTACATCCTGCACAAAAAGAAGACAACAAGAAAGAAAGAAAAAGAGAAGAAGTAGAGAAGCAACTTCTTCCCTGCCCGAGGAAAGCCCATGGCCCTCGCCATCGACGTTCCTATGATCAAACACAAATCATGTGCGTGCAATCGCCAAAAACTCCTAGAGCAGCAGGCCTCCTCCCGGGCGTGCCTCAATGCTATGTCTATTCCATCTCAAGTATAACCGATGCACGCAGTCTACCCTCGCAAGATGCAGCTTTGTCGTGCTGATTGTGCCAGCTGACTAAAGAAGCTGAGGTTGGTCGAATCGGCAGAACACCCGACCAGCGTCATCCCATCTGGATACGTTTTGCCCATGTGAGTCAAACGCTCCAATGACATTGGGTGAGAGGGTGGAAGGGAAGGCGCTTGAGTTCCTCAACCAGCTTGCTGAAAGCGGCGATGCATCATTGTGGTAGAGCTGGTGTGATAATAGATCCGTTTCGCCCGCCCAAGTCGTGAATACCAATCGAGATGTAAGAAAGAGAAAGGCCGAGGTTGATTCGTATTCGTCATGGCGTCATGGGCCAATGGCCATACAAACAAAGAAAAGAAAGAAAGAAGAAACCGCTATATGTAGAGCCAGAGGCTGTGGTAAATGAAAACGTCGGCCCCCTGTATCCACTCGTACATATCCCGGTACAAGGGCAAAAGTAATCGAAATGCTTACGGTAGGCATCCTATGTCTTTGGGATATATCCAGCCGTGTTCTTCTTCTTCTGAAGCAATCGCCTCTCAGATAGTACAGAGCATGTCAAATTCTCCTTCAAGAAAGGATAGCAGGCCTCTTACGCATCAGCCATTTCGAGGTCGCTGGTGTCATGAGCGATAGATACGGGGAACAACTCCGAGGGGCCCCAGTTGCCTTCGTAGACAGTGGCAGGCGCATTGCGGTGCTCTGCCACCCATTGCATACCTTCCAGGGCCAGGATTTCCTCGATATGCGGTCGGTCTTCGGGCTCCTGCTGCGTCATCCACCGGACGATGGAGTCGAGCGAGCTGGAATGGAATGCATCAACCATGAACTCAGGAGGCTGCTGAAGTTCCGATCGCTTAAAAGAGCCAAACAGGTTGCCGGGGCTGCGTGTCGTCTCGGCTCGGAGATCATCGCTCATCGCGGACTCGGTCGGGTTACCAAGAGCATCTCGCTGAACATCGCTGGACGGCGTCCATGTAAGGCTCGGCACTTCGGAGAGATCACCAGACCTGAGAGCAACCCATGTAGGCCCATTGTCAGGGAGCACCACATTGGCTGCCGTTTCCAAAGTCATCAGACCAAGAGAAAAGATGTCGGCAGACTGGTCGGCTTTGCCTTCCAACATTTCCGGCGCCATGTATTCACGGTCGCCCTCAATGTCCAACTGCACATCTTCAGAAATGGCCCTCGCCAATCCAAAATCGCCAATTTTGATGACTCCTTCAAAGGTTATGAAGATGTTTGCTGGTTTCATGTCTAGATGCATGAATCCGGCGTCATGGATTTCCTTAAGGCCCTGTCAACAACGTTAGCAGCTTGGCCGAAATCAGATCGAGACAAAAAGGGGACGTTGACTTACCAAGCAAAGATCTTGCAAGATCTTATAGATGCGGAAATCATCCAATCGACCAATCTGTCCGATGTTGGCCAAAAATTTATCCAGCGTTCCCTCTTCACAAAACTCGGTCTGGATATAGAGGTGAAAGTTATGCTCCCAATCGTCGATATATTGAACGACGTGCTCGGAATGTGAAAGGGCCCGTAGAATTCTCGCTTCGCGCAGCTTGGCGTCCCTGTCCTTGGGTCCATGGTACGGCTGCTTGCTCTTCTTGACAGCAAAGACCTGGCTCTTGGCAGGGCTTTTGCTGGGGCTGCCAAGGGGAGTGAAAGAAGATGCAGAGAGGGCAATCTGGTGATCCTGCTTGGTGACACGGTAGACTGTGGAAAACTCGCCCTTGCCAATCTGTTCAACCTTGTCAAACTTGGAGTGGAGACTGGCGTCGACGTCCACGTTGTTGGAGCGACCATTGACCGGCGTGACGAAGATGCTCATGGAAGATCGAAAATCCCGGGACGTGGTGGGCGTGACCGGCGGCGGCATGGTTGTCTCTCCGCGACCCCCTCCACTGCGAGAGATGGACAAACGGCTAGCATCTAATGGTAGGAGGCTGTCCTGGGGGGTCTGGGGGGTGCGCCTTCCATCGGCAGGGCTCGCTGATTCAACAAACATCATCTTAGTACATACTCTGGTTCGGGTTGGCTGGAAAGATGCGCGACTAGCTTGAGGCGTCGTCGAAGTTGGAGGCTCAGCTTGGAGCGGCGGGGGCGCACTGAGCCCCCTCTGGGACCTTGCCCGTCCAAAGGAAGTTAAGGAAAGAGGTTCGGTTGAAAATGCTTCGCAGTCCATGGGAGTAGATCGATCGGCCAGCAACTCTGCTCCTTCGATGTGGCTCCTTGGAACGGCGGACTCCTCCGGGATCGACTTACAACTGATTTCTCGTGTTGGCGTTGCCTTGACCGTTGACGAGGACAGGGCAATTGTTCGGTTGGCACTCGGGCTTTCCTGAGAACTTTCACTAAGGCTGCTCAGGCCGCTGAAGCTTGGCGTCAACAGATTCTTGGTCGGCGTTGGGGGGGCTTCTTCGCCTTCGGCGGAGGCCGCAAAGTCGAGGCTATCGGCAAACAATTTCCGGTCGTCGCCATCAACACTGAGGATGCTCCCACGGCGGGAAGTCATAGCGCTGCTGCGTTGGAAAATCGACAGGCCTTTGGAAGGGTTACCAACGGTGTCAGGGGCACGGGGGAGGAGGGAGTTCTGGAAGGGGGTGGAAGGGATGCCGCCAAAGGAGTAGCGAGTGCTTCCTCTCTTCTTTCCAGAACTGCCCGTTGGCGGTGGGAAGGTTGCGAATGGGTTAATGTGCTTTTTGCAGGGTGTATCAGGCGGTGCCATCTTCTTTTCGGCTTCTTCCTCCGGGTTTCGATTGACCTTGGAGACGAGGCCGGTGGAGCTGAAGGCGCCGACCCAGAGCTGGTGCGACTGGTTCGGCGTTGCGATGGCAGCCCTCTGTTCAATGAAAGATCGAGCAGTGGGCCGACTGGCACCGGGCGGCAGAGACCTGGAGAAGGCATGCGGCCGTTTCGCGACCTTTGCAGGCGCATAGAGCGACTGCTCCTCAGTCAAACTGTTGCCAGATGTTGAGGTAGTCAGCGTCTTGGACAGCGGGTGAGGCTGGTGGGTCTTGTTCTCCGCCGTGGAAATGGCCGCGCTGGGCGCAAAGGGATTCTCTCGAACTGCTGATGGGGGCACGAATGAGTCGGTAGAGAGACGCGGGCGGTGCCTGACAGGCGTCGAGAAATCACCGCCCAGCTGCGAAAGCTGTCGCTCACCAGACCGTTTCCCCCACGAAGTCTTTTCGCCGTAGCGTTGCTGCAGCGTTGATCGCCGGAGAGACGAGGACCGTTTTGGAATGTTGGACGCTGAGGTATGAGACGCTAGGGCATCCCGTAGAGCAGCCCCCGATATGCCAGAAAGCTCGTATTCAGGGAAGGCGTCTTCATGTATGTCGAAACCGCTAGGCGGGGAGCCCCCCGAGCCGAAAACGTTCACATCCCCCGTCTGCACAGAGCTCACAATACCGTGCAAGCTTCGTCGCTTGGCGACTGGGCTGCCCTGGTTCGACTTGTCCAAGTTCATCGTTGCGTCGCTGCGCTTCAGGGCACCTGCTGTAGGCGGCATGGAAGAGTCGCTGATCGGATCCAGGGTCTTTAGAAACAAAAGCTGAGAGGCTTCCGCACGGTCAGATTGCACACTATGTCGGGTCAATCTGTCGATAGCCTTTCGCGGTACTGAGCGGCTGGGAGTGTCGTTGATGCTGTTGTTTTCCTGGTCGAAGAATCTCGGGCCTCTTGGAGAAAACGTAGGCGAGCGCGAGGAGTTGGAGTTTCCCGAGTCAGGCGTGGCGCTCAAGGCGCGCTTCAAGGGGCTCTTTGAGGACGCTCGCGTTCGGGTGATGCGTGAAGGGGTTGTCAACTTCGCGCTCTTAGCAGCGCCGGATCGGAGCGAAAGTTTGACACCTGTCCGAAGGGGTGTTTGCGCAGGTGACAGGGAAGGGTCGCGGGAAAGAATCGTCGAGCTGACAGCTGGCGGAGCCGACTGCGGAGGCCTCAGGGCCGAGCGTTGGTGGAGTGGTGTTGTAGTGATTCGTCGGCACGGAGATTGTGAGCTCTGTCGCGCCTTGTCTGAACCTTGGGAACTTGTTCGTGTGAGGAATTTGGAGGGCGATCGTGACATAGACCTCCGAAGATTGCGCACAGCTGTCGGGTCCATATGATGGACGTGGGTGGGCGAGGGCAGTGCCAAAGTGCCACCACCGCCGCCGCTGGAAAAGGACATGGCACTGGAATGAAGGCAGTGCAAAACAATGCTCGAGAGTCTTTCTACCTAGGGCTGTGGAAAAGCCGTGGCCCAAGAAAACACTAGGTCGGGGGAATGCCAATGGTACTGAATGCGTGTGATGCGGAGCGTGGCCTCGAATTAGCAGGTCTCCTCGTAACGGGCAATGTATAAAGTGCGCTTGTAGATGATCTTGTCGGTTTGGCGGTGTCTCTAAGATGGCCGAGAATATGTGTGCATGGCGCCAGGATATAAAATGCACAAACACAGAATATAAATTGGTCCCCTTGAGGGATCGAGGTGTGAAATGCTTCTGAAACGAAAATCCAGTCAAGATGGCTTGCGTTGTGTGACCCGCAGCAGAGGTTGAGGTATAGAGAAACAGCACACAAGATGGGGATGTCAGGGGGGGAGGGCTATGCCTGGTGTTTAAGAAGAAAACGAGAGACAAGCCGTGAGGATGCCCAAGCGGGTCGCCGTGCAGGATACCAAAAGAGCGTCTTATCCAGTACGGCCACTACAGCAGCATGCTTTTCGATCGGCGGCAAGCAGGCGGGGCCGAGAGTCAAACGAAGGCCCCGATGATGCCAACAGGCCAACGGGTAAGTCGACGGCTCAGAACACGGAGCAATGACTGGTGTTGGCTAGAGGCAGCCACAGCATGGCGTTGTCGACGGGGTGGGGAGGCAGGAAACGCAGACGGGAGAGGAAATGGTGCTCAGGATGCGCAGATGCCCGGCGCTTAGGATCGCAGTTGTCGCCCGCTTGTGCTCGTCCTCGGCCGATGTGAAGATATATCGATGGGGGATGCGCTTGCGCCTGCGTCGATCAATAGTCGGCCTCGGAGGATCGCAAAGCCAATGTTCCGCAGGGCCAAATCTATCGCCCCGGATGCCTCTCAAGCGCCAGCCCCTTGTACAGTCGCCGGTCGCTCGCTCCTGTAGTCGATTGTCCTGCTCGGTACTGTATCTTGCGAGGTGACTCGGGTAGCGGTTCGAGACTGACTGTGGCAGCGCGGCGGCGGTTCCCCTCAGTGAGCGGCGTTGGATTCGGGAACGGCAGTGATTCAGTTGCGAGACAGAGTAAAACAAAGGCACGACGCAGGGAGGGAGTGAATATCCAGGTCGGGGGCCGGATGGCAGGTGAGGTATGCAGAGGTTTGAGTCGAAGGCGAAGGCGCAGTCGGAGTCGGACTCGGAGTCTGAAGGGAGGGCAAGTGCGAGTGCGAGCACATGGAAGTTGCTCGACGGTGACGGTTCTAGAGCTGGCAAGAGCTGGCTGGGCCCTACTGCCTTACGTCGACGTTGGCGGTACCTCGTACGTAGTACTTGCCCACTGCAGTTCCCAGAGGCTCTACCTTAGGTTCTACGTAAGGTAGGTAGTGTAGTGCGGGAGGCGCAACAGGCGCGACTGAGCTCCTGCATTGTTTATCATCTTACCCAAGTGGGCCTAGCGCGACACGCGGAACGCGTTCTTCAGCCAGCCGAAGTGGGGCCCATTTGGCCACGGCCCCTGCTCTCCGCCCGGCAGAATTTGAGGTCCAAGTTGAGCCCTGCAGATCCAGATACAGATCCAGGGCCACGAGATGCGGCGCTGCATCGAGCAGATCTTCAACTTTCGAGGCTCTTTAACTGAATGAATGTTTACGCAGTACTGCTAGATACTCGTCTTTCGTTGGGCGTGCAAATGCTGTGGATATCGAGAGAATACGGCTCTGCAGCATACCATAACTTACCTCTAACAGTTTCATTCACAAGGGCAGAGCCGTGGTATCCCATCCATCACCTGTCAGATATCCTCCCCTCCATTGCAACGGGCACGACATTGCATTTCTGGCATCCAACGGGCTTCCCGTCGATCCCCACCTCGCCTCCTGGGCAGCTTCAGCTTCAAGGCGGACACTTCAGTCTCTCAGCACCGGAGTATTCCTACATACTAGTAGTATCACATCGCCGCAATGCAGCATTCCTCCTTCGTGTTTGGCGTTGCATCGGTCAAGGCGTCCATGAAACAAGCGCCCAGGCTCGATTCCGTGTCTCCAACAGCCGCATCTGACGCACCATCTCAGCCTCGGAGGCCATGGAGGGGCACCGAGAGTGATCGCTGGCGGACGCAAGTCCAGCGCCTCAGCCTTGGGCGGATCGAAGATCAAAGTGACAAGGATCGGATGGTACGATGCCTGGAGACTGCGTTGACAGATACTACAGTTGGCCGACCCATTTCGGGCTCTCCCTGCATATCTGTTAACGACCTTCTTGCTTTGCATCTTCTCTTCCATTTTACTTTGAAACGCTCGATTGCCTGTGCCACCACCCGTCCCCCAGATGCCAGGCTTGTCAGGGTCCGGTGGCACGGGCTACTGTGCAAAGTGCTGCAAGCATGGAGAATGAATGGTCAATGTTCCACGCCGACTCAGCCGCCATGCAAGCGACACAGGCCGATTCACTCTTCCATCTCTGCTCGTGTATGTCTCATTACAGGCCCAGCCTCCTCTACTCGTATGTGCTCTTCGGCTTCCTCAGGCAAAGAGGGGACCATCGCCACCTCGCCCACCGACTAGACACAGACAGCGTCATTGTTTACCATGGCCACTCGGGAAGCATGCGAAGCTGTCGCCACTGTTTTGTTTTGATAACAGCTTCTTTGCCTCCGCGTCGTCCACCAGACAACAGAGCCACCACCGGCCGACCCCACTCTTCAAGCTGGACCCTTATTTTCACATTTCCAAGCTTTCCAGCTTTCGTTCAAAGTCCCACCACTGAGGCTAGGGTTGGTGCCTGACTCGAGTACCTTCCAGCCAGCCAACTCACATGCCTCCGTCACTGCTGCTCAAGTCTGTGCTTTGAAGGGTAGACTCCCCCCCCCTTTATGAACCTCAACGCTTCATTTCGCTTCTTCGGGTCGCCATTCCGGACCCTGTCAGTTGAACACCAGCGGCACAGTCTGGTCCAGACCCGGTTGCGCTCAAGGGAGAACTATGACTGTAAGTGTAAGTACTAGTATTATGCCACTTCAAATGTCGGTTCACCAAGGGCGATGTCTCACTCTCGCGGTGTTCTTGGTTCGTACAAAGTGGTCAGTTCGGGATAGATTGTGTGGTTGTCCTCTCCCTTCGCTTTGTGAATTCTTCCCAAGTGATATCTGAGCGAAGTGAATGATTGAATCAGACCATGGTTGGTGAAAGCTACCTAGAATGACAGGCCACTTTGGTGCACAGTCATATGGCCTGCGGTATCTCTCTGTCTCACCATGGTCATATTCTAGGTCTGGCAGCCGTGGCTCTTTTGTACAAAGGCGCAAAGTCATTCGGACGAGGTGAAGCTGCAGCTCTCATGCGCAATAGCAATTCAATTTCATAGGATGAGGACAGAGGCTCATTGCCAGGTAGTTGATCGAGGGGGATGGTTGACTGCATTCCATTATTGCATTGACTTGATACCTCGTGAAAACAAGTACAGGTCCAAGCGTGGACTACCCTACAACAATTGGCAATCATATCATGTCTCCTCCAAGATGGAGCATTGCATGAAACACACAGAGCATTTATCATGGTCTGAACAAATAAAAAGAGTCCTCATGAATTAAAGTGGTGCACCTAGCGCTTCATATATAGTCAAGGTACCTAGAAAGGTAATCAAGCAGTATGTTGGACCGATGACTTTTGGATGATGTACATGTGAAATCATATCGTACACCACGATCATCAGTGTCGTGTTGGAGCAGCCTACATGCGTATCTGAGTAGCTCCAGGACTTTATTCTATCGACGCTTCCAGGACCTAGCTATATGGCAGTATACTGTAATCTCAGTTACCATACATGTATGTGAATTAATACAGCTCCATCTTCTCTAAGTGAATCAAGCCGTTCGGAGGCTGTCTCTAACGTCAGCAATTTTCACAAGTTCAACAAGAGTAAAACATCACTGACCGGGATAAACTGGCGTAGCTTGACGCCCGCCTGTCTAAACACCTCTGCCGCCTCGGTATCCATACTGTACCCATGAGCATACACCACCTCCGCGATGCCAACCTGGCAGATCTTGATGCTACATGTCAAGCACGGGCACGTATCGCAGTACAGCACGGAACCCTCCCGGATACGCTCCCGCCCGGCCTCCAGGAGCGCGTTCTCCTCGGCGTGGATGCACAAGCAGGTGGCCAGTCCGACTCCCGAGCTGTTGCCCTCGTTGCATCGGGGACAGCCGCCGTCGGCGCAGTTTCGCAACCCGCGCGGCGTGCCGTTGTATCCAGTGCTGATGACTCGCCGCTCTCTGCCAACCAGGACGCAGCCGACTCGGCGCTTCATGCAGTTTGATCGCTGAGAAGCCAGAGACGCCAGTTCCATAAAGTACGTGTCCCAGCCTGGCCGCATGCGGTCGGGATTGGGAATGTCGAGCTTCCCTAGTGTTGCGTAGAGATGAGCCAGGGAGGACGAAGTGTTGAGCAGCCTGACGGTGGCCCGCGAGATGAGCGGCTGTAGGCCTGTGACAGGGTCGTAGAGGTGCAGGTCATTCTGCGCGACAAAGTCCTCGAGGCTGATGGCGGCTTGCTCGGGCTGCTTGGAGCGCTGCTGGAAACGCCGCCAGCGCACGGTGAGCGGAGCGTCGATGGAGATGAGCAGGAAGAATGGCCGGCGGATGAAGACGTCCAGCACCTTTTCCGTGGGGATGTCCGTCGTCACAAAGCGGCTGCGCCATCGTCGAGTGACAAAGTCCAGTAGCTCTTCGGCCGTGGCAAAGACGTGTGAGGAGGTGCTGCCGTTGCTCACAGCGAGGGCATTTGAGGAGGCCACATTGCTGCCGTCTGACGATGGAGATGAATTGTCTGTAGCCCGCTGATCTTTGACTGGCACAGCAGGGGTCTGTAGGTAGAGGTGCTTGAAGCCGTGATGCTCAACCAGATATTGCGCTACCGTCTTCTTGCCTGAGCATATGCCTGCGTCTCCAGTTAGTCACTGTGTTCTTCTGGGGAAAATTTCACTTGGTTTACGAAGTGCGTACTGCCACAGATGCCAACGAGCATCTTGCTCTCAAGCCCGCAAAGATCGCGAGCTCTTTCTGAATTACACGGAGTCTCACGACTGCAGATGGAGGAACGAGTCTGCTGGACGTCCAAAATATTTCAAGGCGGCCTTCGCAGGTGGGGCGATGCGGAGGTTAACACCTGAGTTTATCGACACTTCCCCTAAGTAAGATGTGGACAGTTCCCAAGAATGGCCTTGCCGAAAGCTATAATCTCAGGAAAAAGTCGATGATTTAGATAGGAAACAAAAGGAAAGCACGAAGCCAGATAAAGGTCTCTATTAAATCTCGAGTATTGGCGTCAAGACTGGAACAATCAAGGTTCAGAAAAAGAAAGCAAAAAAAAAAGCCAAAAAAAAAAACATGCCCTCACACAGATTTGAACTATGGACCTTCGCATTACGAGTGCGACGCTCTACCCCTGAGCCATAAGGGCATTTGGCAGCTAACTCTGAGCTGTGGAGCCCAGATTGTTGCATGGTGACTGATGCAAACTTAAATCCTATATAGGTATCTAACTCTACCTGCTTAAATTGTTCAGTTTGTCCACCATCCCTGCTCTGAATACCCTACGATACCTCACACAAGGCTGGACAAACCGCCTTACCTTGTGGTACAGGCATGATTTCCGGCACTCGAGTTTTGAACTGTTTCCTGGACCATAATAAACGTGACGCCTATCTAACATTCATAGAAGCTTCAATGGCAAAACCTGGGTGGTGATGAAGGTGGAGGCTACGTGACTGTGCCGTGTTACTGAACTTCTTGTATGTCTCCCCCTTGATTACATTGACCACATTGATACGCCACATCGTTGTTGCTTTGTTTAGGATAGTATGACAATGCCCCAGATGTGAAAGTCTGTATTGATATTGACAAGCATATAGGTAAGTAGGCTTGTGCATACCCATACATCTCATCTCAAACATCTTACTCCGTTCGTTGTCATAGTGTAGACCCTTCGACAACTGATGCTTTACAACTTCAATCTTGAGAATGCAATCATGCTACCCCCTTCTATTTCAGCACAACGCCGCTGACTTCAAAGGTCTGCACTTGACCACTGGAAAAAGACACAGAGAACCTCCCATTGTTAATCTTCGTGTCCGTGAAGCTCCTGTACTGATCCCCCCCGCCTGTCTGTGTGCTCCATCGTGGCACTGTTGCACCATTGCTGCCCGCAGTTCTGGCACGGCTGAGATCGAAAGTGATGGTCTGGGCACTGCCCCAGTTCGCGGCGACAATGACAAGCTTCTGAGAACCAGCGTCGTAAGCAACGGCGGTATTGTCATCAGGGGTAGACAAGATCTGCATGCCCGGTCTGATATGGCGGGTGAGTTGCGCAAGGACAAAGTATTTGGTGCTTGCCGATGAGAGAGTCAACTGGTCGTTGTCACCCACAATGAGTCCCCAGCCGGCGCCGTCAATGGCCTGCCAGTAGACCCAGGCAGTGGGATGGAGCCAGGTAAAGTCGAGGAGCAGGTTTTGATACATGGACTTCCCACTCGCATCCGAATCGCCATATTCGCTGTTCCAAAGCCGCTTACCAGCCTGGCTCGCAAGGCTGTAGAGAGTGTCACGCCGGCCACCGCTGCCCTGGTAACCGTGGACATTGATGCGCTTCACAATATTCCGGACGGAGCTGTTGAAGCCCTGCCAAGTTGAAATGGCCAAGTCGTAGCTGGTCTCGTCGGACGAAGCCACGAACGATGACAAGCCACGCGATGAAAGCTCTGTGTTCAGATACCCGATGACTGTGGCCATGGTCGACACACCGAAATGGCAACCTTCTTGGGTACCGTCAGCGGTCCACCAGCTGGAAGACGGCTCGTTGAACGCCTCGACTGATTGGAACTCGATCCCCCAGCTCTGTTTAGCATGCTGAGCAATGTTGGCAAGGTAAACGGCATGGTTTTGGTAGTTCCACGACTGGAGGTTGTCGGTTGCGCCGCTCCCCGACGGATTGTGGTTATTGCACATCCACCACATGGGGGAGTTGGAGAAGAGCTCAAAGATGTTGGCCCCGTTTGCTCTGGCCTTTTGCAGCATTGCTCGCTGATTGGCATCGACGTTCCAGTTCCAGCTCGACGACGAAGGGTCGGTGCTGGCCCAGTCGAGCCAGTACCCATCCACTTGTCGAGATGGCTTAATGTTGGGCGAAACCACCATGGTGGCACCGTCGTAGCTGTTGTTGCTGCATGCGCCGGCGTTGTATCGAGCAATGTTGAAGCCCAGGCCGGGTAGAGTCTGGCCATTGACGGCTTGATTGTTTCTGCTGAAGAAGACACTGGCTAGATCATCGCGGTTGCCAAAGGCCTTTGCCCACCAGGCGAGAGATACGCCCCAGCCTTCCCAGGTTCCCCAGTTGGAGTTTGGGTCGATGGAAAGCGTGGTGTCAGCCCTGGCTGTCTGAGAAAGCAGAGCAAGGGCTATAGATGAAAGGACACTGGATCGCATGATGACTGAATGGGTTACGAGTGGAGATGCTCGGATGGAAATGCGCGATGCAGATGGCATATACAAAGCCAATTGTTGTGGTTGAGCTCATTCTTATACTTCCATCAAGGAGGTCCATCTTCATGGCCAAACCTGCCATCTTGCTGCACTGCAACACAGAGTGCCATCAAATACGTAGAATCTCGGCATTGAAAGTCTTGTCATGGGCTCGCTTATAAAGAAGTGGAGGCTATATATTTAGGCAGATAGGGAGAGGTGAAGACCTCATTGATGGTCTTTCTACTTGCGTAATTGAAGGTTTGCTATTCGAGCGGTTATGGTCTATGCACCACAAGTTGTTTTCTCTTTGGCATTTGCTTGTTTCTGCTTATTGATTCAGAACGTATCTGGAAGCTTTCAACAGATTATAGGTACTATTCTATGATCATGGTAGATTGAAGGCTTAGTACAAGGATCATAGCGAAAAAGTCCTCGAAAAGTCATGGATTGCAGGTAAACCCCGCTTGTCGGCTCCCCCGTGTGAGAGTTATATGCTTCCTCTCAACGTCTTCAGCTAGAGACAATACATGTGCTTCTGTCCATCAACGTGCTAGATGTCCGCAAATGGCGGACATGAAAGCTCTAGAATGGCCTTACACGGCCCGAGTTGACTTTGCAGGGCCTAGGTTGCTAGATCAACGCATCTTGCAACCATCCTCTGAGAGAGATTGCTTGTATAATATTAGCTTGCTACCGTCTTTACATAGTGGAGATGGACCGGGGCAGCAGCTGTGCGTGAACCCCCCGCCTTTCTCGAGAATCATTTCCGTCTTCCTTGGTTCTCTCTGATTCCCAATGCCTCATTTCTTCTAGCTTCTAGCAGTATACACCACCATTGACTTGTAAGCATGAGGCCATCGCTTGAGACAATACAATATGATGAAGAAACCATTCTCCACCACAAATTCATGTGGAAGATTGTGACCGTCTACCTTCATATGCTTGTACGACAAGCCAAATGCCTCATACAAGGGGTTTTGTGGTTTGGTGAGGGTGCTTGTATTAGACGCCCATCCATAAACATGCGGCCTCTCATGCAGCCATACCCTGCGCGCCAGGATCCAGGCCAATGGGAAGATTGCAACGCCAGCCAACACGGCGATTTTGCGACCAGGGACTCACCAAAATGCACGAAAAGATGAGGCTCTCGAGGTAGAGCAGTGTTGCTGCCTGCAGATATTCGTGGCAGTGCTTGTAGCTACAAGAATCACAATGCAAGAATGTCTCTTAGCTGGGCTCCTTTTCTGACTTTGTTCGATCATCATCACCCTTCGTACGACCATACTTGCTTGCTTGTTTGTGAGAAAAAGGCAGAAAGAGGGTCATCTTCATCAGCCAGTTATGCGCCGCATCTTGAAGCAGTTGCCCCTCAACGTCCCAGGAGGCGACGATAAGAAGAAGTCAAGTCGCGCAAACGGAAAGCCGCCGTCTGCAGTGCAACATCAGATAGATGCTACGCAAGACGATCTATTGCAAGAGGCCCGTTCGCAATTCACTGGGCTGCCCGTACAAACGAACCAAAAGCGTATCCATGGCTTGATAGAGCTCGTTAGCCAACCCTCGGATCGGAGCGATGCCGTCGACATCGTCGCTATTCACGGGCTCAACGGACATTACGAAAATACATGGGTCGATGAGAAGACGGGGTGCAACTGGCTGAGCGATGCATCCTGTCTTCCAAAGGATGTCCCGAATGCCAGGGTTCTCAGCTATGGCTACAACTCGATAACCCATCTTAGTCGGAGCAATACAGATATCCGCGATTTTGCATCGACCCTACTCGCTGCGCTGAGAGCCAAACGGAGGACCAGCGCCGAGAAGCAGCGGCCTCTCGTCTTCGTATGTCATGGTCTTGGTGGGTTGGTGTTCAAACAGGTGCGTGCTATGAGAACTCCGCATGAGTTGATGAGACGAGTTTTTGACCAGGAGCAGCTTGTTGTCAGGGGTCATGAGCAACATGATTACTATGGACCGATGCTCGCAAGGTTACAAGGCGTCGTGTTCATGGCGACGCCTCATAGAGGATTAAACCTCAGCTTTTGGGACAGCCTCAGGCCGCGAATTGCCCGCGCAGCAACTTTTGGCTTCAAGTGTAACACGAAGCTGATCAAGGATCTTAAAGCGGACTCGGAGATGCTGAAGCGCATTTCAGACTCATTTGCCTATAGAGGGGCAAATCTCAAGATACGAAGCTTTTATGAAACAGAACGCATGCTTCGCCATAGTAGATGTGTAGGTCATGCCATCCAGGATTTTGCCTCCCTAACCATCAACTCACGTCTCATTATGACTTTCTAGATAGTAGACAAGGACTCCGCTAGGCTGGGATGGAGCAACGAGCTTGACATTGCATCGCCATCAAATCACTCCAACATCTGCAGATTCAAGTCGCGAGACGATCCAAGATACGAGACGGTACTTTCTGAGTTACTCGACATTATTGATGCAGCGGACGGCAACGTTGATGTTACTCGTGAGCCCTCGCTGGCGCTGACGGGGTGATGCTATCCTACCATTCCCGCCATAAACACTTACTGCTCGAGAAAGAAGCTGTATGCGGCAGTTGAGCACGGCATATATGAGCCACCTCGACCAGACTGACGAACAATTTCCTCTGGATATTCTATCTCATGAAGACCATTGAGAAGATTCAGCAATAGATGTTGTCTCCAGAATCAGATCTAGAGAAGCTAGCTATTCTTTTGCTTCTTTGGTCTACTTGACCCGGAAGAAGCTGGACTCGAGGGAGACGAGTTTTGTTTTTGCGCGACTACCTGCAGTCGCACATCGGTGCGGATACACATTGATGCCATCGAAAAGACGAAGAGGAGAACTACGATAGTGGCAACGCGGACGATGAGGCGGGAGATGAGATCCCGGATTGGGTCAAGTACGCTTATACGACGATCAGGGTATTGGCGAGAAACTCGCTGATGATGAGGGTGAGAATTCCTGAGGTAAATCTTCCCGAGCTATCGAGCTACAAAGAGCGGCCTTGGGATGGTTGTACGCATGCTGCTATCAAGAGATGTGTAACCGCCAAGGTTGAGCTTGGAGGGATGGATATTGTACTGTTTGTAGGGTCTTGGGAGATTGGGAATTTGGTGTTCTTGTTGGCGTTGAATTGGTACCATGATGGAACACTCCGACGGAAATGTATGGAATCCAGAATGATTATTCGTAGAGCTATCCTAGCCATGTAACGTTTATCGATCATAATAGATAATGAAAGCAGCACTGGTAAGACTAATCCAAACTCCAACCGTCTCTGGACCGGGATAATCTCAACCATCCAAAGAGCGTTTAAACTCTGTAAAAGAGTTAAAGAAAAACAGCAGCCTGATTGAGAGACACAGATCTGAAATCGCATCTCACTCAACCTCGGTCAACGACGAGGGGACAATCATCCTCTCTTCCCTCCGCATTTCCCACAGAGACTGAGGCTCAATCACCTGGCACGGCAACCGCAAGTAGTAGATGGCGTCCCCCAAAAACCGAATCTCTTCCTTTACCGGCTCAGAGCACACGCAAATGTCCTCCCAACCGGTCTGCGAGACAACAGCCTTCCATGCGTCGACAATCACAGAAGTGAGGTACAAACCAATATCCCAGGTGCCTCGCCAAGTAATGGAGGGCCCCGTGCTCGAGGCTCGATAGATGAAAGCACACGCCTGCCCCTGCTCCTCGCCATTCCACAGCACCAACGTGTGCAGCATAGGCATTCTCATGGCAACCCTTGCGGCATCGTGTAGTAGAGCAGCTGCTTCCGCGGGAGATCCCGAGTTCAGCGCCGGAGATGTCAGGCACAAGGATCGTAAGTGCCACCAAGTGTAGTTTTCGAAGCAGCACGAGAAGAAGACCTTTGCGTCAAACAAGAGCGACACCCAGATCTCTTCATACACAGTGCTTGCCCAAGCAAAGGCCCCGGTGATTATGGGAATCACTTGTGTTTGAAAGTTGCCATAGCCAGGCAGTTCGTTCAACGCGACAGATAGCTCATCATTGGTGTGTTCGAAAATGACCAGTTTCCGTATCGTCGTTACGGGGGCGTCAATGTCCAGCACCAGGTCTATAAGTACATGTTAGTCAAAAGAGGTATGCCAAAAGTTGGTCAGAGGCGTAATTCCAATCGCAATAAGCTACGTTGTTCATATAGAAAGGGAACAAGAGCATCGACGCACCTGGATCCAAATGAAACAGCACATCATACGCGTAGTACCACGTTCGCCATGGCTCGTATATCAACTCTTCCAAGCAAGGCATCATCTGCAGTATCTTCGTCAGAACCGAAGGGAGGATACAGCGGCGGAACGAACGGCGAATCACGAAGCTGGTGACGACTGGAGCAGGCGCTGTATCCTATGAGCCGACACCTCGTATGAGCCCGTAGACTCGCCAAATATAACTCGGTAAGCCAGTCTCTGTCCGTTGGCCGCTGGTCCAGCCGTGGTGAGGGTCGTGCAAAGGGATGAGAGATCTCCACGTCTGGACAGGGGCTCCGTAGTAGTAATGCCTATACCAATGTAAACAATCGCTGTCGGAGTACGCATTAAGCTCCAGTTTGAGTCCCTTTCCCGGCTGCCGCTCCGGCCAAGTGCTGAGAACTTTGAGGAGCTTGTAGAGAGGCCCGATTACGAAGCCAGTGTTGACGCCCATTTCTATCGTGTCCTCTTCCTCCCGGCAACGATCGCATTCGTAGGGCAGGAGGCGCACATTGAGATGAATGTGCCGCACCCGATTCCGCCTCTCCTTTGTGATATTCTTCTGCAGACCCTTGATGTTGTCTTCATCCAAAGTGATTCTTCGGAGGTTTTCTGTTTCAATGACCGACTGCCATTCTGTGCAGACGGATGCAAGCGAAGCCCAGCCAGGGTGCTTGTCGCGTACAACCACCATCAAGATCGATTGTCGGATCTCCCATGGCAAGCCAGACCAAGGTGCGCCAATCCACATTGTTTTCGAATCGGCAGACTGGGAAAGGAGAATATGAGGTGCTGAGCGAGGAGTCGCTGACGGCTTGCGTTTCGTTGACGGATGGACTGACATGGAGTCAATAGCCACCTTTATTGGCAAGTCGGAAACAAATCGATAAAAATGCTGCGGGTGTCTTTTGCTCTCAAACTGGCGCCTCTTGGCGTTATCTTGAGAGTAGATTCAAGAAATAACAGAACCAAGGGCAGAGCTTGCAAAGCCAAGCTTTGTTTGATCTTTGGTACGTATGAAGTTGCATGTGACTTGAAATATCGAAGTAAGAACGATCCGGGCAACTCCAACTTAGTTTGTACGTCTCAGAAGGAAAGTACATGTCGTCTATCAACTCTCCATGAATACCAATCTGACTGTTGCCCAGGGCCACCAGGGGACGATGCTGTAAAGCCCTACAGCTTCTTACACTACCATCGCGCGCCATGGAGGTTTCTGGTCATGGCATAGGCACTTGTAACATGGAAGTTTACCATGTTACAAGGCCCTGAAAATTCTTTTTGGTATTTATGACCGTGATATGGCAAGTAAGAGGCTCGTGGGACCCATGACGAGAATATCCATCCATTACCAGAAACCCCTATGGCGCGCGAGGGTATTGAATCCCTCTTCAATAATTGTGTCAACGCAAACACACCATTGGTTCAATCTGAGTGCCAATGTGAGTGCTTCGAAACATTGCTGAACTGATCATGTAAACCCCCATCTCATCAGACTTCACAATATCGGACCACTTCCTTTCACAGTAGCAATAAATACTGAACCTCCACACAGGCTCCTTCTTCTCCCAGACATGAGCCTCACACCGATAGAACTAGCATGGGCGTAACCTTGTCCATTGAGATCCTACCTCTGACCAGCACGGAATCGGGCGTTTGCCCATTTCGTGGTGTAAGCACCACTATGCGTTAGTTGCAAGCTGCGGGTTGTAAGCCGGCATGACGCCACTCAGATAACTCGAGGCCAAGGATTCCTCATGAGGAGTTATAGCCAATTGAGCTTTCTATAGTGAGTAGATCCCGTAATCACCCCCGCGTCTTATACATATTCATGCCCAATGGGTCTATGGAGCTTTCGTGTGTCTTGTGTCGAACGGGCATCGGTTTAAGAAGACATAATCCTTGGCTTCTATTCTGGATATCCTAGTCGGGGTAATTCTGAGAACCTACACACTTCTAGACTGGTGATTACGAGTCAGCAATTCTCTGTTTCCAGCCCCATTATAGAAACGGAGTTGAAACTATTTCAGAGAGCCAAAGACGGTTGGATGAATTGATAAAAAGTGACAGTCACTAGTATGAGTGATTGGTTGACTATGCCTCACAAGCTGTTATTCTTCGAGGCGATGGAGCTAGAGAACAGTCTGACATGCAGTTTATTATACGACAAGTCAGAATATAGACCGGCGTGGGATACACTACGAGTAAAGGCTTAATCAAGTTCATGCTTTCGTCTCAGATACCACCTACATATATGAGAGACACCTGTTGCCGCGTCCATCTGATGTCCAAGTCTCAACTCAACCTCAACTATCTCAAGTCAATGCCAGGAGCAACACTCGCCTACCATCTTCCCAATCAAAGCCACATCACATCTCCTTCAAATCACTACATTCCTTAGCCATGCCCGACAAGATTCCCACCCTCGTTGAATCAGGCCTCCTCAACGGCGGCAAGCGCTCCGTCATCGCCTCAGACCTCGGCCCGGGCTCAACCACATTCCCCCACTACCACAAGACCTTTACCGAAAACTTCAAGCTGCACTCGGGCTCTCTCACCATCATTGCAGCGCCAGAGGGCGTCAAGGACGCGGCCGCCATGCGGGAGTTCAACCTCAGCGTCGGCCAAGACAGCACCATCCCATTGTCCACGGCACACAAGTTCCTCGCCGGCGAGGACGGCGCAACCGTTACGGTGACGTTTGAGCCCGCGGCGATTGGCTTTGAGCGCACGGTGCTCATCATGCGCGGGCTGCAGGAGGACGACGAGTACAAGTCGTGGGGCGGTGGCGCGAACGAGGAGAATGCCATGTTTGTGTCTGTTTTGGCCGAGCTGACGGATTCGCATCCGCTGACGGCGAACGATGCGGACATGATTGAGAAGCAGGACAGGGAGGCGCATGAGAAGTTGAAGAGTGAGCTCATCGGGCGGTATGCTACGGATGAAATGATCAAGGAGGCGGTGGCCAGGACTGCTGCTGCATCTGCATAGGTAGTGTCTGATGTGCAAGGGGTGAAGCTGGCAATATAACTACCAGTCAGTGGTGGGATGAGGCATTGCAGCATATCGCATTTGACTGTGAAAGCTTGCTGGTATTCTTCCAAATCACGCTGAGAACGAATCAAGGAGTCTGCAGTGAAGAGTGATAGTATATGCTTCTTCTATATGCCGTTCTGAGAGGAGGGTGATCTATATACATCTACAAACTGCTAGCTATACTATATGTGAGTCTATCATAAGGTATTTTCAATTCTTGGGCGGTCGATTGGCAACAATCTCCTTCAAAATCGCATCCGCACCGGCCTTGACAAGCCTCTCCGCCAACTCCTTTCCAAACGCCCGAGCCTCATCATTCGTACGAACCTCCGCATCGAGAGAGTCCTCAACACTCCTCGTCCCATCCAGACTCACAACAATCGCCCTCATCCTCAGAACCCGCGCCCCGTCACCAACCCACTCCGTCTCAACCCCAATGGGAACAGTACAACCCCCCTCAAGGGTATACAACAACGCCCTCTCCGCAAGACAAGCAAGCGTCGACTTTTCATCCGCCAACCGACCAAGCAGCTCCAAGACCGCATCATCCCCCTTTCGTATCTCAAGTCCCAGCGCTCCCTGCCCGACGGCATGCAAGATGCCGCCGTCCTTGGAGCCCAAGTACTGGTTGATGCGATGCTTGAGGCCGACGCGCTCGAGCCCCGCGGCGGACATGATCATGCACGTGTACTCGCTCTCTGGATCGTCCACCTTGGCGAGGCGAGTCTCTACGTTGCCGCGCAGATTGGCGAAGCGCAGATGGGGGTACAGGCGGCGCAGCTGGGCCGACCGGCGGACTGAAGAGGTGCCGACGATTGCGCCCTCGGGAAGGGTCTTGAGAGTGGTGTAGGGCATGCCCGCCTTGACGATGAGAGCATCGCGGGGGTCGTCACGGAGGGGAATGGCCGCCAGATCGCACGATTCAGGCAGCCTTGTGGGCATGTCTGCTCTTGCAGTCAGTGTGATATACTCCAATCAGCAAGGAAAGTTGTGTCATGATGACCAACCTTTGAGGCAGTGAACAATGACATCCAGATCCCGAGACGTCAGCTTGTCCTCCAGCTCCGCCGTCCACAGGTTCTTTGCGCCAAAGTTGTACAGCTCCGTCGACTTGTCCTTGTCGCCCAGCGTGTGAAGGGCGACAATCTCAAAGGCGCGGTCGGGCGCGATGCGCTGCAGGCTGTCGCGGATGCCCTCGGCCTGGACGACGGCCAGGTTGGACCTCCGGGTGCCGATTCGCAGCGGCGGCAGAGGGGCGCGAGGCGGTTCTGACATGTTTGTTGACGATGAAGATGAAGATGAAGATGGAGATGGAGTGACTTGAGTTGCAATCTTACATTCAATGACATTTCACGCAGTTGCAACTAAGTGTGTGGTGCGGTGCGGTGGATCTTCGGCACCTTTTGTTCGTCGGATAGCCTACCTACGTATCTATCTGTGCGCGCATGTAAGTTGAACGTTTACGCAAGAGAAACGTGCCCTCCTGAAGAGAATATGAGGGATGCCTCCTCAATTGCTTGGTAGCTAAGTTTAGATAACTGAAATAGACTAGGTGTCTACTCAGAAATTGTCTGCTTTGATTCTATCGTGCCTGATATCAGCAACTCATTGGGGCTTCTAGAGGCCGAATCACATGTAATCCACAGCTTCAAGCAAAGTCGCCCTTTAAATGCGTTCCAGCTAAAGTATTTTTTGAAAAAGAAAGAAAGAGATAGCCTGAAGAGTAGAAGAGAAACGGCTATTTGACTTTTCCTGCACTGAAATGGTTGCCATCTCACAGCACCTGTGATAGGTAGTTCAGTATTGCATGGTAAGTAGGCAAGTAATGGAGAAACACCATAGCGTCCCATCAGCACCTTTCAAAACTATATACCACATATCATCAGTTGCAGCTTATAGAAAGGCAATCCTTCTGTATTAGTTCTTACAGAGAAACGGAAAATTGACTCCTATCACAGTGAGAAATAGCTTGCTAGGTTCATTGTCCATCGCAAGAGTCGGTGTCGTCCTGTTAAGGTTACCATAAAGCCATCCAATCGAACAATCGAAAAGGCAACCGACCGGGATAAGCCATCCATCAAGTTTAGATCACAGCCTTCAAACATCATGTGATACATCAACAAGGAGCGGCATATGCCAGGTACACAACATGTACACTACACTACAGCACAGCTACAGCAGGATAAACAGCCAAAAGCCCAGCCCCCCCCCTGTCGACTTTCAGGAGTTGATAGGTCACAAGCTAAGAGATGCACCCTCTCCTCCATCTGCCGGTGTCTCTTCAGCTCTCCTCCTTTCTCCCATGCAGCTCTCCAGACTGCCAACGCCGCCATTAAGCGATCTCTCGCCAACGCCGAGTATTACATGCGCAAGTCGTACGTTCTCTCTCTCTGTCCTCTCACCTTGCAGTAGCTTGTCTGCTGGTGCTGGTGCTGCTGCTCCCCCCTCCCAGCTGAGACATGTGAGTGTGATGTGTAATTTTCCCGCTGGCAAAACTGTTCCATCAAGCTTCCTTTCATTCACCGCTTGACTTTGCATGTGATCCTCCTTTTACGCATCTGCTTCGCTACGAGTCATGTTTGACGTGGAAGACAAAGCTGCGAGGGGAGGTTTCCTTCTTTCGACACGCCTTGATGGCGTTAGGCGTCGGCAAAGACCCTTTGATCTTCATCTCCCCATCTTCATCCGTCCTCGCCGTCTCCATCCTCGACGTTCAAAGGGACCATGCCAAGTTCTCCATCAAAAGGCACCGGCACTGTCGGCACGTAAACTGACAAGGCCTCGAATCTCTCTGCCTCCCTGTTCCACTAGGCTGCTTAAGTCAACGACTGTCAGAACCTTACATAGAGACCAAGACAAGTCAACCGGGATTATTTTTAGCAGCATGCCCTTTCTCGTCAAGCGGTCATGGAGGGCACTCGCCCGTTTCTATTGTTCTTCCCCTCACTCGCCTTACTATCGTCGTCCAGCTTATCATTTACCTAATAGAAATCCGAGTCCCCAACCTGGGCAGCGTTCCTTGGTGCTGAGCTCAGTTGTGCAGATGGCAGTCTTCACGTGAGGGTACCTAGGTATGCAGAGTCTGGCTTACATGGGGCCCTTACGGAAACGGTTCTGGCAGGATGGAGACGGAGACCCCTAGAGCATCGCCAAGAGTGACACCCAAAGGTCGGGTAAAGGAGCAGACACACACACTGGATGCAAGTGTATCCCGGAAGCGGGCGAACATCAGACGGATAGGAGCCGTGGCCTGGTGTTACCCGCACTCGTCATCTCTTGGCGTTCAGGAGGACATCAAAGGCAGCAGCAGGGAAACAAATGGTCGGACAAAGTGCCAGTTCAATCTCGGTGTTATCAAGGTGCGGACATTAAGGCTGCTAGCCCATAGACGCTTTCTGCATATGCCGTGCGCCTACGCTCCTGGTGCGACCTGGACTTACCTTGCATCGGCCGCTGCTCATTGCCAACACTATCGGAACCAAAACTGAATCGATTGTGTCCCCGAGGCGGCGCAGAGGGCGAGACACGAACAAGTTACAGCTCGTAAAGCGGCAAAGAACCAAGACGGACGGTCTGCCGAGGCGTCGACTGATTGAGACGAGGCGCAAAACGACGGCTAATCGACAGGGCCAATCGAACGCGGGTAATCGAACGCAAACTGGCGAGAAGTGCGAAGTGAGGTGCTGAAGTGAGGCGGTATTAGCCTGGCATAATAGGTAAGGTAGTAGCAGTAGCAGAAAGATGAACCCTTGTCTCCTTGATAATTGGCAAGTTTGACGTCGCGCTCAGGAGCGTCTTCCAATGGGAGCTCCCGAAGTGATACATGACATGGAACAACTTAGCTTGGCCAGGGTCGGCTCTGCAGCTGTTGTTTTTCGTTCTAGTAGTGTCTTCAAATGCCATTCAGGGGGTCGGCGTTGTAGTATTCCAAGTGCTTAAAAGGTTCGGGGTTTAGGCGGAGCATGAGAGCGAGTGTGGAGCAGACAGGCCAGTGACGGCCAGACTATTGAAGCAGCTGTCGTCTGATGGACAAGTCAGTCAGTCAGTACTACTACTACTACTACTACTACTACTACTACCGGGGCGACTAAGATGGCTTCCGGACGGGTAGAGGCAGACTCCATGTATGCTGATGGCACCAAGGACGGGACGCTGTATGTAATGATGTATGTTGCAAGTACGCAAGCTCGCACATGGCCAAAGCGGGCAGCGTCCAACGTGCCGTGCGGTTCGTGCCTCGTGCCACCGTCCCTCGGACCAGTCCGTGCAAGCAGAGCAGCAGGAGGCCCAGAATATCGTCCACGCGGATCGCGGCAACGACCCACCAGACGCTGGCTTGGGGCCGGCGGTGGGCCGCGGGAAGTGGTGAAGCTGCGTTTTGACGTTGTGGGGGTGAGGAGATTTCGACGAGAGGGCTCCAGCAGAGCGTCGGGCACTCGCGACTCGGAGCGCGGAGCGCGAGTATGCGAGGACATGGTGGTGATACTGTTCGTGTCGTCATGTTAGCAGCAAGAATGGCAGTGTAGCACTGGCAGAAGCAACGCAATGACGCAGCAACAAGGCAGATACCTACATACTGGACTCGATTGTCCTGTACTGTAGAGGTGGTGCATGAGACATGTGCCGATAAGTGCATCCTACCTGAGACCAGGGTTGTGAGACACTGATTTGGTGTCTGTCGGCCAGGGGCCGCTGGCAATGCGACCTGTGCAACCCGACAATGCCGCATCTAGATCGAGGTTGTCGACACAAGTACCGAATCGCTTCCGATGCGGCTGTCACACTGACCTTTTCTCTTCTCTCGTCTTCTCTTCTCCCTCTCTCGCACCGTCTCTCTCTCTCTCTCTCTCTCGTATTAGTACTACTACTATGATGCCCGTCTTGGCCTCTCCCTTGCGTCAATGACATACCACACTCCGCGTCCATCCTCCAGTCAAGAGCGGCCACGGCACAACACCAACAGCCCTCAAGGCCCAACAAACGTCGACATCGCCAATCGCCGGACGCACGCGCCGCTGCGAGGGAGAGGCTGATGGCGGTTAGGCCTCCATGGCCCATCCACGGACGATGCTCTGGGCTGGCCCGTGCAGCACTGCGGCTGTGATGCCTGAGGGAGTGTAGGTATCCATGCCCATGCGATGCCCGAGCTATCGCAGTAATAGGTAGGTACTGTAGATCGTTAGAGTACCTCACTTGAAGAGAGAAAATTTGATCCTTTCTGGCTCGGCTGCTGAGTCTGTCCTATCAATCGAGCCTGATTACCGCCGCATCCCCCCGCCTTCCCTGTTTTGCTGTTGTCTCATTGCTCTTTCTTCTTTTTCTTCTTCTCTCCCCTCGCTGCTCTATCAGACTACCTAAATAGGTACCTCCGTGTACCTTGAGGCATGTCGGGAAATTCTACGCCCGAGCTGCAGCCCATGGGGTTTGATTCCATGCTTGGTGTCCGTATACAATATGTCGCCGCAGCCAGCCTGCTGCAACGGTTGAACATGTGCCAAGTACCGGTACCTGCACCTGTAAGGTAGTTGTGCCTGTTGAGGTAGGTGGTGAGTGAGAAGCTTCGGAAGTGAGGTCACTTCATGCAGCATCCAGGCGGGAATCATCAAATGGAGAGAACACAAAGGCAAGGTAGGACGGTACCTATAAGGCACACGCTGGTCGGGAACAAGTACTCGCAAGTACATCCAGCACTTGGTCAACGCGGGCTGCATAACAAGATCTGAGATCTGATACAGCAGCCAGAAGCTAGGATGCGACGAACCTGTGGCACTAAGGCCGGCTGCCCCTGGCCGGGCCTTGCGGACACGGCGAATAGGGATCCGCATTGACCTGCAGGAGGAAGCAAGACGGGCGAGCGAGTAGAGCTGGGCTAGCGAGTTTGATGGGAGGAGGAAAAAGGGATAGGAGATGTGAAGTGAGAGATGGGGAAAAAAGGGGTGGTTGAGAGGTGGGAACAAGAGAGCGCCAGCTGCGTGTGAGGTCGTACAGATCGGGAGTTGAGGGCATCGCCAATGAATGGCTGATGACTGACGGTTGACAGAAGTACTCGTAGGTGCATATATGTACATGTAGTTTCTGCAGATGTACCTAAGCAGACAGTCAGCCAGCAGAGAATATCCCAAGATACCTACCTTAACCTACACCCCCGATATATGAGGTATTACACACACACATACAGAGAACACACACCTCGTCTCTTCCAATGATCGGAAGAAAGCAGCACAGCAAGTACCGGTACCTGGCCAGCCCACGTCATAGCCACCCCCTACGCCCAACCCGCCCAACAGCATCCCTCACTGGCCGTCTTCACTCCCTCAGGCTCCATCTTCTCCCCCCATTTTGCTCGCCATCCCCCCCGCCGCCAATCGACCCTCTGTATTTGGACGGCTTCCAAGGTTCTGCGGGGAATCGAGGCGACCTGCACTTGACTTGACCACCCCCCCTTGCCCTCTCAAGCCTCCAGGCTCTGATTAATACTACTACTACCTTACAGGTACCTTAAAGGATTGCCTCGAGCTACTGCCAGGCTAATGTGCCGGTACGGCGCGCTAATGTCGAGCCTTTGTTGTGCCCCATGCTCGGGAGTGCGTGCGAGTTACCTCGAGGGTACCGCTGCCGCTGGTTGCTTGGTTTCCGCCCTATTGGCTCGATTGAGCGCCTCCCCCGGTCCTTGTACGAGTACCTCGACTTCTTTGCCTTGCTTGAGGCGTGCGACGTTAGCTGTGCGCCTGACGTGAATCTTGCCCCGGGCACTACAGGTGTTACAGTGCCTTATATGATGGAAAGATGGCTTGAGCCACGGACAAAACTCTCCTGACATCTCCCTCGACCAACGGCCGGTTCGCCCGTCATAAGGCTTCTTCCCCCCCCATCATCTCCATCGTCACCACGGACATTACATACCATTCCCATCATCAACCCATTGCCATCAAACTGCTACAGCCGCCATCAAGTAGCGTCAACCTCCTCCTGCTGCTGCTGCTGCTGCTCCTCCTCCTCTACCACAACACCTCTAGCATCGTCGTCTACCGTTAGCATCTGACAGCTCCAACAATTCCTCTCCATACTCGCGTCTCTCCATTTCTCACAGCAATGGCCTCGTCCGCAGTGACCATAGCCCAGCTCCCCAATGAAATCATCTCCTACATCCTCGACTTTCTCGACACGCCCTCCGACTTCGAGCAGCGCCAGTACGATGATCCGGCCCTGATCCCAGGCCTCGACCATTCCGACGACTCCCTCTCCAAGCCTCCCCGTGGCGACCTTAAGAGCGCGTCCCTCGTATGCCGCCTCTGGAGACGCTGCACCCTGCCTCTGCTCTTCCGCAACGTCATCTGGAGATTCCAGCACATCATCCGTCCGCCTCCCGGTCAAGATCCGTTGAGCACGGTTGAAGGGCTCGAGTTCCTGCGCTTCCTGATCAGCTCTGGGCTCGACCAGTGCGTCCAGAGCCTGACTATCGTCATCGACTATCCCACGTCTGCCATTGGCGACGACCTGAGCCACCACAACAGCTTCGGCGTTCTGCCCAGCCATGTCCCCTTTCCGATCCTTACGGAGCACGACGATGATCTCGTCATTGAGCCGGGTCCAAATTCTCGCCCAAAAGGCCAGTCCAACAACTGGCTATGGGAGACCATCTTTGACCACCTGGACCTCCTGAGCATCAACCTCGTCAGCTCTCCGGCCATCCTCGCCTCGCTGCTTGGACGGCCAATGGACCTCTCTGGCTGCTGGATCTTTCGCCAACGGTTCCACATCCTCTCCCTTTCGAGACCAGCCAAGTCCGTTGAGAGACACCCTGCCACTTCGAAGACACCAGTGAGCATCAGACCTCGGCCTCATATCAAGACGAGCGTCCCTTGCAGTCTCTTCAGCATCCGTCCATGGGAGTCGATGCTCCTCAACGAAGGCTCTTCAGTCAAGGTCTACACGACATACGAATACTTCAACCACGTGCCCCCTTCCCTCCTCAACGCCCTGCTGGACGCGGGAGACGAATCCATGCAGCACCTGCTGCTCAACACGCTCCGCTCCTTTTCCTACATTGCCATCTTCCCGCTCGCCACCCACATCAACCACGACCTGATCCACCGCATCCCGGCTCTCGAGAGCTTCTACATCCAGATTGTGCCTCGCGCGCCGAGCTTCGCCGGCGACGACTACCGCCATCCCGCCATGGACATCTCCGACCTGTGGATGGAGCGCAACACGGCCTACGCATCGCTCATCATGGCCATCTTTGACCCGCCTCCACTGGGCTCGTGGAGCAGCCTGCAGTACTTTGAGTCGGGCGACGCCATTGATAGGGAAGCCTGGGAGCAGGCTGTGCGGTATGTCATTTTCGCGGCGGGCGCGACGTGGAAGGTTGCTGGTGAGGGCAAGTTTGTCCGGAGGAAGGACAAGGTGCCCATGGCTATTCACACCACTATTTCCGCCTAAAGAGGGGCTTTGGAGCTCTCTTCATCTCTCTCTCTCTCTTTCTTTTACTATTTCCTTTCCTCTCGTCTTCGTTATGTACCGTTCTATCTCGTTTCCGTTGTTTCTCTGTCATCTCTTCTCCCCCTCTTTGCCATTGTCGAGGGGGTTATTTGCCACTGCAACGTCGAATGCTTGTATCATACATAGGATACGCAAGTCGCCATTGCTTTTCATCATTGCATTCACGTCTGGTCGTTTGGGCTATCAATCGAGGGATCCTTGAGGGTCATCTGAGGGAGCCTGCAAAAAGGTTGGTGTTCAGGGATGGGTCAAGCTCCCAAGGTCGTATCGATCGGATTTCGGAATATCACACGAGTTATTAAAAAAAAGTTCTTGTCCGAAGAGGTCATATGAAAGTCTTTACTACCGGAGAATTGCACAGTAAAGTCCTTTGGACGAGTGAGATGTGTTGATACGCTGTTGCAGTGAAAGGGGGCCCTGTCGGAGCTGTCGGAATCGGGCATGTTCGGCAACCGACCTCGGTGCCGTGATTCCAGATGCTTGATGAAGGTGAATGCAACTCTAAACGTCAAGATGAATGGGTAAGGTGGTGGTGAGGTACGTAGTAGTAGTAGTATGCTCCGACTCGTGGTCATGTACGAGCAAGTTCTCGCAAGTAAATACATGTACTGGTGTGGTAGTTTCTTTTTGTCACATCTCCGTGTTGCCCATAACCGCAACGCAACTCAATGGTATATAGTCCAGGAATGCCGCCCTGATCTACTCCTCATCAGTTCTAAATGCACAAGACAATCTCTGACCAGCCCACAAAACAAAAGTCCTCTCCAGACAGACTATTCTTGAAAACGCCTCTATACCATGATGAACAGCGCCATCTAGAAAATGAAACAAAAAATAGGCCCTCTCCCCGTCAATGGAAAAAAAAAAAAAAAAAAAAAAACACCGTCAGGGGGGTCAACCCAGTCAGTCCTCATGGCTGCTCAAGTCCCCATCCTCATCGCTGTCCGTGAGATCCACCCTCCGCTTCTCCATCTCGTGCTCCATCATCTCGCGGTACGTGCTCCAGCTCAGCGCCCCAAAGGCGACGATGATCATGGACCCGCCGAGCACCGCCGCCGGGCTCAGGGGCTGGCCCGTGATGAACCAGTCGGCAATCGCCACGATGAAAATGGTCAGCAGCGCCGCCACGGACGACAGCACGGGCGACGTGAGCGAGATGAGGATGAGGAACGACGCGCTAAACGTGGCGTTGGCCAGCACGGCGAAGAGAATCAGCCAGCATGTGGACGCATCGGGCATCTCGAAAATCTCCAGCCCCAGCCAGTGCAGGATGGGCAGCGGGATCCAGAGCACGGTGAGGGTGAAGAGGCCGATGCAGGAGCCGAATGTGTTTGCGAAAATCATGCCCCGGCCGGGCGACACGCCGTCGGGAGGGCAGGCGAAGCGCTTGTACAGCACCTCGTATAGCCCGTAGAGCACGGAGCCGACGCCGATGATGATGTTGCCCAGGAAGCGGCTGCCGGCATCCACGTCGGCATCACCCTCGCCGCCCTGGCCCGACTGCGCGTCGGATTCGGTTCCGGATCCTCCAGTGTCGCCATAGGCCACGACCAGGACGCCGATGATGGCGATGATGACGGCCACCGACTTGTCCAGTCGCAGCGGCTCCTTGAGCAGCGGGACGGAGAAGGCGTAGGCAAAGAAGGCGGAGCAGTTGTAGATGGCGGTGAGGTCGGACGGGGTGGTGAGGCTGACGGCGAGGTACCAGCTCAGGCCGGCGACGGTCAGGGCCGTGGTGATAAAGGCCGTGGTGCGGGCCAGGTAGCGCACGCTCTTGGCCGCGGGCCGCTGCAGGCCAAAGACGTCGAGCGTCTGCAGCTCGACCATGAGGGCCGTGGAGCGGACGAGCTGCAGGTGGCGGCGCCAAAAGGCCGGCCAGGGCATGTCGCGCTTCTGCAGGCGCAGGATGAGCAGCTGGGCGGGCCACATGAGCACCCAGGAGCTGTGCGTGAAGAACATCATGCAGTAGGCCTTGTCCCAGCCCAGGTCGCCCTGGATGTAGGCGCTCAGCTCCGTCTGGATGCAAAAGGCCACCAGGCTCAGCACCAGGAAGAAGGCCGCGTACGTGTACTTCTTGCGCGCCGAGCTGGCCGCCAGCTGGCCGGGGCTGCGGCTGCGCATCGTCGAGCGTCGAGTCATTGCCGGCCGGGACACGGGGGAGTCGTACGGGTACAGAGGCGTCGAGGCCGAGCGGGAGTTGGACGCGCCAGAGTGTCCAGAGAGTCCGTCGTCGCCGGGGGATCGCGAGGATCGGCCTCGCTCGACGTCCTTGTCGCCAAGATCTCCCGCGTCTGCTGCTGAGTCGGGCTTCGACAGCAGGGGCTCGCTGGATCGGCCGTCTGCCGTTGTCTCGTGGAAGAGGCCGGGTCGAAGATTATCCGGACCCATGGTTCAGTGTCCAAGAGGGCACAGATCGTCGTCGTTGGGCAGCGGCTTGGGTTTGCTGGGGGTATAATGTGGTGGTTTCGTGCTCAATACGAGGTGATTTTTGTCTTCTCTTTCTCTCAGGAGCGAAAGCGTCGTTCGGAGGGTTCGTATTGAGGCAATGGCCGCCAGCAGTGTTTCGTTTGGCGCGAGCGTCGCGGAGCCGTTGGCTGTTGCGGGAGCATGTGGCTGTCTCGAGCGACAAGGCGGGGAGTTTTGTTGGTCGACAAGGCTGAAACTGGTCGGCTGTGCTGAGGCGGAGATCCAGAACCTCGCCGGTGTGCTTTGATGCGATCCGGATCTTTGCTGGCGGAGAATTGGCCGATCCTGATGCTTTGGCCGTGAGATGCTGGTGTTAAAGACCTGGAGGTGAAGATTTGAGAGACGAATCAGCATCAATCCCCTATGCCGTCATCAGATTGCTGACACCACCAAGCAGCCTGTCAGCGCTCTCGTCTCCGCCTTATGGGTGCCGCTAGGGGTCCTTTACCCCCTGAATAGCCCCCGCGGCGCCCCCCCTAGAATAACCCGTCGGCTGCCTGTTGCATCGTGACTGGGTGCCTCCTAGCGTCGCACTGGAAACTGTCAGAGGCTGCATTGTACTGTAACAGCTGACGGTCCATCACAAGGACAAGGACAAGGACAAGGACGCAGCCTCGAGAACAGGCCGCTGCGGCTGTGCGGGAATGACGTCGATGCAGCAGTTGAGGCTGAATGTGAAAACGGCTGCAGTTGCAAAGGGTTGTAGTCCTACATGTACGTAAGCGTGTAAGTGATTGATATCAAGACACCAGCTCCGTGTCTGGGTTGCCTTCATGTGGCGGCATGTAGACGTCGCGTCTCCTCGCAGCAATGAGATTGCTTCACCCAAAAAATCATCGTTACCACTTGATGTAGAGTGCTTTGAACTAAAATTAAAAGTGAAATATACACAAGCGGTAAACGTGCTCGGATATCGGCTTCTGTACGCCCACTTTGTTCGCATGGTACAAGTCCAGTCATCTGACACTCCCCGTCCTCAAGCCGCCCGAGCAGCCTCATGCTCTATTTCGCTCCTTCGCCAAACAGCGCCTGCAGAGTGTCATAGCCATACTCCAGCTCTCCATGCCAGTAGTTGACAGAATCCGCCTTTGATACCCGCCAGGCGTCGTCCAGCGCCTGCACAACCTCCTCCGGCAGCGGCCCCTTTTCCAGATCCGTCAGGTTCTGCTCCAGCTGCTGCACGCTCGACACGCCGATGATGATGCCGTCGTTTCCGTCCTTGACCTTGAGCGCGGAGTGGTGAACCATCCAGCGCAGCGCAACCTCGATCAGCGTCAGCCCGGCCTTCTCGGCCGCTTCCTCGACAATCTTGAGCGCCTCAAAGGTGGTGTCGCGGAAGTATCGCTTCCGGTAGTTGGTCGCCTGGGCAGTGTCTCCCGCAAACCGTCCCGACTCGGGCTTGATGTCCTTGGACTTGATCTTGCCGGAGAAGAGGCCGCCGGCGAGGGGGTTGTACACGACAATGTCGAGCCCGTAGCGCCGGCACGCGACGAAGAGCTCCGACTCGATGTTGCGGGTGATGGCGTTGTACATGCCCTGGTAGATGGTGGGACGCACCCAGCCGTTGTACTTGCATGTCAGGACGACCTCGGCGACCTCATAGGCCGTGAAGTTGCTGATGCCCAGCTTGACGAACTTGCCGGCCTTGTGAAGACGGTCCACGGCCTCGAGAGTCTCGGCAAACGGGACTCCACGGTCGGGCCTGTGAAGATATAGGATCTATGTCACGCAATCAGCCATGAGCTATCTTCCATAAGGGAGTGCTCTCCGTCGGAGCATCTGTCCATCAAAGACTCACATCAACGCTGTCAGTTCCCAACTCCTTCAAGCTCTTCTCGACAGACTCGACGACCTTGTCGGCCGTGTTCAATCCCGGCGCCCAAGGGTACTGGACCTTGGTCGCCAGAGTGAGGCCTCTGCTCTTCCAGTTGGCCTCGCGCGTAAAGGCCTCCTGCGCCCCGCCGACGTAGACTCGCGCCGTGTCAACCTCGTTGTAGCCCCGGGCCTGCAGAACGTCTAGGGCCTTGTTGAACGTGTCGATGTCGGTGATTCGGGCGCCCTCATCCTCGCTGGGACCAAAGGTCATGAGGCCGAGGATCACTCGGGGCTTGGGGTTCTGAGCAATGAGAGGCATCTTGGGCTTGTGGGTTGCTTTACTTGCTTGCTCTCTGTCTATTGCTGTTTGATATACTGTCTAACATTGAGTCAAGGTGAGGGGGGAACAAGGACGACATATATCTTTATAGCTGAGAGGGGCTCTCGTAGATTCCACACATGAGTCTGCAGATAGGGCGTGCTCGGGCGTGTTAGAGCCGGCTGTTTAGCCGGGAATTCCAGTTCGACTCCAATTTGCATCGACGCAACCTCGCCATCATTGCCCACTATAGCGATTGCTCCATCCCCATGCCCATCATGATTTGCTGGAAACGCTCGGAAACTCCCAGGCCAGACGTCATTTGCTCACAAATACAACACGCCCAACACGCCGTTGCCCTTTACACTCTCATTCAGTTCGGTAAGTCGGCTGATGTAAAGAGCATGAGTAATGTAGATTCGATTCACCACAATCGCCGAATCAGAATACTTGACATCTCCGATGAACCTGGCAGCGGTTGATGGACTTAGACTTGGCCATAGAGTGGCAGCGCCGCGCTAAATCCGGGAGGCCTTGAGCAAGTCGCAGATAACGTGCTGACGAGATAGACAGGCAACCCGCAGCACCAAGATGCTAAGCTGGAGAGGGCAGTACTAGTATGTAATAGCCATTGATGATGTTCCCATTCGGACGATTGGATTGGTGGACAATTTGTCACTGCGCGCAGAAGATTGCTGCCGTTTCGTAAGACGGATGTTGATGCATCCAATCTGCAAAGGCGACCATGATGTGCAGAGCAGATCCAACATGAAGACTCAGGTCAGTTACATCCTTGTCGTTGCAACTCGAAGGAAGGATATGAAGGAGTAAATCGATCCATTTTTTCAATACATTTTCTCAAGGAGGATTCAGTTGCCAAAGCCAGAAGACGGACGGCATCATATTCAGATCATTCCGTACCTCCAGATGGACGAGTTTGTGTGTAATCGCGGGGCACAAGGTACGTACTGATAACGGATAGAGGTAGCCCGCCGGAGAAGCTTCGGCAAAAATAAATGCTCGACTTGCTCCAGCAAATGATGCTGGTGGAATCCCATTCGAGATATTCCAAGCTCGAAGCCATCAAGAGACGTCGTCCGACTCGCCAGCCATTTGCGCAAGTCTCTGTGCAGCTCGCCCGTCCTAAACATGAACCAGTGACTCTCTCAAGCTCCGCCATGCGCCAATTGACGTCTGACAAACCCCCCTCAAGGCGCATCGAGACATAAGACACATTCACACCATGAGGGCAAACCTGGCCCGTCATGGCAGGCGACTCCTGGTCTGCCAGGCTCGGACGGCGCCATCCTGCGCGGTCTATGCGACTCCAGCCCGTCGACGGTCGATTGCCCCGAGGCCGAGGCTGCGAGCCACCTCTGAGCGCACCTTCATCAGCAACCTGCTGCAGAAGCCGCCGCGGGAGGTCAGGCAGCCCGAGTACGAGCCGGGATGGCTGCAAATCATGCTGTGGAGGAGCCACATGCTCGACAACGTCCGGCCGCCGCCGCGGGCCGAGCTGTTCGAGTCGTGGAAGAAGCTGATGCAGCACAAGGTCAACAGCCGGACGCCGCTCAACAGCACCCAGGCCCTGCAGTGTCGTCGGTTGCTCGAGTATCTCTCGACGCCAAAGCCAAACCAGCCAATGCGGCCGTTGACGCACTCCGACCTATCGTACGCAAGACAGGCGCTGCTTCAAGTTGAACCCATAGAACGGACGCAGCATCATCTCGATTTCGCAAAGTCGCTCTATTCCGTATGGATGTCAAGGGACTTTCCCAAGACCCCAAAGGCTGTGGAGCTGCAGTGGACTTATCTTGTCAAGGCCATGGCTCGGTATGGTGCCTCTCGCGAGGCGGTCAAGATGCTCTATGAGAAATGGGCGCAGCCGGAATACGCTCTTTATCTAACCCAGGAGGACCGACTGCTGGAAGCCGTTGCCCGCGGCCTTTCAAGAGAGGGATGCGAGGCCGAATTGGTGGAGCTGATACAATACGCCGAAGATCATCAGGTCCCTTACGATATCGGACTGCAGGCCATCATAGTCGACTTCTTTGCTCAGCGGGATCGCATCGCCGAGACCAAGCACTGGTTCAACAAGCCCGTCGCCGGCAAGCTCCCACGACCCTCGGTATACCGAAGCATCGCATCGTTTGCCATGCGCAACAACCTCCAGGAATGGGCCACTTCACTGTTCCTCGAGCTGGGCGAGCTGCAGCCAAGGCAGAAACACTGGAACGTGATACTTCAGGCGATACTGATCCTTGGAAAGAGCCTCGCGGAGGTGGATGTCATGATGTCGCACATGGTGCACGGCAAATTACAGCTGTCGCCAGATACTCGAACCATCAATGACCTTCTCAGAGTTGCCGTCGAACAGAGAGATGTGGCCTTGGGAGAAGACATTCTTGCGCTCGCCGCCAAACGAGGCATCGCTCCGGACGGAGAGACGCACCTGGTTCTGTTCTTTCTTCGACTTGCAACCAACAACTTGGTGGAAGCACGGGAAGCATACAAACAGGTCAGGCATATACAGCCCTGGACTCTAGAGACCAAGCAGCATCTCTTTGGCGAATTCAGCAAAGCGGTTAACGCATACCTGGTGGCGCTGGCTGCTCAACAACAGCCCGATTTCAAGCTGATCTCATCATTATTGGAGGCAGTGGAAGAAGACCGGATACGGCTTGAGCCGGCCACCGTTGCGGCTCTCTGCTTGAGATTTCTCGAAAACGATCAACACTTTGATGTCATGGACATCCTATCAATACATTCTTTCTTATACAGCGAGGCCGAGCGAGAGATTGTCCAGAGCGCATTCGTCTCGTTCTGCCTGGACCCCAGCACGAGCACGAATCGAGCATGGGGCGCATACCAGCTACTTCAGCAGTTCTTCCAGGACACCAGCTTCGAACGACGAGTCGAGTTGATGAAGGGCTTCTTCCGACGGAAGCGATCCGACATGGCCTCACACGTCTTTGGACACATGCGCGCTCACCGAAACAAGTCGTACCACCCAACGGCGGAAACGTACATCACATGCTTGGAGGGATTTGCCCGATATCCTGACCCCGAAGGCCTGGACATGGTGCATAACATGTTGAAGATGGACACCTCGCTACAGCCATCCACAAAGCTATACACGGCTCTGATGCTGGCATACACGGGCTGCGGCCAGCCCCTGATAGCGCTGGACTGCTGGACCCAAATCACTCAGTCGAGAGAGGGCCCGTCGTACGCGACGCTGGAGGCGATATTTTGGACACTGGAGAAGAAGTCGGGCGGGCATAACCAAGCCCGGCAGATTTGGGACAGGATGGAGAGGATGGATCTGGACATTCCGCCAGCAGTGTACAATGCGTACATTGGCGCCATTGCCGGGAGCGGGAACGAGAAGGAGATCCGGGCTCTGTTACTGAAGATGGCGAGCGTCGTAGGTTCAGAGCCAGATGCCATGACGTGAGTTTTTACACACATTTCTCCTTTTGCCTTTTTTTTTTTTTTGTCGTTGACAGTTGCTAATCTCAATTTGCAGACTTGGCATTGCGTATAATGCGCTGCCTGGGCAGCTGCTGCAAAAGGGGTTCCAGGAGTGGGCAAAGGGGCGGTTCCCTGATGCTTGGGCAGAGCTGATGAAGGTGGGACGGCGCATGGACGAGTACTCGCTGTGTCAGTTCAAAATAGAACGGCCCTTGAAGGCCTAAGGCGAGCGTGGACAAGATGGTGCAGGATAATGTTCATGACATGTATGTCTATACATATGGGGTTGATATCTACTACTACTGTACACATATTCGGCGGGGAAAGGAAAGAGAAAAGTACAAACCGGGAGCGATCATGGCCATACATATGTAACAATATGTAGGGCGTCAGCTCACATAGCATCCAATAACATCATACCACAGTGCATTTCCTTCATACTGAGCCTCATCTCTTCTTCTTCTACCTCCTCTCAGGGAAGAAGCTGTCCCTGATCATCTCGGGATGCGCGTGGATCGTGGGGTACAGCCCCATGCCCTGCACCCTGCGAATCATCTTTGCAATCTTGCGCTGGTTGACAGGCCGCAGGCTCGTGCCAGACGAATGCGTAATCTGGCCCGACGTCGAAGTGAATTCCTGGATCAGAGAGAAGTTCTAAATAGTCGTCAGCACATGAAGCAAGCTCCAGATCGGACCCCCCTCCCCCTCCTCTTCTAATCATCCACAATTTTATTTCGCCATGCAATTGATCTTGTTTGTTTAAACGGAAGGAGTTGAATAGAAGAAGAAAAACACATACCTTGTACATGTCCAGCGGCCGAATCCCCAGCGCATCCACAACGTCCGCCTTGCGCGGCGACCTCTTGCGCCACTTCTGCATCTCGACGGGGCTCATGTCGTGCGGCGAGTAGACGTCTCCGGCTTCCCACCGGCGCGGCATCTGCCGCAGGTAGTCGGCCGAGTTCTTCTGGTTGCGCAGCTGCTCGAGCTGGGCCTGCTTGTTGCGCAGCGTCACAGAGCCGTCGCGCTTGAGGCGGGTCATCATCAAGTTTGCGGCGTCGCCCGGGTTGCCCTGCTGCTGCTGCTGGTTCTGCTGCTGATTTGAGCGGTACTTGTTGTAGTTGTTGTAGTAGGGGGAGGATCGCGGGCTGGAGGAAGAGGAGGAAGAGGAGGAGCTGTTGTTGTTGTTGTTGTAGTTGTTGATGGAGAGGAGGCTGCTGCTTGACGAGGGCCGGTTGGAAGAGGTGTCGCGGAGGGCGCAGACGGGGGATGTTGTTGAGAAGGAGCGGATGGCAAGACCGCGGACGGCAGAGGCGGGCAGAAGAGGCGGCATGGCGGGCGGATTTTGGAAAAAAAAAAATTGGGGGAGGGCTGGAGCTGAAAACGAGATGCTGAATCGGATCGGTGAATCTCGTTTGCCTTTGGTGGTGATTGGGAATTGGCTTGGTGTTTTTGCGGCAGTTTGGAAAAAACGTGGAGGTGGCGGGACGGAAGACGTTCCGCGGTGGCCCCCCACTTTGGCATTCCGCCCATTTTTTTCTTTTTCTTTTCTCCAATCTTGACAATTTTCTGGTCGAGGCATTCGTTCATCAAGCATCCAATATTCTTCAATCAAAACCAACAACCCCTACGATACCCTCCCCGTTCTTTGCGCCAGACTCACTCCTTTACTCTTGAATCTGTCGACTTTTCGTTTTCATCTGTTTTTTTTTTTCTCGCCAAGCACAGCGCCTCTTCTCAGTCCAGCAAACTGCGCAACCCGCCAACATGGTGCGCAAGCTCAAGTTTCACGAGCAAAAGCTCCTCCGCAAGACCGACTTCTTCACGTACAAGCAAGACGACGGCCACCGCGACAAGCTCGTCCGCAGGCGGTACATGATCCAGAAGCCCGAGGACTACCACAAATACAACCGTCTCTGCGGCGTACGTCCTCCAGTCTTCCTCCTCCTCCAACCACCCCCCCAACTTCCAATCCCAGCCTTCCCATATCACTTTCCATTTCCCACACGCCCCCCAGGCAAGCCATCAAGCAAAACAACATCACTCGATCTCACCAGAAGGGAGAAGAATAACTAACGAATATTTTTCTTTTCTTATTAAACACAGTCCATCCGCCAACTCGCCCACCGCCTCTCCCTCCTACCCCCCGAATCCCCCTTCCGCCGCAAGCACGAAGACCTCCTCCTCCAGAAGCTCTACGACATGGGCATCCTCTCCTCCGCCTCCAAGCTCTCCGCCGTCGAAAACGCAGTCACAGTCAGCGCCTTTGCCCGCCGCCGCCTGCCCGTCGTCATGACCCGTCTGCGCATGGCCGAGACCGTCCAGGCCGCCACCAAGCTCATTGAGCAAGGCCATGTGCGCGTCGGCACGGACGAGGTGACGGACCCTGCGTTCCTGGTGACGAGGAACACCGAGGACTTTGTCACCTGGGCGGTTGGAAGCAAGATTAAGAGGAATATCATGAAGTATAGGGATGAGTTGGACGATTTTGAGCTTTTGTGATTTCCGACTTGTTTTTTTCGGCGGGCTGCTGGTGGTAATTGATATGGTTCGGATAGAGAGCGCTTTTGATCAATCCGGGTGCTGGTTCTGGCGTTTTGATGGGTTCATTGGCTGGGTTGTCCCCGGAGAAGGGACTCTTGTTGAATATTCTAATCTTGAAAGAATTAAACGCCATGAAAAGGTGCATTCACCGCACGAATGGTTTGTACATTCGTCCTCTGCTGAAGAGGGCCGTGAAGTTTCCTCCTCACTGCATCCCACGGCAAGGCACCCCCAACTCCATATCGAGCAAACCGCCACACATGCATGAACCAAGCTCACAAACCAATCGTCAGCAATCCTCACCTTGAAACGTGAAGCATAACAGCCTCGAAAGCAAGGATTACAGGGGGGCGCAAATGGCCGCTTTCTGTTCACTAATCAGCAGCTCCTTGCACGGCTGATAGTTGTACCTACCAAGGGGTTCCAAAACCCGGGGTAAAATAAGAGCATCTTCTATCTTGAAAGAGTAACTGTTTGGTTGTGGTACGCCGAAGAGAGGGTATATCAAACTGTGTCCCGTATCCCAACTTGTCGAAAGCAGCCGCTCATTCAATCATTCAGCGGCTTCTTTCCAACCTCATGCCCTCCAACTATGTGACCTGCATATGCAATGTTCCAGTTGGTAGACCTCCCTGACCTCCCCCCTCCCATCAAGGCATATAGTATGACCTAGATCATCGCTCCTAAAGCATCAAATCATCCAAATCTTGACCAGCGGCAATCGGAGAGCCGGGACTCCACCCGAATCGGCCCCACATCCGTACTGTACGCCTTCGTTTGGTGAGTCGACACCAGAGGGCGCAGCACAAACAGAAAACAGGGCTAAGGCTCGTGTGCTCCTAGAGTAGCATCAGCTCGCTCCAGTTCGGCAGCAAAAGTTGGCACACTGTGCGTGGCGGCTATAAAAACGCACACTCACACGAGCTGCCACACTCTTCCCTTCCCTTATGCCCCCCCCCCCTTGATAAGCTTGGAGGATTTTGGTCCCTTTTTTGCCTGTCCTTGTGCTTTTCGCTTCGCAGACGGGCCGTTTTGTCGATTTTCCCAGCCATCCAGATCGGGGAGCGTTTGGCCGCTATAAGCCAGATATCACCACCGCCTTAAGAAGCCCGCCGGTCACAGAGGGTAGTCACCCTCCCCTCCCTCGCCATGCCTGACTGGGCCACAGTCAAAGATGTCCTTGTACATCTGATAGATCCGTGGGCATTCATGTCCATCTCCTTTGCTCACATTCCTGCGACTGTTGTTGGCCTCATCCATGACAAAAAGTATCGCACGCTCTTCTCCTTTTCAGGATTTCGTGAAGCTCTCTTTGGCACCTTCTGGGCGACCGTCGGGCCCAACGTCAAGACCAATGCCGAGCAGCGAGTTATTCCCCTTCTCCAGGGCCGCGTCAAGGGCGGTGTTGTCCATGACGACGTCCTGAGTTCCCCCATCCATGGAACTGTCCTCGAGGTCGGCGCCGGAAGTGGCATGTGGGCAGACGTTTTTGCTCGCTTTCGCGAGAATGCCGACGACACAGACGCTGCGGACGGTCTCCGTAACAGAAAGTCCACGGGCGGCCACATCACCAAGATGTATGGCGTGGAGCCCAATCCAATCTCTGCCAAAGCGCTCCAGCAACGTGTCAAGGACATTGGTATAGACGACATCTACCAGGTCGTGCCCGTCGGTATCGAGTCTGTCGATGATTCTACCGCGTGGGATGGCAAGATTGAGCCAGGCAGCATTGACTGCATCGTTGGCATCTTGTGCCTCTGCAGCATTCCCGAGCCAGAGAAGAACATCAAGCTCCTGTACAGACTGCTCAAGCCCGGCGGCCATTGGTACGTCTATGAGCACGTCAAAGTATGGCGAGGCGGCCTGTTGCTCGGCCTATATCAGCGTAAGTCAAGACTCTCATGGTCACGGTGTCCATAGCTAACAATCGTCGACTCGATAGGCTTCGTCAACCTCATCTGGCCACACTTTTTGGGCGGGTGTGAGCTTTGTCGTGATACCGAGAAGAACCTCAGGGCCGCGGGCCCCTTTCAAGAGGTTGATCTCACCCAGCCTGCCGACGAGCCTTCATACCAGGTCTTGCCTCACAAGATTGGAATCCTGACGAAGTAAGCGTCGCCGAGAGCGATGCTGGCGTGGTTTGACATCTCAGAGCTCGTCGTCATCGTCATCGTCCGAGATGAAAATCGACACCCTCTTGGATTTGCTGTCCACCGAGACCGACTTCGTTTCCGCAGCAATTTCTCGCTTGACACGCAGTTTGTCGTCCTTGACGTTTTCAGCCTTGGTTTCCAATTTCATTTCCCGCCTGTACCCCTCACTCGCTTCTGCCCTCGCCCCCTCCTCTTCCCCTTTGATATTGCCAAGCCCCATTTCCAATGCTTCGAGCTTTACCCCGCTTCTTGCCTCATCCTTCTCGAACTCCTCCTTGATCGCCTCCAGTTTTGGCTCGTGTGCCGGACTGGCAATACCCTCCTTTGTATCAAGAGATGCCTCTCGTTCCAGCTTAGCCTCGCGTCTCTTATAGAATAGATTCAAGCAGTTCCTTCTCTCTTCTGTCGTCCAACTCTCCACGATAAGGGCAAAGTCCGTGGCATTGGCAAAGCCGAATTCCCTCGCCATCTCGCAAAATTGCCGCAGACAGACATCTTGCGGCGGCTTGTATGTGCTATGCAACCCTTCGCCATCAGTCTCGTCATCCGTGTCAGCAAACAAGGTTGTCTGACCGGCAAGGTCTCCCTCGTCAAACAGCCTCATCTCTGCCCGCCGTGAGAGCTGCTCCTCCACCTTGGAAGACCCAATCACTTCAGCGTTATCGTGCGTGTACTCCACCCCGGCAGCTGAGAGAATGGCCTGCACAGCGTCACTTTTCGGCTGGCCCGACTTGAGCGATTCAAGCGTCTTTGCCTGGTCGCTGGACGTGAGCAAGTCAGCCAGCTGGCTCAGGCCACCATCCTCCGAATCGGTGGTCTCTTCCTGTTTCACGACCCCCAGGTCTTCTCCTTCTTTGGCTGCCTCTTCCATGTCAACATCAGCCAGGTGCACTCCGGCTTTGGCCTCTGCAATATTCGTCTTGTTCACGATGTCGCGAAGCAAGCCCATGTGACTGTGGTAGGTGAAAATGTTGGAGAGCCCAAAGATTTCGCCCTTTCGCTCGGTATCTTGCTGGACGCCACGAAAGTACCGCCGCTCAGACGACGCGGTATATCCGATGTTGGCCTGCTGCTGCTTGTATATTTGGCGAGCGTAAACAATTTCCTCAATCGTCCCCACAGAGATGAGTCGAAAGACCTCGACGTCGCGGGTCTGGCCAATTCGGTAGGCTCGGTCTTGCGCCTGTAAGTCATACGCGGGATTCCAGTGAGGATCCATAATAACGACCTTGTTCGCCGAAGTAATGTTCAGCCCTACGCCACCGGCCTTGGTTGATATGAGGAATACAAACTGCGTGGGATCGGAGTTGAACGTGTCCACCACATCCTGCCGTGCTTCGTAGCTCAGAGAGCCGTCGAGATAGCTCACGGTGTAGCTCGTGTTGGTGAATAGATGCTGCAGTATGCGAAGCAGCCGCACGCTGTGAGAGAAGACGAGCACTTTGTTGCCGCTCCCGTGCCAGAACTTGAGCAGTCTCTTGAGAATCTTCCATTTGCCGCAAAACTCCGGGTTGACCAGGTTACTAATCCGATCGCGCTTCTCATACAGCACTCTCCATGTGTCCGGCATGCAGGTCTGGAGCGTCGCAAGTTCTTGTTCGTGCCTCTCTTCTAGATCCGTCGTCATCGGCACCAGCAGAGTCAGGTGGTTGGCCAGCTTTTGCAACGTCATCATGCTGGGGAAGACCCTGCTCTGCCAGCGTTTGCCGCTTGGGAGATACTGTTCGCAGCACCAGCCCTTCTTGCCGCCGTGCTCGCAGTCTTCCGAAGCGGTTCTTATGATGGAGACTTCTTTGCTGCGGAGAAAGTTCTCATATGCTTCCATCTGCAAGTCTGAGAGGGGGCAAAAGACGACTCGGTCCCATTTCTTCGGTAATTGATGAGCGATCAAAGACTTCATACGGCGCAAAAAGTACCGCGGAAGGAGGTTTTGGACAAGTTTCTTTGCCGTCTGCCTTGCGAGGCTCAGCTGTGCAACTGTTGCATCATGGGACTGGCCAACTGTCAGGGGCTTCGTGATGGTTTGAGACCACTCCGCTTTGGTGCCGAAATGGCCCGGGTTGGTCCAATCCAGTAATGTCCAAAGTTCCTCGTACTTGTTCTGGATGGCTGTTCCTGTTAAGCCTATCCTGCAGAGCGCGTTCACCTCCTGCATTGCTTTGGTGGTTTCCGAATAGCGGTCCTTGAGGCGGTGACACTCGTCAGCGATGATGGCGTCCCACTGGACCATGTTGATGGAGCTGCGAGAGTTTTTGTAAGTCTCGTACGTTGTGATCATGATCTCCAGCATGCCAGCCCGGGCCGCACCAAGCACGTCGTCCTTGTTGGCTCCGTGAAAGATGTCGACGTGCCACCAACCCCATCTGTTCAACTCGTTCCTCCAGTTTGCAATAAGAGATCCCGGGCACACAATGAGTATCTTGGGATACCATCTCTCTCCAAGAAGTCGCATATGCCTCAAGCGTTTGTCGTCTCGTTCGTCTCCCGTCTTCCCAAAGGCCACTGTCAGAAAAGCAGCCACTTGGACCGTCTTGCCGAGGCCCATATCGTCTCCCAAGATGCCTCCCTCTTGGTACACAAACTTTTTGTGCAGAAACCGAACTCCATCCACTTGGTAGTCTCGCAGGTACTGAGCGATTGACGCGGGGATGAGGCCGCCTGACTGGGGAAGCTCGATGTCGTGGTAGGGGCGAGACGGTTTGATGCCACTTTCTGGGTCAAAGTTTGGCCGCTCCTTGAGCTCTCTGAGGCTACTGGACTCGTCGAAATCAATATCTGTGTAGTCTGGCGGCAGCATCAGGGCTGATTCGTGATAGAGCTTGCGCTGAGCATCGAAGGCTCGTCTCCGTTCAATCAGATAGTCTGGCAGGTCCGCAATGTCCAAGTCGTCCTCCAGATGGTCTCCACCGACATCACTCCTAACGGCTTTCTTCTGCTTGGCAGATTTGCGCCTCGCTCTTCGCTTCTTCGGCCTCAGAGGCGCGCTGTCTGAATCATCCGTCCATTCAACCTTTTCCGTGAACTCGAGCGCTATCTTGCGCTTCCGGGGAAGGTTACGGGCGGGTCCCTCGAAGCCATCCTCGTCCTCGGAAAGGGAAGCCGTATCCCCGTCATCTGAGAGTTCAATGACATCTGCCGGCATTTGAAGAGGTGAAAGTGGCAGTAAAGCCACGAGAAAGTTGGACAAGAGACCCGCGTAAAGCGAAGACGAGGAGGAGGTGAATGATGCGAAATCACGTGACGCGCACTGTGCTCTCTCAAGTTGCTCCTTCTCAACATACCTAAGCGTCCCTACCACCTACTATACCTACTAAGGGTACTGAGTTCCGAGTTGCTGCCTTGACTTAAGGTATCTGAAACATTCAACGGCCTCCCCAGCAATGACGACCAAGTCCGTTATCGCTTTAACAGTATCAGTGGAATCATGGCATGGCTTATCTCTTCTTCTCTTGATGCTACCTGTTGCGTGTGAATATTGACGCCACTTCGTTCTGTCTGACGAGGCAAATTGAGCTGCAGCAAGAGAGTCAGCGAGGGTTATCGGTTCGGCCCTCGTTCGCGAAACAACCACCGAGCCTGACAATCATATGAATGGTGAGAACTTGCAAAAGAGAGGCTTCGGTCGATGTCTTACAGGCAGCCAGCCTGAGTGGTAACGCCTCATCCATATCGGGCATCTTCTTTGCTAGCACACTCCGTGAGGTAGTCGCAATCGAACGCACCAGTTCTGAAGCCTGTAATCGCCTCTTCCCATTCGCGGTAAGCATCGTATTATCATCTCGCTCACACCTTGCCTTACCTTGCTTTGGGTAGCGCTGCCTCCGCCTTGCATCGGATTAGGCACAGCCCTGCCACCGAGGGTCAACCAACTCCGACAGAGCCATGTATCACCGGAAATCAGCAGCAAAACTTCAATCTTGATCCAAGAAACATTTGCACAAGAAAAGAAAAAGCAGCAGTCAATCATGTCGAGCACTCAGCCGTCCAACAGCTACGAGGTGGTGAGAAACATCCCCAACGACCAGGCAAAGGCGATCCTGCTCTCCCTGTGCACGAATCCCGCCATCTGCGCAAAGGTCGCCACGTACGCAAAGCGGCTCGATGAGGAGGCGTTGTCTAAGAAGCACAAGCCCGACTCGACCATTGCCATCTGCGTGCAGTGCGACCAGCCGTATTACGAGGAGGACAATGACGATACCAGCTGTGTACACCATGATGGTGAGTTGTCTCTTCTATTCTACCTTTCTTGTCACACTTCATGCATTGGTAACTGTAACCGCGCTACAGGTGTCTTAGAAGTCAACTACAAGGCAGAGGTCTGGGAGGAGATCTCCGACGACGGCCCAATTGACTCGTCAGACAACGAGGAAGACGTCCCCGAGGGCTTCAACTGGACCTGCTGCGGCACCATCGGCACCTCTGAAGGATGCAAAAAGGGCCCGCATCAGTCCGACCCCGAGAAGTCGAGGAAAGGCGCTCATGTTAAGGCCAAGGATGAGGAGTGAGGGTGTGAATTGGGAGGAGGATTTCAACGGAGGCATCTATCGGAGTGAGGAGGGTTTTTACAGGCGAATTCAACATTGGGGGCAGATTGGGGGCAAACAGGACAATCTACTTGGCGATTTGTGTGGTTCATTGGGTCTCTCGAAGCGGTCTTGTTCATCCCAAGTTGTGGACACTCAACGTATTGTAGCATTTTAGGAGCAACGGATCCATGCATTGCTGACGGACCTACCTCTTTCAACCCGTCATCCACCGTAAGGACGTGAACCTGTCGAATCAGTAATTCCTTGCAGTAACACGTGTGGTTGATCAGTGATGACCACCCTGCTTAGCGTCAAAGCGTCTGCCGCGATTCAGAGGACTGTCCACTGCCGGTCAGATGGTTGCGGCGCTTGAATCAGAGGCTCGAGCTCATGACAGCCAGATAAAGCCATAAAGGATGAAACAAACGATACCAGACCGTCGTCCTCACAATGATTTGAAGCGGACTTTATGTACGTGGTTTGTTATATAACTCGCCTTGAGCATCCAGCTAATTGTCATTATCAGCACAATCAAAAAAAACATATTGTCCGCCCTGCACCGTCCCCCAGCCAGTAACCAACATAGAGCTGCAGTAATGTTGCTAGCCAATGCCACAGTCACCAAGTCTGTGTTGCATCAAGCACGAGCACTTGCCGCAAACTGTAAGATCATAGCTCCTGTCCACTATTCACATTCTGCAGACGAGCAGGATTGGGAATATCGCTACGCTCCTGATACTACCCTAGGGTGGCATTCGGGTGCACATATATCTCCTCATTGAAGATCGAGTATATATATCGATATATTCACTCATGGGCCCCCTTTTCGCGTAGTGATCTAATCAGTTGGGTACATGTATCTTCGTTGCATCCTGAGTCTCTATAAGACTTGCCGATATACTGTTGCCCCTCAATAACCTACCGTACCTATCCTGAAGCTATAACCCCCATCATCAACCCCAATGGCGACAACAGCTCCCCTCACCCCCGAAGAAGCCCGCGACAGGCTCAACATCCGCCGCGTCATCGAGCGCTACTCCCAGTGCGCCGACCGCTGTCTCCCAGAGGAGCAAGCATCCCTCTTCATCGCAGAGCCCGTCTTCCACATCTACATGCAAGGCCAGGGCACCGAGCCCACGCAGGCCGTCACCAAGAGAGAGGACCTCATCCCCATCTTTGAGTACACCAAGGGCTGCAAGCACACGTCGCACGTCCTCGGCCAGAGCACCATCGACATCGAGGCGGACGGCAAGACGGCCACGGGGGAGACGTACTGCCTGGCGCATTACCTGTCGGAGAAGGATGGCCAGCGACAGATGTGGCAGGCGAGTCTGCGGTACCACGACATTCTGAAGAAGCAGGACGATGGGTTTTGGCAGTTTGCAGAGCGGAAGCTGATTGTTGACTGGACTGAGACGAGGCCTTCGAATCCCTAGACATGGTGTGAGATTGTGCATTAATGAAATGGCTTAATAAAAAGACTTGCTATCTACATCGTTAATACTATAAGTGTGTTTTGCCCTGGAGCCTTGGCCCGAACCTGCGTTACATATAACAGCAGTGTCTGAACCATCGATTGAGATCCAAGTCGTAGGATTTTGCTTCTTGTTCTCTTCTTTCTCCTTCCTTTTTCTATCCTTTTTTCTTCTTTCTCTTTTCCTTCCTATAAAGGATATTAGTGATGACTCTGAAACCGATGGGTGACTTTATGTGACGCCCAATATGTTACTTTGAGCCATGGTCGCTGGTCAACTGCACAATTTGCGTGTAAGTCGCATTCGATTGAATTAACAAAAGGAATCAGATTAAAGTATCTGCGTTGCGCCAAAGTATGCTTCGTGCCCAAAGTCCATCCAAACGCCCCCAGAGTATAGCATATATATATATACAAGTCGAAAGATGGACACTTCTATCCGGAGATATCTTTTTTGCTGTCCTGTCTATTCCCCGTTGCCTCGACAAGAGTCTGATCTTTTACCACCGTCCGATGTGTCCGTCCAGAGCCCACTTGGCGAGCGCAGGCCAGGTAAGCATGGCGCCGAAAAGAGGAACATAACTATCAAGAGCCCGTGTTAGTCAACTAGATCATATTGTATATATGGATGCATCAAGTCCTGTGGTTGTACGTACGTGACAAACTTGCCAGCCGTCCAGACGACTTGCTTAGCATAGTCGGGTCGTGCAGGCTTCATGGTGGCGGAGAGTCGCTCAAAGGGCTGGTGCTCGAATGAGCGTCCCATCCGTCGGACTTGCATGAAGAAGCCGGGTCTGCGAACAGCGGCGGTTGCAGTGCGGGTGACGGTTGCAGCAGACATGTTGAGAGAAGTTGTTGGATTGATCAAAAAGTCTTTGGTTGTAGAGTTGGTGGTTTATCTGTGTGTTTTGAAGCCGGCTTGGGAAAAATCCTAGTGATAATACACTGAAAGAATCTTAGGGAGTTGAGATGGTTTGGAAAGTGGTTGAGTTGAGAGGTAATCCTCAGTGGATTGCTTGTATCGTTGCTTGTTGATGCTGTGATGATGAACCAAAAAAAGACGACCTGGAATCGCTTCCAACCCAAGCATTATGTATCCCAACGAGCCATCGCATCCTGTCGCCCGCCATGCAAATCATCCCTTATCGAACCTTCGAAGCTTTCCTTCTCTTCAGTTTCTCACTCCCTCATGATGTCAAAGTCGGGACATCCTCACGAGACTTCCTCGCCTCAGCCTGCGATTATGGCCAGATGCCACACACACCGGGCAGTCAATATCATACCACTGTCAGGACATTCTGCGCCCATGACCTCCAAATGGCCGCTCGCTAATTGGCTGGCCCTACCACTTGGCCTAACGATCCTGGGGGGGGCTTATGCTGGTTAGGCGAAGAGCGCTTCAGTTGATTTGGGGGGGGGGTTCAAGGTTGCTTGTTTTGGGAGGTGGTGCCACTCCGGAGCATCCCGGGAAAGGAATCGGCCGGCGCCTTTTGGGCTGTTTGCTGTGCTCAGAAGGGCAGGCAGAACATGGGCCGGATCCGAAAGGGATGCTCAAGGTACTAGGTCAGAATCGTTTGACATCTGCCGCTCTAGAGTTCTGAATCAGGGAATCTGGGAACCATGAGGCTGTTTGAGATTGCTGTTGTGACAAGATTTGCTGAGGTCCGGTGCCAAGGCGAGATGAGCCGCAACGTAAAATCATGCCACTGTTAGCACAAGGACATTCCGAACAACCGGGTTCTTCCATGCGCTGCTACCATCATTGTCTGGGGAAACAGATGCAGCGCCAGATCCAGGGAAGCAATTCATGTGCTCAGATCGACAGGATCTTGTCCTACGGGACGCTGGTGGTGTTTCTACCGGGAAAGAGGGCTTTCAGCGAGATCTACTAGATTTACTACATGTAACTTGTACGCTCTCAGTTCGAGATCCATGTACCAGAGCTCAATAGCCAGGCAACTCTTGTCATTAAGTCCATCATTCCACGTCCTTCAGACCGAATTCATCTCTGTTGACCATCAGGCCATATCAAGTCATATCAATGAGAAGATGATGAGAGCAATTTGTCTTGATGGAAGCTCCTTGCGGGACCTGCGGTGACTGCGGCATCCGCCGACACTCGCTGCCGCAACGCCGCTGCTCTCATCAGCTCAGGGTCCGGCCAGCACCGATCGCTTCGCCTCATTCTATCTCTGCCCGTGCACGTGTCAGGAGATTAGGTTCAGCTCTCTTTTCGCATCCCGCATTTGGACCATCAATCTCTTCTTATCAACGCGTGCTTATCAGACACATTGCCAACTGCAGCAGACATGCAGCATTCCCTAATGGGCCAACCTGAGACAAGACGCAGTTCAGCACAACCTCAGCTTCTTCCGCTGTGGCTTTTGCTTTGATCATCAGCTGAGACATGTTTGTCTGCGTCCTCATGATTCACAATCCTCCTCGAGTACTGAGACTGCAGCAAAGCCCCAGTGTGGCTGCGAGCTGAAGTATTCTTAAAGCAAACATCGCGAACAGCATTTCAGCTCTACACTGAATACAGGGTATGCGATCCTCCACCTCGGTTTAGGAGTCAATTTGCGAAGAGGAACAATAGCAAAAGGGCACAGCTTCAATCTACCCGGACGGAGAATAATACACTCCCTGCTTTTCTTAGGGAACATGCTTCAGGCCATTAGTGCCTTCGAAGCCACGAGACAACACTGCCATGTGTCCAAAGTACAAGGATGATGATTGATACCCCCCTCGATCTCAATTACACGCTGCTGCCCAGGTCCGGCGGGGAAGGAAGGAAGACAACTCGACATCTCGATGATCAAACCTTAGGCAAGAAGACACTTGCCCTTGGTATGTTGTCTTTCTACCAAATTTCTCGTCGTCAAGTTATACCTGGCGTCGGTGTCGTTGCTAACAAAGTCCGCGGTTGAAGTCGATTCGGCCGAGACCTTCCCCCATATATACGGTACTAGTGGGGAACAACGGCTTGATTCTGCTGCAATTCTTCATGTTAATGGTTACCCCAGATGCCAGATGCTGATTGAGTAGTTATTGACAGATATGATCTACGCACTCGCAAACGGTGAATGACTCCTTTCCACGACTGCCGTCCTTCCGTTCTACCCCCAAAGACCCCAAAGTGCGCCCCCGATGTGATCCTTGCCCTCTCCACAGATTGTCTTGCACTCTGCATGGATATCAACTCATTCACGCGGCCACGTTGCTGCCTCTTGGCCTCGAATCGGCAATTGATGCGCCGTGCTTCTCATTCTAGTGTCGATTTGTGGCACATGTGTATATCCGACTGCATTTGTTTGCCATCCAATACATCCAGCGGCGGCTCCCCAGCAGTAGCACGAAAGAATACGACGAGTGACGAGAATCCTTGCATGAATACTGTGAGGATACAGACCTGCCGTGTGGGTGGAGAATGGAGGAGGAGCCATGTACGTGGGCGATGCAGGGAGAAGAAGAGAAAGAAAAAATACAGAAGTTGTTGACATGTGGACTGGGGTTGATTGTTGAGGCCGGCGGCTAACTCGACTGACAGCGGCCACAAGTGCTCAACTGGGCCAAGTTGGCTCGTGTCTACATGTAAGCATGCTGATCAGAAGGAGTCTTACAAGGAGTTTTTGGGTCTTTGGCTAGTTCGATGAGGGCCATTGTGAAATGCTCTGCTTTGAGTTTGTGTCACAAGTGGTCAATATAGAGCCCGCTCAGGTCCATGTAACCGTTGCAAGTGTAACAACAACAGTCGTGCTGGCGAATCGAGCTGCAGCAGCCCGGTGGAAACTCATCCCGTTTATTGGCCACATGGCAGATGGAGCAACTCCCGAGGCTTTTGGGAGCTGCCAGGTGTATGTCCTCTCAACATACAATATTGCTTCGTATATGTATCTTGATCGGAACCCTGTTCTCTTTCGCATCTGATATGCCCGGTTGCACGAATAGCAGGGCCTTTGTCTGTACCGTCAGTTGTCGTTTCCGACTACATCATGATACTTGCCTGTCCAACTTATCCAGACCTCCCCCCTGTTTCATGCAGCCTCGACATGCAATGTGAGAGTGAGGGGCTCATGAGTTCTGGTTGTATTACTCGTGCTCGTACGAAGCAGGAGGCGGAATCTTTCCACAACTCGCATGTGCCAATGCGAGACGACCCGCACTGTGCCCATAGCAGCCGCGTCACGTGCCCCCATCTGGTTGTTGTCTCTTTTCTCTTCCCCACCTCCGTTCTGTTCGCCCTCCGGCCCTAATTGGATCCATCGAGGCCAGCAAACAAACTCGCAGCAGACTGAAGCATCAGCTCGGCTATTCCGCCACGCATCCTTGCTGCAAGGCCTCGGGTTTCCGCCTCGCTGTTGCATGGTTTCCGCACTGTATCCTGCTCTGTGCGATGCAGGTTGCGCATACGCAGACACGCATGTGCCGTGCATGCGTTCTGACCAGTCACCTGTACGTGAGGCAAACTCGAACGCCATCCGCGGTGCGACTCGACCGCAATCGAACAGCGATCCTGCCGGTATGATTACGCGGGCGCCACAATGGAAACAATTCGTCTTGTCGGTTCCTGAATAGAGCAAAGGAGAATCGGGGCCGGGATCTCAGGCGGAGGGCCATGACACCTCGGAATGGAGACTTTAGACGACGCCGGCTAGGCGACTTGCGTCCATGGCTCGCCGCGGTTCAATCTTAGCTCTGGGCAAGCAGCTTCGGAGGACCAGGATTCGACGGAAGCTCCCTGCGCTAGGCGCTGCTAGAGCCAAAAGTGACGCCCCCAGTTGTGCGCTTCTCAGTGACAGCCGTCCTTGTGCAGGTGGCATCAATGAACTAACAACCTTGAACGCACGCGGGTGGACAATCTCTGCAGGACATGCGTGAGGGGGGCAACGACACGACCGACGTCTTCTTTCTCCTCTCTATAAAGACGTGGATTTGCTTTGCGCGGGGCCATCTGCTGATAAGAGCTGAGGCACCTCTGATGGTGGTTCCCATCGGATTCCGTTCCTCGTCTCTCTAACCCAGCCAAGTTTCGGGAGTCACAATGGCCAGCCCCAAGTCGCCACGAAGCTCGCAAGCCGGTCCCTCGTCAGCCAATCCGTCGTCGCCCAGAAGCGCGCAAGCCGGTCCTTCGTCAGCCAGACAGCCATCAGAGCCGAGATCCCCTGAGCCTGCCGCACCGACGGCACAGGTCGAACCGGCCCCGGCCGCTGAAATCCCCTTTGTATGCCGCATCCCTAACGGCTAATCCTGCCGGCCAGCGTTGCAACGGCCGCAGGAGCTGCCATGTCTCCCTTTTGCTTGCGGAATTCCTGTGAGCTAACACGGCTCGCAACAGGAAGAGAACGATGAAGACGATTCTGGCGTAGATGACTGGGATGATGCGTAGGTCGAAACGATGATGGTGGAAGCACGCATTCCAATGGTATCCTGACTTTGCCCAGCGCCTCCTCAACGGCTTCTCTGTCGGAGAGCATATTCGACTACCGCAACATCCACGGCCGGACGTTTCAGAACTCCAAGACGACCGAGTACTGGGGTCCGAATGACGACCGCCAGAACAATGGGCTCGACATCTCGCATCACTTCGTCACCATGCTGCTCGGCGATCAGCTGTTCGAGGCGCCCATCAAGAAGCCGCCTACCAAGGTGCTCGATGTCGGCACCGGCACCGGCATCTGGGCCATCGACATGTCCGACGCCTATCCGTCTGCCGAGATCATAGGAACCGACATTAGTCCCATCCAGCCGACGTGGGTGCCGCCGAATTGCATATTCCACCTCGAGGATGCGCAGCTCGAATGGACGTATCCGCCGGAGTCGTTCGATTTCATCCACATCCGGGCGCTCTACGGTAGCATCAGCGACTGGGGCGAGCTG